GGAAAAAGAGGGAAACTTAGGGAACACGACAAACCGGGGAAGTGAGCGAAAACATGGAAAACTTGAGTAAAGATGGGGAAGCATAGGGACTCTACATGAAGATTTTAGGTGGCTCCAACTAAAAGGGAAATTTGGGGTGTGTAACCCTAGTTTGGTGAGTGTGCGGAATGTCAACTCCCACTGCACAAAGTTTGGCTGCTTGTTGTCAGTGGGGAACGCACAACTTTCTTTAAAGGAAAGTGACAAAGCTAAAGATCCAATCACATACAAGTAGCAGCCAACTGGGTATGAATTGAAAATTGGGGCCCTTTAGTGGACATCATTCAGGTGGGGAATTTGCAAATCATTTCGGGAGGTTTTATAAGGCCCCCCTAATTGGTAGTTTGGAGCTTAGGGGGTGGTTGCTCATTAACCCTCTGCAACAAGAGGTTCAAATCCCCAAACCGCCAATCTGAACCACCAACTCTGGGTTGCCTGTAATGTTGGACCTGCTTTAATGTGATCCCCCCCCTGAACAATGGAACCAGTCAGCGGGACCCTGTTTAGGCAAACCCTGGGGGTCTGGGTGGGACTTTCAAATTGATTTAGTATTGGTAGACTTGAGTTTCCATGTGAATTAGTATTGCTGGAGTTTCCTTTTGAGATTTGGAACTGAGTTTCAAATTGAATTAGTATTGCTGGAGTTTCCTTTTGAGATTTGGAACTGAGTTTCAAATTGATTTAGTATTGCTGGAGCTTCCTTTTGAGATTTGGAACTGAGTTTCAAATTGATTTAGTATTGGTAGAGCTTCCTTTTGAGATTTGCTCCCAAAACCAGTTGAACACTAAAGTAAAGAGGACCCCAAAACAATCACACTAAAGAGGATCAGGGTTGGTTGTGGGCAACCCCCTTTGTGTGATTGATTCACCTTGCTTTTTTGTCAAGAAGTTATCATAAATTTGATGGTTTGGGCACAACTGGCAAAATGGATTTCCTACACCTCAGGCTAGCTCAGAACCAGCCTCCAGCTCAACAGCAGATAAGGCTTAGTCTAGCTTGAGCCCGACCTGAGCCTGCCCAGACCAGAGAGTTGAAAACAAACACGCCTGTACATTTTTTTGAAAAAAAAAATGGGGAGGGGAAAACACTTGCAACAATAGCGGACCCCTAAAACAGTCTCAGGATCCTGAATTGCATTTTTGTTTACAATAGCGGCGACTTTCATTAAAGCGGGTGTAACATTACAAAAATGGCAATGCCTCACACCGGTGCATCCCAGTCCTCCCATCGTTAAACCTTAGGGCCTCCTCCTCCATCAGCACGGCCGAGCAGTACTCAGACAGCTCCGGGAAGCCATAGCCTTCAGTAAAGGAACCGCGGTGTCTATAAGCCCATAGTAAGACATCCTCAAGTTACACTCGTAAAGAAATGTGGTTTGAAGGGAATCCACCGGATCGGTTTCCAGAGTGATCTGGAGAACCCCGAAGCAGGTTTGCTTTGATGGACCCCAGAATAGGTGGCTTTCCCTTGGCTTCAGGGTTTGTCTTTTCATGGGAACCCCTTGTCCAATCTGTTCACCCATCGTTATTCTCAAGACACAATTTCAGCTGGGTTTTAGAACAGAAGGATCCTTGAAGAAAACGGAGAGGGTACGGCAGAACAGGACTATGTGGTTGCCTTTGGTTTCCCTTAACATGCACTCCGAGCGGTCCCAAACCAGCCCAAACCAGACGCAAATAACACAACTAACAGTGCTCCTAAAGCAAAACTAGCCTGAAACACGGCAAACGCAAAGCCCCCAAACGACCCTAAGCCCACAATAAATCACACATCCCACGCTGAGTTCGCCAAACATCTCCCAAACGCTGCCCAAACTAGCCCCAAAACAACAAACATACAACCTAAGCCCTACTTGACTGGACTCCTAAACCCTGCCCTGAAGCAACCTCAAAACCACTGCGAAAAGCCCAAACCTACATACCCACCCACCAAGCAACCACCAAGCAACAAACCCACCAACGAATGCCAAATGATGGCCTGCACTCAAAAAGGACGAAAACACCTTCCCGTCGACAAAGAGGGCAAAATACAGCATTGCCCGTCACATGTAGAACGGTCACCCAAATGGTAGCTCGTGTTTAAGACCACGAAGAAACGGACGGAAACTCTTTCGCTCACAGAGCTGCAGAAGCTCCGCCACTTCTGGCGGTTCTCCTCACTGGGCTCCATGGAGCTTTGCAAGCAGTCCGACAGCTCGGTGCCTGCGCATCGATTCAGTCGAGGTTTGGAAACTTGGCAGATTAAGGCATAGTCCTTTCCAAGTTTCCTAATTCCTCCCAAGTTTTTCTCCGGAACTCGGCCCAAGTGTTTGATTTCACGCCCTGCGTCCCACTTAGGAACCTTCCCACGGAATGTCCCAATTCCCCCCCATTCAAATTGCCTTCCCTCGCAAGACGGGCTAAATACTGGACATAATCCACCAAGGGAAAACCACAGTAGCAACTGTTGAGCCCCTTGCATTCCCAAAAACAATCATAGAACTTGGTTTTACGGGGCACTAACATATAATGGTAGCAATACTGTTTATAGAGGGACACCCACAATGGTCTTTCATTTTGGTTTGCTCAAAAACACCAGCCCTAAAAAAACACACCCTCAAAAAGAAACACGGGCCGTTGTAGCAGCTCCTCCGAAAATTTGCATTGGATCTCCCCTCCCCGGCGAGTCGAGCCTCGGCCCTCCGCGGAGCCCTCCGCGTCCAGCACGGCCCGGCCCTGAGCCGCGCCCTCAGCGAGCAGCTGGATGTTGGACTGCATCTCCGACATGAAGGGGTTGATGGGCTCCTCAAATTTCAGAAAGATGAAGAGCTAAAAAATACAAATCCTTTTACAGTATATGGGTCATATACTATATATATATATATGTATATATATATATACAATGTATGCTGAAGGGGATGTGAGTGGTGGAGAGACAAATCAAGGAAGAAGAAGGACACATGAGTACTTCATTCATCCATCCTTCCATTCATTCATTTATCCATCCTTCTTCTATCTATTATCTATCTATCTATCTATCTATCTATCTATCCGCCCATCTGTCCACCCATCTATCAATCTATCTAATCTAATCTATCTGTCTATCAATCTACACATATTTGAGGACTTCGTTCTGATAGGTTTGCTCAGTGTCACATTTGCTTCATTCTCCTAGGCTTGGCTCTTCTGTCCCCGTAGTCAAAAGCAGTCAGACTACGTACAATTCCGATCTGCCACTTAACGCACACGTGCGGAGACTTGTTCGTCTTAGGTTTGCAACTTGCTCGTGTTCGGAAAAGCACATTCCTTATTCTAGCACTGGAGATGCTGGGGGTGTCGACTATCTTGTGCGGATCGATTCTACGGATGGAATGAGAGGCGGCTCCTTCTCTCTCCCACATCCAATTCCCTTCTTCTCATCTAGAATTGGAGAGAGAAAAGATGGGAGAGTGACGAGATAGAGATGAGCGTGAGTGAACGCTACATGATGGGGAAGACATTGAGATGAAAGAAGGGAACAAACAAATAAAGAAGACTAGCCGCGAATAAATAAACATATATATATATATACATATGCATGTATAAATACAAGACAATTAGCTCATTCATCAGATATATAATAAACTGTTGTTGCCAACTAATGGTTCATCGCTTCCTTGAAAGAGCTATCCATCATGTCATTGCCAATGGCATAAGGACAGCCTTTAAAAAAGGACGTGAAAGTGGGTAAAAGACAGTACCCATTTTGTATTTTGCCAAAATGGACACCACAGGGCAACGGCCCCTTTTTTTGGCGGGTCACTGCTGAAATAACCACTGGCAATGTATGAGTTCCGGTCTCCGAGGCTCGATAGCAAACGGCTGGAGCACCCGTCTCAGCGTCCGCCTCCGCTGCACGGTCCGCCTAGCCGCTGCGACGGCGATGGGCGCCAGCGAAGGCCAGCGCGGAGAAGCGTGACCACCTCCCAAGCCTTGCTGTAGACAACTACTTTTTTTTGGCAGCCTCCCCTGAAATGAACCAAACCAAAAAAACAAACAATATGTGTAAAAAACAAACGAAAGCTTGCCAAGAGCAGTGAAGCAAACTTGGGCATGGCCGAGCAGTCTGCGAGGCAAGCGGGGCTGCGCAAAGCGGAGCAGCGCGCACAGGCAGTATGGCGCTTGCCATCTCTGTGAAAAGCTTTGTGATAAACCTTTTCAAATCTGAGAGTGAGCTCATCTCTGTACATGGGGGGCATCATCTCGGCGAGGCTTGACTTGTTTGAGTTCAAAACAGGTTGTGAGTGGACTGCAGCTTGAAAAACGCTCAAGTCGGTGGTTGCGCTCATGGGCTGCGATCGAAACTCGGACAGCTCGAGCCGGAACCGGCTGCCCACCAAGAAGATCCGAAGCCATGCCGAGCAACGGTCAAACATCGCTATGACTTGGAAAGGGTTTGCTAGCCTCTTTTTAGTCCTGGAAGTGGACAAGGGGCTTCCCCAAAAGGACAGTAGTCTTCCAAACTCATCCTCTCGGCTTCCATGATTATTGAGGAGACGGCTCCCTACCGTCCACAACGGCTTCAAATACTGACCAAGAGAGAATCTGCCTCTCAATAGTTCGAGTCACCATGACGTGAGCCTCTCAATGATCAAACAGAGCACCCGTGCAATCCCTCTGATGAATACCAGGAAATCTTCATCCGGGGGGTTAAAGACCAAAGCAAATAAGCACTCTAATAATAGTATACAATGAATGCAATGATAGGCCTCAAACGATGCAATCTCTAAACAAAGCCAACAATGCCGGTGCAAACCAGCACAAACAGGCCCAAACAATCGCATTAGTGTGAACACGATAAACCCATTAATCATGGGAGAAAAAAACACGTCGTCCTTCAAAAAAGGCGTGTTTAGTTTAGCACCTCGTGTTTTGGAAGCGTGTCGCAAACCACCTGCATGGACGAGCGCTTGCAATAGCCCAGGATCCCCTTCCCATCACGCCTCGAGAGGAGTCGCAGGACCCGTACCTCTTTCCGACAGTCACAAATTCTCACGGGATCTAAGGGGGCGGGCTGGGTCGGGTACGTTTGGCTTGGGGATTCCATTCCATGAGACAAGGAAACCTCTCTTTCTTGGCTCGTTGATTTCACAGAAAGCTGGGAGCCCCGGGGGGGGGGGGGGGGGAGGGGGAGGGGGTCACAAATTCCCTTTGTTAAGTCCGGGCAGTCGCACCACAAAATGGAATTCCAGGCTTGGCCCCTCCCCCAAACCAACAAGCAAACTACAAGCTATCTAACAAGCAAACTAACAAGCGAACAACACAGCAAGTGCTGGGCACTGCGCAAGGCTCGCCAGGCGCGGCTGTCGCTTCCTGAAGACAAGGGAAAATAGGGAAACCCATGGCAAATCACTCGCAAAAAGCATATCGGGAAAAAGGGCAATGTCACTCTTTTACCGTAAATGCAACAAACACCTGTTTGGTAGTATGTTTCAAGATTGAAGGCTTTTGTCTCTGGGACAAGAGCGCGCGGAATCGAAACCTTTGTGAGGTCGTTATGAGCTGAAACGTTTCAAGCAGCGAGGCCTGGTCGATTCGCGGCAATGCGTTGCGCGAATCGGCCATGGTCCCTTGAGTTGGCACATTGGTTCACGGGCTCGAGGTGAATTTGCAGCAAGGACAGGAGCTTTTCGCTGTCTCAAAGGGCTGCCACTGGGCACCTGGTTTGTGATTGAACCTGCGTACCTGGTTTCATGATGCGTGCACATATGCAGAGAGGCGCTAGCCTTGACAAATCTCTGTAAATTAGTGAAGCCTCTCCACCTGTTCCTTGCCCTCCACCCACCGCCGTTGGTTGCGTTTGGCACGGCGATCAAGCCCTGCTCTCAAGACTCGAACCAGTCGTTGGCTGGCCTAGTTGAGCTCGCAAATGGCGCTATGGGCAAACCTGCCTTTTGTCGCGCTGATGCAACTTGCGTGCTCCGGTTGCAATTGATGATCTTGAGGATGTTGGGCTTCAGAAAATGGAGCTTTCTTGGGCGCCCACAAGTCACAAGATGACGCATTTGTCAGTCATAAAATGACACCGCTACGGGACTCAACAGGGACGTCTGCACCTCCTGCAGAACATGGACCCCCCAAAACCGCGAAACCTTATCGGGCTCAATGAATTTGCAGAGTGGCGGAGAAGTGCGGAATGGGTTACCCGAAAGTGAAGGGAGCAAAACTGCGCGCGCGGAGGGTCTGTCCCCTTTTGAGGGGCTTTTTCAGACAGGATCCTGTGTCTTTGAAGACCACCCCAGCAAAAAGATCATGATAAAATGGCAGCCACATGAGTGATATCAAAACCTGGCATTTAGATATTCTACCCAACACCATGTAAAGAATGTGACCGGCAGAACCTTTTCTGGTCGTGAATGGCCCTTACCATTCACTTACCCGGGTTCCGAATGTGGCAACCACGTGGTGATGCTTGAACCAACCAAGGTCGGCTGACCCTACAAGGGCTCTAACGAACGGGAGCTAGGGTGCTAAGCACATGATCGTCTCTTGCAAGGTGGAACGCGATTGATAGAACCTGTTCAGGGCCCCGTTTGGATATTGTTTTTAAGGCAACCCTAAAGGACACACCATTTTTCAGGATTCCCCTGTTTTGACATATGGGGTGTCGTTTTTGAGGATACCCTCTTTGGGTTGGGCTTCAAGGGAAACTACATCAGAACAGACATCATGCGGGTCCCCGATTAGAAACACCCCCATAATATTTCTAAGGTTCGGATCCTCTTCCGACTTGAGTCTGAGGCGCCGGCCGCAGCTGCTATTCCGGCACCCGAAGATGTGCAGCAAGCGCTTGGGGAGGTCCCCGTAGCCCGCTCCCAGCTGCACAAAGAGGGCCTAAGCGGCGGCAATTTGGGTCGGTTTTGGTATTGGTACCCTGTTTCATTGGGTTTAAAGGGACACCAAAAGGAAACCCGAAGCCATTTTGGAGGGTTCCCCAAAACATGACACGTCCATTTGTTTAAAGGGTTACACCCGACTTTCCCACCATCCTCCATTTGAGTGGGCCCCTTAAAAATCGTCGCGTTTTTGAGGGTCTCTCAAGAGACATGTTCAGGGCGTGCACGCCAACCTTTCAACCATCCTGGTGAACATTACGAGAGGTTCTCAAAAACGACTCTTGAAACACCCAGTGGTTTCCTTCTTTTAAACCACCTTTTGGATAATTTTGAGGATGAGAAGCTTCGAGGAAAGTTGAGGCCGGCTCCAGCTCCTCCCCGCACTTCCCGCATCTCAGAAAGTCCAGCCTGTCCGATCAAAGAAACATGCCCAGTGCTTCCAGGCAAGCCACTCTACTGTAATAGGGGGTCTGGAAGAACCCTTTCGGTTTCCATTTGAGAAAAGAATCAGCTCTGGGGTATTCAGCACTCACCAGCTATTTCTACTACTAGATCTTACAGGATCCTGTGGTTCCCTCTTCAGCTATTTCTACCTCCAGACTTTACATGACAAAGATGTCACCACAAGCCTCTGTAAAACCTCGATGCATCATGGGACCAGAATGGCAAGGTCATATAACCATGAAAAGGGTACCCTCATCCTGATTTCCGCGCTCTCGCCTCACCGCTGACTCTGCAGATGGTTCCATGCTCCAGTGGGCCGCGCCTCGCTTCGGACTTCGAAGCGCGAGGAAACGCCGCTAAAGGCAAACTAAAAGAAAAGTCAAAAGCGCGACAGGGCGCGTTTCAGGGAAGCCAAAATCAACCAACACGTACATTGTCTGGGTTGCGAAGCTGCACAGCCTCGCAGCCTTGGTAAACTGAAACGGCGAAACCATTCGATGGATCTCGATTTGCACGGAGAAAAACCTTGCAGGTGCCAGCAGTCGCTTCATCCATTGGCTCAAGAGAGACAATGGGGTATCAAACTTTTGGCGGGGCAAGTCCACGCATGGGTGATCAACTGGCATCACAGGGACAAATGACATGTCGATCACAACTTGTCATTCATGGCGGTGGGAAAGGTCAAACAAGTGATTCGCAGTCCTCTGTATGGTTTGCACAAAAGCTGACCACAAGCCACACGCAGGAAGACCAAACTGTAGGTCACCGTCACAGGTTGCGCAATGCGTATCAACACATGCTTAGCAACAGTCCATGTGCCTGTTCCTGTCGTGACAATGAGAGCCGACGCAAATGACTGTCATATCGCTTCCTCTGAGCAACAGGTCGATCATCTGTTGTAGGCTTTTTTGAAATCCAAGGGCCTTGGAACCAAAGAGTAGCCCATGCACTTACGGGGACAAACTGAAGTCATCGTCAAATATATTGTGTCAAAACGCATTGGATGATATGTCTGTGCACGGCTGCCCAGCCACATAGAGGGCGGCAAAGGTGTCAATGCATGGCTAAGATTCCTAAAACATCCAACTCCAACAACGAACCAATCCATCTAAAGTCTCAAGCAACGCAAAATCAATACCACTTGGCAATCTTTGAAGGGGCAATCTTTGAAGGGGTTTCCTGTTGTTGGGTCTGTATGCAATAGAAAGCCCGATTCCCCATTCAGGTGTAGTCATCCCCTTACATAATTGCCCTAAATAGCATTCATCCTTGTGCACACCTTGGCAACCATCTTGTTAGAACTGGTATGCTGTGCAGTCGTTGTTGGTAGGTTCCGCGTTGCAGTTGCGGCAGGCAGCAAAGGCCCGGACGGTTTTGGCCATGACCAAGACCGAAGCGGGGGTTCGCACTCAAAAAGCAACCTCATGCAAGGAAGAACACCTTATACAATATATACAATATATATATATATATATGTATGTACTATATTATATATATATATATATCATCTTATGTACACATCATACTTTACTCACCAAGCTGAACTAAGGAACCAGGTAAGGAAGCTTCATCCGTGCGGAATCGCTCGTTCTAGCCAGTGGGCCTGCCACAGTTCGCCAAAATGGTTGGTGGACATAAATCCCCATTAATTTCTGATGCCCACCACAGGAAGATTCATACCCAAACAGATGCCGGCTACTCTCCTCCGGATTAATGTGGACCCCCAAAATCTCTTTTGGGGGTCCACGTTGATGCGCGGGGGTCAACTTAGAGGGTGTGCAGAAACAATGCTCGATCAACCTCTTTCGGGGCTCGTTGGTAAATTCAACATGGGTTGTGATGGGTTATGGTCAAGCCCCTGGTGTGGATTCCAGGAAAATCACAATGGAAGAGGTTATCTGGAGAGTGCAGAAACCCACTTATTTGCAAGTCCCACAATCATCTGGACCTCAAAGATGCAGCCAAGAACAATGGCTGTTTGGGAGAGGGGACGCCACGTCTCTCCTGGGTATGCCACTTGTCAGTTTCGAGCAAGACCTCACCACTGGCTTTGCAAGAATCCAGCAATAAGAGGTTATCATTGCTTGGACCTTTCAAGATGCGACCACACTGGGAAACGAAAAGATCACCAGGCCGAGTTGTAGTAGACTAGGTGGGGAATCCTGCGAATGACAAGTGCGAGCCGCTCCGAGCCGGTTTGTCCCTATATTGCTCGGGCCACAAGCCATCAGTAGGTAAACTGAAGCCAAGCTTGTCACACCCAAATCAAACTCCGAGTCATACAGGAGTGTCCCCATAAGGTCCCTTTGCTGAATAGCTGTAAGTTTTAAACGGAAGTCACCGTGCAACCAACACTTTTGAGATATTCCACATGGGTGTGTCCCAACATAGAGCCCCAAAACGGTTGACTTCCTTTCCGGTGTCCCTGAAAACTAAAAAGGGGGGCTTCCCAAAAACGGGATGGCCAATTCGTGCCACCGCCAACGCTCCCTCTCTCTCTTGGTTATCAACCAGGGTACCCTTGCATCGGTGTCTAAAATCCCCATTAAAAGGTACGGTGATACAGATCCCTACCAACAAAGGGTTGTTTGACCACGGCCCTATACTGGCATCTGCGGGTCGCCTCCAAAGCGACTGGTCCGCACATCCAGGGCAGGCTCCTTTCCGGTGGCTGTGATCGAAAAACCCCTCCTGGAGGGGCGCCACCCACATTCCGAAAATCAAGCAGGGTCTGCTTCATCCGGGTTGAACATTAGTTCAGCTTTGGAGTTTTGGCCGAGTCTTGACTCCATCGACTCCTCATCCAGCTTTCGCCCGAGGAAGCCTAGCAGCACCTCCTGGCGAAAGGTGGATGTGCCGGACGCTGGCTCCGAGGAATCCCATGGAAACCCGAAGCCCACCCATTGGGGGGACACATGGCTATGAATCTGTTTGCTGGAACCTGAATGGGAGGAAGCACCGCTAAACATCCAGGTTTATCCGACCAAAAATGGTAAGCGAAGACAAGCTGTGGGCTCAGGCCTTTGCATCCCAAAATGGGGCGATATGGGGCGTGTTGGATTTTGTTGGGAACTGGTCTGATGCCATGCCGCTTGTTCACACAAGCCGTGCGGATATTCTAAGGGTTGATTCCTCTTCCATTCCCTTCACCCATCGTTCTCTTTCTGAGATCCAGAAACCACTTGACTCATTTTTTGAAGAGAAGGATCCCAAAAAAACACAATGGGGAAGGTACCGCGAGTGAGATATCCCAGTAGACTACCAAGTTTCGCTTGAGAACGTATGGCTTCACGCCCACCGATCCGTTGGCCACATAGGGCTGATACATGGATCTGCAGATCTGCCGCAGCCAACACGCGGCTCACCGGCCGTGATGTGCCACTGTGAATCCCGAGCCCTAAAACACGCATTAGATCAAACACGGGGACCCATTCCCTGATTCAACACACAAAACACAGAAAGACATAGTAATTATGCTATTAGCAAGAATCGCCTGAAACCTGAAGGCATAGCATGCCGCGAGGCCGCGCCTCGCCCATCTTTTCACAGCTGCGCTGTGCCCGCGCCGTCCAGCACGCCAAAATAAAGAGACTTGGCGAAGGTTTCAGATTTGGCTGGCCAAAACAAGTTTATGCTTGGCCGTGGGCAATGCTCAGCGATCGAAAGCAGGGGCAATCCTTTATGAAAAAAGAGGTTGATGGGGCCGACAAGAGGTTAAAAGGTCTGCCATGCTGGCTTCGCTTGGCTTAGCTTCAGGGAAAAACTGACTGCAGACCTGCTGAGTTTGACTGGTCAATTATACACAGCAGCAGCTAAAGAAAACACAGCTTGAATTTTGCCAACTCCGGACTCAACAGGTACTGAATAAAAAGGGCATTCCAGGGGCAAGTTGGACACATGGTCCAAAGCATCTGCCTTAGATGTTGCCGTGAGTCAGACGCTGCGGAAACACACGGAGAAGGGGCAGCGGGCATCAAAGCGAATGCCCAACAACGCGACGTTCCATGCCCAACCCTGGGTGTCCTGACTGGAGCTCCTGATTCATCCAAACCCCAAGCTGGCAAAAACAACCTGGTCTACCCCGGGTTTTACATTAGGATCCATTTATCCACGGGAAGGCATTGGACTTGTATAAACACGGCCCCCTAATTCAATGAATGTGAAGAGGACCCTCTCTCGCTGTGTTAATCAGAGGTTGGGATCCTGATTTACCAAAGTCACAAACCGAACACGATCTCCGGAAAACGCAGTCGGGAATTCTGGGCCTAGGTGCAGCAAAACCGCACACCCAAACAATCGTCTAATAGGGCATAGAGATATGATTAGCCCAGTGGGATCTTGCATTTACACCACAAGGACTTGCTTCTCAAAACGGGAGGACCCAGCAAAACGGACTAACATGTGTTCGGGTGCGACCGTGAGTACTTGCTTGCGCGCATCAGTGAAGACCCCTTGGAGGGATCATCTGATCTCAAGGGTTTGGTCCCCTTGGCGCCCCTTGCAGCTGGACTCCGGCGCCGCCTTTTTGCGGAGCGAGGCGTGGAGTTCTCACGCTACTGGTTGGCCAGCTCCTGCTTCGCCTGGAGATGGCTGACGCGACTCGGTTTGGCCTAGGGGCCTCGAAGTTGTGCTTGGGCTGACGGTGCAAACCGTGAAAATAGTGGGGAGTGATAGAACCACCATTGCTTGCCTAAGCAGATTTCATCATCCATTTGGTCAACCGTTCTCTTAAGGGTGGGGTTGAAGCCTAGGTTAGGTGTTTTAAATTCTAAAGGCTCCCATCAAACCGTTCTGATTTAGGCCTTCGTAGCATGGAGACGGCAGTCCAAACCGGATGCATCGTCGCACGCATTCGCATTCGCCTTGTGCTCCATAAACTCCCGGAGCGGCTTCGCCAACTTCAGGTCCTCAAGGATTTCGATCGAATCGCAGCGCAGCGCTTGTCTGGGATTCCCAGTAAGTGTGCCAACTGATTCTTGCCAGCCAACAAGTCTCAGTAAAACAAAACCCACCTGGACCCTCAAACTACCCTTAACATGGCTTATGACCCCAAACAATATGGTACAATTTCTCGAGGATCCAGGTTGCTCGTTTTTGGATTCAAGGGAAACCCAAGGAGGCAAAAGCACTGGAGGGGCAAACTTTGCGCATCCCAAGTTTTCAGATGGATTTCGAGGTGCTCAGTGTTGACACTTACGGGTTTCAACAAATAGGTTCACTTGGACTCACGCCTTGCCCTGAAGCTGAAACCCGTTTATTAGAACTCCTTCAATGCGCCCCCTGAATAACGGGTTCAACGGTTGAACTTCCACCGAATCTGCTCAGTGGACGGTCATTTTCCGAAAGCACAATGTACAAACCAAAGGCTTTGCAAATCATGAATACAGGTCTTCCAAACAAATGTGTCACACTGTCTCCAGAAAAACAACACTCTCCACAAGGGTGCCAATGAGTCTTTGCACAAGGTCACAAGGTGTCCAAACTGTGCAAATCATGTATTCCGACTAATCCACACAAAAGGCACTTCCTTTTCTTCAGCCCCTTGCAATGTGCCCCAACTCCAAATGATGTGTCATGTATTCCAAAAGCCTGTCCAGAAGGTTCGTTTCTTATTTTCCTTCCCTAAAAACAAACATGGAACCTGCCACTAGCTTCCCTCTAATTGGTGGTTTGGATTGGTGGTTTGGGGCATTGAACCCGTGGCTGTTGTAGAGGGTGAATGGGAAACCACTGATCACCTCCAAATCAATCCAAACCACCACCTAAAGGAAAACACACTTTGCTTTTTGGGTAGCATCTAAATCCTAATCCGTCTAACACTACCCCACTGTATCGCACTGGTAGGACAGGGTATGGCAACCCAAAATCAATCCGTTTGGATCGAACACAGTGAAGAGGTCGAGAGCCGTTCTCTGAGAGCCGCACCAAGCGTCGGCCAATGAGCGCATCTGCTTGCGCCGGGATGTCCGCCGCAGCCTCCTCGCCTCGGCGTTGTTTTTGTTGGAAGTCTTGTTTTCTGCAGACATATGGGGGTATGATGTCATCATATGGGGAATCATGTCCACCACCATCATTTATATGGTTTCCCAAATTCCAAACTTGATAAATTCCCGACTTTGATATTCCCAAAATGTACTGCTCTGGTACTGATATCAGAAAAGGGATAGGGCATGTGATTCCTGGATCTGGACAAAGGGCGGTGCAATCATGTGTACACATCTCCTCTTGTTGAATTTGGATATACCACTTTGTGCAGCAAGTCAAACAAATGTGATCCCATTCTTGCAAACAGGAGCTCTGTCATGCCCGACAAGGCTGCTCCAAAATTGTCTTCCAAGTTCTGACGATAGCTGGACACTCAGTCCACCCACTGTTGAACACATCGAAGCAGCTTCCCATACGGGTATATGTCAAAGTAGGGCCCGCAAAACGATTTGGTTTTCCTTTCAACCGACCCCAACAGAGTACCCACTAAAACTACACACCCATACTTCTCCAGGGCACATTCGCCGAAGAACACGGGGTAGTCACTCCAGGTAGTCTCAATGCACCAAGTTTGTGGCTCACTGTTTGCAGAAACTGGGCGGTTCCAAATGAAGGCTTGGAATTCCCCGCTGATCTTCCGTCTGGTGGAACACTGGGGACCAGCTCCTTTCCTAAGGGAAGGCTGCAGGATTGCCATGCAGCCCAGCTTTAAGGGCAAACCACCATGGTGGCTGGGGCAAATGTCTAGGAAACCAAAGCTCCTATACTTTGAGAATCTTTCAGATAGAATTTAATACTTGGTTTGCCAAGTGTTGGGAACCCCGTTCCCCGGAAGGCCACAGTCCTGATGCTCATACTGAGCCCGCGACCAATCCCGATGGAATGGGCAGCCTGGCGCTGAACTCAGGTTGTTCGGTGAGCAGCCCAAATTCCGGCCCCAAATGGCCCCAAGAGTTTTACCAAAGTCACACCCCCAGTGATTTGTTTAGAGGAAAACCCTGGTACCAGTCGGGATTCATAGGGCCAAACAATGCATTCGGCCTCATAGGACATGGTCATGTCTCAAGGCTAAGCTCTCGAAGCCATTGAATCGTTGTGGTTTGGCGAGCCCAATATGATCCCCAAGAAAAGCAAGAGCCACAGCCCAAATGGCAGCCACATGTCTTCACAGGTTGAAGCAATTGTCTGGCACGGTCAACAACCCCCTGGCAAAGTACAGCTCGTCACTCCAGCAGTGAAGTTTGCTCCAGCAAGTACGTCTTCCCACGGCAAACACTTGGTTTGTATCAAGGGGGACACACCACAATAGGGGACGGCAAACACGGCGCCCACCGCATTCATTCCGCGCCTCTTTGGCCAAGGCCTCAGCTTCTTCTGCTGCTCGGAGGAGATCCTAAGGCTCGAAGCCGATCCCAAGACACATATGTGTCAAAGGGGGACCCCCCAAAAAATGGATTTGGTGGTCCTTTGGCTTCTCTTGAAACCAACCTGAACAGGGTGCCCTCAAGACACCGACATGTTCAATGCTGTGGCTGGACAAAATCCATTGGATGAAACCAAGGATAAACCACCTGCCAACTGGTAGATTTTGTCCAGTGTGACTATCAACTTCAAGACTTGGAACCCTCCTTAAAAGTGGGAGGGGCATAAATCCCGAATTTTGTCCAACAAAGGGTTCGGGACAGGGATTGTGTCTTCAAAGCTATCATTCTTCAGCCCCTTGTGTCAAATCACCATAACAAGATCTTCTCGGCTTCCAGGGGTCTGTTGTGAACCAGGGACCCAAGCGCCATCGGATTTGCAGCGGACTTTTGAGCACGGCTTAAGGGGAAGTCAAGACCTTTGGTATATTGGTCTTGCTTTGAGGGTACCCTTTTTGGGGTTGGTAAAAAGGGAAGTTGAGTGGACACACCCACCATTTCTGGGGTCTGTCTTTGTTGAGGGTACCATTTTTGGGTTGCAAACCAGACATATACCCATTTCTGGGACTCCGCGATGTTTAGCTATTCGTTGGTTATAGGGGGGAACCAACTTTTGCTCAAGTTGTTCCGCGGCCTTCGACGTGGAGCAGTTCCGTGTGTGAGCAAATTGTGTTCCTCTTGGTTTCCTTTTAAAACCAGCCCGTTCTAGGGCACTCTTAAAAAAAGGACAGCCACATCCCAGCAAACAAAGAGGGAAAAAGGCTGCCGCTCAAGCGCCATCACTTCGAGCGCAGTCCCAGTCTGAAGTCTACTTATACCCTGATCTTCAGGCAGGATAGACTGCGGCAAGACGTCTGGCCAAGCTATAAGTTCTTATATAAGCATCACCAAACTAGGAGCAAACAACCTTCGTCAAGGGTGGCGTCGCACATCCCCTTATCGTTGCCCAATCAACAAGTGTAAAATGAGAACAATGGCAATAATCTGAGGGGTCCCTGAGACCCCGACATGCTCCGCGCCCAGAATGGCCTAGCCCACTCCCTAATTTGCTCGTTCAGGACCTCCATGCGAGGGAACAAACATGCCAGGGATCCAGTTAGCAATCTACCGGGGGGTCGGGGGGGGGGGGGAGGCTTGGATTGCAGCAATCACATGCCAGCAGTGCGGTCGTGGCTTCCTTTGTTACCGCCAAATCCTGGCCGGATGAGACGAGACCCTTCCGGATGCGAGTTATAAAAACCACCAAGCTTCGGGCGTTGTCATCCAAAGAATATGGAGGGTTCATCAATCTTAAGATGTTGTTGGCCAAAGAAAATGGAACTTGCGTAAGACTCAGCAATGTCGCGCTGCATGCCCAGTGGCGGGGAGAGGCATGCGTTTGACAGTACGACCGCAAATCCCAATTCCAGGATTGCTGCATAACCTCAGCGCGGTTTGAATCACTGCAACTGAGTGCCTGTGTGTGCCTGTAAACCATCGCAAGCATTGCAAGCGGGTCACGCAAACAAATCAGCCTCTCGACCGAATGGCTTGACCACCGATTTCTTCAACTGGACTTCAAGACGAGGCCGCTGTCAATTATTCCAACCAAAAAAGAATCCAGGGATCGCCCGATCACCCTGAAGATGGACACGGGGCCGTACTTCTGTTGCAGGTATTCAACCAAAAACACCGGCCGCAACAGACCGTCCCCTGTTATTTTCTTTTACAGCAAATTACAAATGAGATGTTCATAGTGTTCCTGTCATTTAGCCAAACACTGGAGGAGACCCTGATATCTCCTCCGCCCCAAGAAGCAAACGCGAGACCTTAAGCGTGTCGGACCATGTTCCTTTCAGGTGCTCCCTGAGCATCCCCCCGACCACTCTATTGATTGAAAGGGAATTCCCATATCACGGACAGGCGCGACCCTAAAACCCTGAGGATGGCTTTATAACCAGGGGCCAACATGACATGATCTATCAACCCACAGTGAAGCTCGCTTAAGGGTTTATTTGCGTTTATTGACATGATTTGTTTCCCCTCCATACGTGATGAACCCCTGAACCCCCGTTAAAGCCAGGGCCCAAAATTCAGCTGATTGATTCATCTGGGGCTAACATGCCAAAGTATCGTCCGATCCGGAGCGGCTGATCGATCGTCGCCTTCTTCGCCGCCTGGGCAGCTTTCTCGGCGCCCCGCGCCGCCGCGCCTGAAGGAATCCGACTCGCCCCATGGTGTGCGCCATCGGGAGTTCTCTTTCTAAAGGACAGACTAAACAAGTCAGAACTTTATGTGACATATGTACATATATTATCATATATATATATATATGTATTATGAATATGCATACTTCCCAAACAGTTGCGCTTTGTTGTTGACAATACGACTTTCGAGCCCAGCTTCACGTGTACAACTCTTCTTTCTCACTGAAAGGGGACATTCCCTAGTAATTCAACCAATGGCCATGCATCCGGGGGCACTTCCAAGAATGTGGGTCACTTCAAAGCCATGTCTAGTCATCATCAAACGCGAATGATGTGTGGACTTGTAGTTCACTATAAACATAAACACACATACTTCAAGAAAGCAAAATAATTAGAACGGGGTCTTGGAGTGCTTTTAAACCAACTACCCTGGCGCCAATGGCGAGCCAATGGTGAGCCAATGGAGGGCCATTGTACCGCAGGTTCTCAGGTCCCGGCGGGCGCGGCCGGCGGCCGACAGGGCCTCGATGTCTTGGGAGACGCTCTCCCTGAGCCGAATGGGACGTCGCGATCGAGTGGATTGCCCAAAAGTCGAACGACTCGTGGTGTACCAGTAATGGTCTTCCCCAAAAAAGAATAAAGTCTATGAATGAGTGCACTGACAATTTCACGAAACCTTTACCTGAGAAGTGGTCCCATGTCCACGGGACCATGAACGAAATTCCACGAGGGGCTCAGAAATTACTTCAGACTGGAGTAGATTTTGTTTTAGGCGGTTTGGCTTAAAGAGGCAACCGATCGGATCCCTCAAGATTGGAGGGCTGAAATCCTTGGCCTGGAGACCAAGACTCTGGGCTGCAGGCGCTGCAGCAGTGGCAGATCGAGCCTGGAATACGGACGGATAGACTGGATGGACCAGGTGCGTAGCTGTTTCTCCTATTCAAACGCCTTCATCCTTCCCAACCGCAGGATTCTCTCCACAGGATCAATGAACAACTGGGATGTGGGAACGGTTGGAACATTCTTCGGCCTGCGTCTCAAAATTTGGGTTCCCAACAAATGGTGGATGTCCATCTTCTGTTTTTATGCTAAAATAAGGCGTACTGTCGGGGTCACCAATTTCCCTCGCAGACCCCCAGAATCAAGGGCCCTGTCCTTGGCGGCATCTGCGGCGGCTTTCTCGCTCAAGACCTGATCAGACCCTCAGCTCCGTTAGCTCTCGAGACAAAGTCCCCCAAAGTCCATTACTTCAAGCCATGTGCACTTTAGCGTGTAGCCGCTGCAAAGTGCCTGCCCAAGAACAGTTGATAGGCCATAGCCTTTTCGCTGGTATGTAGCAAAACCAGGGATGGTTTCTGTGTGCATTGGGTACCCTATGGGCACACCCACATGGGCACACGACATGGGCCATCGTCGCGCAGGGGGAATCGTGGAATCTCCCAAAACACAAGGCAACTCATCATGCTATCTCCTGCAGGTAAACCGTGTACCACAAACAACTGTCCAGGTTTCTAAAACTGGTTGGTTTCATGGTGGTTCCCTCTTGTGCCAAAATTGGGGGAGGGTGTGGCAAAATCGGCAGACATCTGTCCCTAGAGAAATTCCAGCTATTTATGGGCCAAGTTAACACCCGAATTGCAAAAAGATCCCTAGTTTGGACACAGCCCTCCCACTGAAAGCTATCTCAACAGGAGCTGATCCTAAAATCCCAGCCCTGGCGCTGTTCATAAGGCAAATGTGTTGACCATGCAAAAGCCACCCAAAGGGAGTTGAAATCCGCCGAACAGCCAGCCAGGTGATGTTGCATCAAACTCACGGCTCAAGCCGCAGGCTCCTCCTTTGGACAGGAACACTTGGCCCAGAATCTAAGTCAAGAGATTCACAAATCTCGAGTGTGCCGAGTCTGCCGCTCCCAAGATATGGAACGAGTACTTGTGCGCAAGACCTTCCGTGTAGTTATCAAGCACTTTCAGGAGTCTCTACGGGTCCCCAAAGCCCCATCTTGGAAGACCTGCCTATTTGGGTGTGTCTGTCTAGACCCCAAATATGAGTCGTGTTCCTCCAAAACAAGGCGTACAAACTCCAACAAAAACGAGCCCCCCATTGGGTAAGCACCCGCCTCTAAAGGAGTGGCCGGCCCACGCTTCTCCCTGTAGATTGGCCTTGGGCGGATGGACGGAGTCGCAAGCCAGAGTCGCAGCGATTTCTGGAGAAAAAGATTGGACACCTTCTCACTTCCTGGACCAAGAAAAGTCTGAACTTGTTTGTTTACCACGAAAATGGTCTTCCCAAATGAGACTTGGTGTTTGGTGAGGTGAAGGTATAGTTTCCTGGGCTTGGCATCAAAGAATCTTTGATGGAGGTCGCTCAAGAGGGATTCACAGATTTGGGAGTTCCCAAACGTGAAACCTCTTTGTGGATCCCCTCGTGTAATGGGCGGTGTGCGTCTTCTTCTCCAGAAGACAAGCATGAGCAACAAACAATCATGTGAGCCAGAGTCAACATTCATGGTGCCCCAACTCACATGGGAGTTTGGTGGATGACCCCATCCCTACTGGCAATTTGGGGCTCGTGTGGCCCATGTCATCCCCTTTACTTGATGGCATAATTGACCGTTGCTCATGTGGGTGCTTCCCAAAATAGGGGAACCCCAAAATGGCCGAGTTCCTTTTGAAAGGGGTCCACCATTTTGAGAACCACCCCATGTTCCTTTTGGGCATCCTTTAGGTCTCCCCTTGAATCGACCAAAAAGGGGTACCCTGAAGAAAAGACATCCCCACATAATGGAATCCACAAAGCGGGGTGTCTCTTTGCTTTCCCATCAACACCACCCGGGAAAGTTGTCTTGCGCCTCAATTTTCAAGCATCGAAACTCTCATAGAGCTTGGTCAGCCTTCACCCCTAACCTGGGATTTAACTATGTTCTATCTTCATTGTTTTAGTAAAAACAAAAAATGTAAGATGGTCCCAAAGGTTCATCCAACCAGACTTCCAGAAATAATTCTCGCCCGTCGCTCACCAGAGTAAGGCTGCGACGCCTCATCCGGAAGGACGCGCGCCCGCAGCGAGCCTTCCTCGCAAAGGCTCCGGCAAGCAAGGACGATATGTGGCCACACTCGTGTTTAAGAATTCCCAAGCCGCAAATAAGGGAAACCACAAGCACAAGAAAGGCAGCAAAAAGGGACGTTGACACGAAAGAATTATTGCAAAAACACCTCAGTAAGATTGTCAGCTTGACATGACTTCCCCCCAGTAAAGATGGCTGGTGAGTCCCCCGAATTTCCGAATTGGTGAGCCCATCATAATTTTGGGCGAGACGTGACGATTGCAAAGACACGAGTGCTGTCACCATCCCTAGTATCTTTCGCAACCATGGCACATTCAAAACCTATTTCCGAGAGAAAAGGATTCCCATTCCCAGGACTACTGCACATGACTGTGAGTGGGACATTCCCTTGGCTCAACAAGTGACAACCCGAAACCTAACCTTGGTCTAAACTCGTCGTCGTGGTTGCCAATTGGACTTTGGCTTCGGAAACTCATGTCAGGCCTGTCTTTCCAACAAAGGAGGGCTTCGGTGCAAATTGTCAATGGAGCCTGAAATCGGGTGGTCATGGGTGGTCCAACCATCTGGGCGAACTGGTAATCCCCAAGCGGTCTGCGCCACGAGACCAAGCTGAGCTATCCCTTGTGCGTTGATTCCCAAGACCAATCAAGTGTGCAAAGCATAGGGCGGTGTTCAATCATGGAAGTGGAGAAGGGCACTAGGTCTTCCAAGCCCCTCCCGTCAGCTTCCATGATTGAAGAGAGGATATCCTCCTTTCAAAATAGAATCTGATCCTAAGATGGTTTCCACCCCGAGACGGCCCCTTGAAGAATTCAGGGTGCATACCCCCTTACACAGAGGTGGCCCGGGTGTACCATCCCCGAACTCTGCCCGTCCTGCTTCGCCGCCGCTAGGCCTAGAAGCAACCAGACCTGGGATGCACTCCCACTTAAGGACATGTTTTGGTCGTGTTTTAGGAAACACTTCACTTGCGGGCTGCTGTGTGTCAGGTTTGTTTGCGCTCTTTGCTTGTTTGCGCTTCTTGTTTTGCTTTTTGATCTGGTTGATTCTTGTTCACTGTTTTGCTTTGTCCTTCATCCGCAAAGGGCCATCTGCTTAAATACTACAACTGGAGATATTTGTGGGGGTGGGGCCCAACATCTCGCCGGATGCTTTTTCCTGGTGGCCACGGCACATTGACGGCTATCTGATCAAACAGGGAGGACATGCATGAGACCACAACAGTTGACTCGGCAACACGTCCGGCACAGAATCCAAGGATATAATTCAATCCGTGTAAGAAATCTAGGCCAACAATCATTCCCAGCCAGCGGAGATGGTTGCGCATACTGTCGATTTTTTTAAACAAAACGCATTGAAGCAAATCTGGACTGCTCAAGCAGTCACGTCTCTACAAACAACTAATGTTACAACCAACATCTCTTTCACTGGCGCTGCAGCTTTTTCCCGTATCTCGCGCATGTTGCATGGGCCACCTAACAGAAATGCCCTCTCTGCTTCGCGCAGAAGCATGTGGGGCCATGTGCTCCTGCCCACTGGCCCTCGTTTGAGGCATGGCCTTTTTTGCGGATACAAATACCCGCTTCAGCCGCCACCTGCTTTCGTCCAACGGAGCGCGCGCTTACGGCGACCAGGCAAAAGCCACTGGCCCATCGACATCACCTCCAGCATGCGCTGACTTGCAGCCCACCTCGAGCCCAGGGTGTTTTTGTTGATTGGGTTGGCTTAAAGGAAACCAAAAAGGAAGCACCCACCCCCAATTTGCAGCATGTTCGGGGTCCCCCGTTTTTTGACGCATAACCACTGCACCTCGCGCTCCGAGCGGACCTTGGCGATCCGATTGCTTGATCTCGACCGTGGCGTTGCCCTCAAAGAGGCGGCACTTGCTTCAGGAGCGTGAAGGCAGCACCTCGCAAAATGGGCAACATATGAGGAGCTGCGTGCGCGTGGCTGTGAGGAAGGAATACACAAAAAACATATAGTGGTATTGTTGTTTGAAGCAGTACCCATAGAAGGTACAAACAGACCATACCTCCTGATTGGGTTGCCATTCATGGCCACAACCCAAAGCTTCATATTCATTATCCAGTCGCGTGACCGCCGTTGAAAGCTGAGCTCCTCTAACACACAAGTCAGATGAGGCAAACATAGCATATGTCTATAAACCAAACATCACCAACCACCAAAACCTTGGCCGCAACAAGGCTACCTCCTTTGTGGGAGACGGGAACTTCTCCATGCGGCATTGCTTAGGTACAGGGGGTACCAGAAGAGTGCTGCTTCAACTGCTGCATTGCTGAAAAGTTCGCCTACAAGGAGGTCTTCACCTGGTGGAGAGCTTAGCGAATGCCGCCTCGTACTGAGTGAGAGTGGGAATGTCCTCCAACTTCACTGGCATCCTTGCCCCATCAAGGTGATGCCTGATTCTCATCGAAGATTTGCTCCGCGGTAGTGAGCTCTCCTTTCTCCTCACGGGAGAAGTGGGCAAGCGCATGGTCTAGAATGCTGGCGGCTGGCAGCGCTTGTTGTTGCTGCTTTACTTTGCTGTTAGGCAAGAGTGGCTTGATGGTCGCCAAACTCCAAGCATGCCTCCCTTGTAGAGCGATTTGCTCTATGTACTCAATTTTACACCTTTTTACGTCGCTCCTCAGAACCCTCATGGCGGCTTTCCACCGGCTATGAGAGATTGCAGCTTGGTGATGGAGCTGTACAAGGCATTGAGGCTCAGGCAAAGCTTTGTTTTCTGCCTGTTTCAAAGCAGCAAAGCATTGGGTCAACAGAAAGAGCCTTATGTGGTTATTATGGTGCCACACCTGTTTTTGGTACAACTTTTTTCTCGGCAGGAGAGTCCATGTGGCAGGCTGTATGTGCGGCTTGCGGGGCTTGGCCTGGGCTGGGAGGCAGGCCTTCGCGATGTTCCGCATTTGTTGTTCCAAGAAAAAGGCATGGGTGCGCACGTCCGTTTGCGCAGAGCACGGCACCTGTGTTGCAGCTCCACGGGTTGCATGGTGCATGGCTTCCTGCAGCTGAGCAATTGTTTGCTGCTCATGATTGGTTTGGGGCCTAGCATATTGTAGCTGGCTTCTTGGCCTTGACACAGCGTGTGACACGTCACTTGTGTAGGCAAACCTCACGACCACAGCGGCATGGTCTGGTTGTTTTAGCTGCAGGTCAGTTTCATGTTCGACCCAGGACTGCAGCGCACAACCGTCACGCATGTGGCTCGGTACAGCGACGTAATCAAGACCGTGTTAGGCCCAAAGTAGGTCGGGCTAGGTCCTGGGTGGATGGCTGAGTCTGTATGGCAGGAACAGGTTAAGGCCTGCAAAGCTTGTGTGAACAGCACACTGTTTGGCTCTGTAGCCCCGCAAGCTAAATCTCCAATCTGATGATTGGGCTCATCAAATGGCTATTTGCCGACTGTGGCATTGGCGTCTACCAGCACGAAGAAGTTCCATGTTGGGCCAAATGCCAAAGTGGCTGTTTTGATGCGCTCCCAGAAGTCGGAGAACTTTTGCATGCTGCACTGGCGCATGCCCTATGACAAAAATGCTTTTGCAGTGGGGGGCGTTGCATTTGACAATGAGCAGCTCGGGCTCAGCAAGCAAGACACGGAAGAAAGCCGGCTCGAAATACATGCTTTGTCCTTTCGAGCCTTTTCCGTAGGGCATGTGCAATGATACCCGCAGTGCAACGCCTCCGTGCCCTTTGTTGGCTGCGGCGTGGAGAGTGCTGCAAAGGTCAGCGCACACTGTTCAACCTCGAATGCACTGTTGGGCATAGCTACTGATCCTGAACAGTATCCTCCAAAGTTTTGGTTGCCATCCGGGTGTGTCAAGAGATGAGTGCAACTGCCCGTGCGCCAGTTGTTGACCCTGGCCACTCCATGAAGGAGCCATCTGTGTAAAAGATGGCTTCAAGCGGGTCACAACTGGGGTGTGGCTGGAGGGTTACCAAGGCTTCCTGCGTAGCGTAGGTTGCACAACATTGTTTGGCCATGGCTGGGCGGGGTGGGTCAAGGCAATGTGACACGTCTATAGTGCACTGGTTGCTCAGATCAGTTGGGCTGCAAGTCTATAATGACCTTTGGGGAGAGTGTGTTCCTGGCAAATCTCACGATGTCTGTGATTATTGGTTTGCCAGCCTTTAGAGCCACTCGTGCCGCATGTTGGACATCGACACGCAAGGGGTCATCAGTATCCGGCTTCATCACGTGTGTTTGCCCAAGTTGGGATTGCCTCATTTGGGGTCCAGTAACTGGATCAAGGACAACACAAAGAGAGATTTCCCTTTTCTTGACAAACTGACACGTCCAGTGAACAGGCTGTTGCTGGGTTGCTGTTGCCATGTGGCATACCAGCTGCGCAGGGCGGCTCTGAAGCACTTGATAGGCCATACAAACTGTGGCCATTGCAAGGGGTCTCACACTGCGACTGCAGGCACACAAGATTGCAAGGCCTGTGATGGCTGCTTGGCTGGCATCTGGCGGGCTGGCTCACCCCCCCGGTGTGTACAGCTGACCGGCGCGCTCAAGATGGAAGAGTGCTTGCACTTGCGCTAAGTTGGCTGGGCTGCCTAGCCGCGAGTGCAATTCTAATGCAATCTCCATTATTGAGCCTATTTACTGTTTCCATCGGCCACACTTGCCCGTTGTGGATTAGTTTGGTGGCTATGGCATCATTGTGAGTGAGGCACGGTGATGCCAGGCCAACAGCTGCGATGAGTTGAGAGCCACGTTCATCGCCTACGATGCGGCCTGTCCTTTCAAACACATGGCCTCCTGCTAGCCTATCCACAAGAACAATGGACTGGTTTCGTCCTTGAACTTCATGGTGGCCGGCTAGGAGTGCAAGCTTGCAAGTCGGGCCAAGTATGGTGTGCACGGTGGATGCGGTCCTCCATGTCTAGGCCACCTGGAACCCTTGTGCAGGGCGGGTTATTGCGAGCCGAATCACGAAAGATGACCATGTCAAGCGACGGTCTGACTGGTCCTCCTGGCACATCCTGCGGTGGATCAGGCGGTGTATCTGGCGAGTCATCGCCTTCTTCATTGCTGCTTGTGTCACTCATCGGCCAAAATGGCAAACGGTGCAATTTCCGGCCAGCATTAAATCCACGCCGGGGCTTATTGCTTGCAACATTTTCATGCACTGATTTGCGATTGCTTCCTATCACAAGTTCAATTGCGGCTGAATTCACTTCGGCACACCTGCGAGCTCTTAAGAATTCCATGTAGCTTACCCTTACAGCTTGTTGCTGTTACACAAGAGTTTGCATTTTCCATGAGAAAGTCTTGCTCCCTACTACAGCTTGAAATTCTTGAGCCAGGCATGTGCGTGGCAATTTCGATGCGCGGGCAAAAAGTGACATTGAGCTGCGCGGCTTTGCAGCTCTGGTGGGTTTTTGCTACCCCTGTTTGTCACCCCCTCTTCTGTCCCTTCCCCCTCAACGGCAAGAGCCTCAAACCGATTGGTGTTGGGTCGGCTGCGCTCCCGGGCCCCATTGTCCTTTTTGACAAAGGGTCTGTTTGCTGGGCAGGGGGGTTTGGGATTTCCCTTTGCGGACCTCTTTTGATAACCTTGGCAGGTTTGCCTTCAGGGTCCCCTTTTTGGTGCTCAGGATCCTCATGCCTTTTGCAGGCAGCAACATCCAGCTTGTGATGCAGGGTCGGCTCCGGCGGATCCAGTTGGGTGGGGGATCGTTTCGGCATCCTCAACAGAGGCATCAGGGAACGGCACAGTGAAATCCGGCATTTGGCTGTGGTCGATCTTCTCGTGCTTGGCGGGATCACTCGGGCTTGTGGGAAAATGCATTGAGCTGGTGGAGTGCGGATTCTTCCTCATTTTCAGCCTCTTCCAGGGCTGCGGCCCATTGATCCATTGCCTCGTGGTATTGGATGGCTTTCTCATCGAATCTTTCCTTCATGGCTTTCTGGAAGTTTAACCAGCTCGCCTGCAAGGATTCGATTGTCAGCACAGCTTTGGACTTGTTCTTTTGGCCTTTGCTAGGAGCCTGCCTGCTTTGTGGATTGCGGCCGGGATGCTGCTCTCTTCCTGCAGCAGCTTGCTCACACTTGCTGGCACGTTTTCACCGGTTCTCTGGCATATTTCGCGCATATGCTTTGCTGCTTCAACAAGCTCTGCAATATCATGTGAGGATCTGCCAGTTGGCGGTATCACAGGTTGCAGGGCTTTCTCTGACTGTGCTTTGGCGTCGCTGGCAATGTTCTCCCAGCTCCCTAAGGAGGATGCAGAGACATCGCGGTTCAGCAGCGGCATTTCGTTCTTGCTTGGCGATGTGTGCACTGGCTTGGGCTTGGTGGCTTCAGGATCCTCCTTGCCCTTATTGTGCATCTGCTGGTGCGGCGCTGGAAACTCCGGGCTTCCTGGCGCAGCTCCTTGCTTGCCAGTTTTTGCAGCATCCCTTGGTGTGCGGGGGTCATCCTTAGATTTGCCTTTACCTTTGGATTTACCCTTGCTCGCTGCGTTTGCTGCTTGGCGGGTTTTGCTGCCAGCCATCCCACGCATTTGCTTCCCAATGCTGTCCGCAGTGGGGGCAAAATTCAGCTGATGGCGGCATCATGTGCCCGCAGCTTGCACACTTCCATCTTGTCATTGCACTTGCCAACCTTGGATTTATGCTATGCTGCTATTCCAAGAGTGGTGCTTGTAAAGCACACTGTTCAAGTCAGCAACTTTGTGATTTCCTAGGTTGACCCGCAAGTAATGCTTGCCGATGCTTCGTTTTTTTTCTGGCTCTTCTATGCCAGGTTGGCTCTTTAGAAGCTCTTACAAGCGTATTTGCAGGCTTACTTCTTAGTGTAAGGCACACCAAGTTCCCCTTAAGAAGTTGCAAGGCACGTGATGCGGCAATGGCAGACACAGGAAGTGAGGGGGAGATTCGTGGTCACCCAAACGGAAAAAAGGGGAACTCACTAAGGCTCGAGCCGAAACCTTAAACCAACAACCCTTTGTTTAAACCCCTGCCCGGGTGAAGTGTTTGGGTCTCTATTTTAATAGTGAGTGTCCCGTTGTTTCAACTCCGTTTTTGGTTTGTGACCGCGCAAGCTTTTGGGAATGTAGAGGTTTTGCCGGGGATGGACGCGGCAGGGGCGGCCCGAAACGACCAGGCAACCGCCGACGCAATACCCTGTTGTTTGTTTGATTGGTTGCTTATTGTTTGTTGTTGTTTGGTTGGTTGATTCATTGGTTGTTTGGTTAGTTAGTTATGATTGTTTGCTTGCTTTCTTGCTTGTTTGTTTATTTGTTTGGTTTGTTTGTTTGATTGCTTGTTCGTTCGTTCTATTGTTTAGTTGTTTGCACGCTTTTCGCTTTGCCTGCGTGTCTATCTGTCTCTCGGCGTGCTTGTTCTTTGCTCCTTTCTTCCTGAATACTGTTTGCTTGTGTTTCTGTGGGTGTGTGTGGTTGTGTGTTTGTCGGTTCGTGTAAGTTTGCATGTGTATGTGTCTGTCTGTTTGTGTCTTTGTGCTTGTGTGAATGTGTGTGTCGCTATGCTGTATTTTATGTGTATTTCCTGATTTGCTGAAAGCCAGACTTCAGACATGAGACGCAGCAGGCCGGCGTTCATGCTGTGCCGCCAGAGTTCCCAAAACCGAAGCTCTTCGGCAAAATGCATCAAAAGAATCACCAAACGAAAGTTCCGCGTCGGATGAACTGATGAAAGGAAAGAACCTTGTCATCGATAACCTGCATTAGCTGGACTTCGGCCTTGGCGCGCAGGTCGCAAAGCCTAAAGCATAGGGATTACACGCGGGCGTGGAAGTCCTGCCTTCATTGGCTGAGAACTTGATGCAGCACTTCGGAGAAGTTCTCCACTCTGGCTTTGCGAGCGTCTCTGCCAGTCTCTGCCAGTCTCTGTGCCAGGTGCTCCTTGTGCCAAATTCGAAGCCGGGGATCCAACTACAATGCTGCAAAGCAGCGATGTAGAGCTCCACGTTGTGGCGGCGAAGCTCGGTACCGAGTCGCTGCGTCTTCAATCGGCCCAAGCCATTTTCGCCCGCCTCGTCCCAGTTTGGCCCGGGCCTGGGTGGCGTCGGTGGGAACCGAAGCGAGCAAAAGATGGTGTAGATTGGCGGTTGTGCCACGGCCCAACCACAGCCAGGAATCGGCTGCCGCCGCCGTATAACTGCTTGGCTCTGCATTTTGCCCCTATCCTACGTGGAACCCTACTCCATGTTCCGCCGGAGCGCAGGATGGTCAGCTGAATGGCTTTGACCGTGTCGCCTTAGGCCGGCACGCCTGGAAGCTTGTTTCCCTGTTCATTTTGCGGAATGCCTGGTTTGTTTAGGATGCAGCCCAGTGGAACACTATTGAACTTACCATACACAGTGGCAAAACATGTCAATTTGTCTTCGGTCAATTTGTCTTCGGAATTCGTCTGGGGGTAATTCGTCCTTCGGGTAGGAATTCGTCTTCGGGTAGGAATTCGTCTTCGGACAATTCGTCTTCGGAATTCGTCTTCAGAGGGTAGTTCGTCTTCGGGTAGGAACTCGACTTCGGACAATTCATCTTCGGGATTCGTCTTCAAAGGGTAGTTCGTCTTCGGGTAGGAATTCGTCTTCGGACAATTCGTCTTCGGGATTCGTCTTTGGGGGGCAATTCGTCTTCGAACTCGTCTTCGTAATTCGTCTTTGTCTGCAGGTGGAAAAGTGGTACCCGCTCAGCGGCCGCAATGTATATACATAGATGCACATATATATATATATATATGCACATATGTATATATATATATATATGCACATATATATATATATATGTATGGATCTTGATTTGCAGGGGCTTAAGTAAGTGGTTTAGTGACGCCCTAGGTACCAAGACGCCCGCCTAATATTGAAATTTGCCGATCAAGGTTTCCCTATTTTGACACATACTCATATGAGCCAATGTCAACATTCATTGTGCCTCCAACTGACATGGGATTTTCGGGAGTGACCTCCATTTCCTGATTGTTTTCTTGAGTGTGACCCACCTCAGACAAGCATCCCATATTGGTATGTCTCAAAATAGGGGAAGCCTGGGTGGATGGTTTTAAAGGGACGCCGAAAGGAGTATATCTAGAGGGATCCCAATTTTTGAGAAACGTCAATGGACCCTCCCATTCTGGCAAATGCTTTTGAAACCACAATACAAAGATCGACCATTTGACGGGTCCCACATCCTACAGGGGGCCTTCTTGTGGGGGATTGATTGATCAGAGGTCAACATTAAGCCTACGCAAGCCAGGTAGAACCTGCCGAAAGATGGCCCTTCTGAGAATAGGTTTTCGCTCACAGCCTCCAATGGAACCCACTTGTACTCCCTTGAAATTAACTATGGAACCCAAACAAAGGTCCATGTCAGGAGGAGATTCCGATCCTACAAATGGGGTATCTTTTGGGCTCCTTCCCTTGAAATCTGCTCTGTTTGCTCAGTTGCCCAGTTTCGACCCAGACAAAAAAGAGTGATCACCTTATGGAAACCCAAACAGGGGAACCCGAAGAGGCTCAACAAGTTTGCCCGGAAGGACGCTCGGGGCGCTGTGGTCTCGCGGCTGTACCGCGTGGAAGGGCCCCGCGGTGTGCCGCATCCGGGGGCTCGCGGGCCACGTGCCCGAGGCGAGGACCAAAACGCGGCTCTCGCGCGCCAAGGGCCGCCTGGCGAGCGCTGGGGTTAGCCCTTGAAACCAGAGGAAACTCACGAAAATAGACTCTTCAGATTCAGTTTTGAACAAGTCTACCCTGGAAATAACCGTTTGGGAAGAGATCCCAGTTTTGGGGCTGGTTTGAAGGGTACGAGAGGCTCGAGAGGGATCATCTTTGAGGAACGGTGATGGCTTTACTTCCGTCGTCCACGGCAAAAAACGACGGGCACCCGTTCTCGCTTTGGCAAAGGGAGAATCCACAAGAACGGGGCAACTTTCCTTGGACGCCCTGGGCCATGGCGGCCATGATCCAAGCGGGGCCAAACTTTGTCTCCCGCACCTGGGCTCTGGGAAGCGGAGATCGGTCACCGCTTTGCGGGCGCAGGTGGTCCAAAAGATGCAGTCCTTGGAGAGCCGAAGGCCAAAGACCTGCTGAGTGGTGGGTCCCTGGCAGTCCCTTGAAGGGAACAAATTTGGACCAGTCCAAAAATTACGGTTGAGAGCTGGCTTAGAGGATCCTACAGCATATAGAGTTTGGATGCATTGTTGTTAAGGTGGGCTTAGGCTGGGATTGGCTAGAAGCAAGTTTGCAAACAGACATATGGACAGCCGGACCAAAATAAGGAAGAAACCTGGCAACAAGCTTGAACCCTTACTGAGCCACTGAGGGCTAGCCATCCGAAGCCTGGGTCCTGGAAGCCCAAGGAGCTCCAAAGCGAAAAACGAGCTCCTGGTTAGAAGCAAGGCCAAGCAAGAGGCAGGAATGCAGCGGAGAAGTTGTTTCTCTTTTTCGCTTCACTTTATTACCTGCCTACGTTCTATTCCCTCAGTCGTTGTTCTATTCTATTCTCTCGGACGTTGTTTCACCTCCCTCTTGGCAAGAAGAGGGCAAACACATTCGAAGTCAGCAGGCCCGAGGCAAGCAAGACAAGGCAAGGCAACCCAGGGCCGAGCAAGCAAGGTAATGAGAGGAAACACGAGGAGTGGCAGACACAAGACTCAAAAAAATGGCCACGAGAATCTTTCGGAACTGAGTTGTTGTTAAACGGGCAAAGCAATGCAAAATGGGAGTTAAGCAAGCTACGGCAAAGCGAAGTGCTGTGTTAGGTGAAGCAAGGCAAGCTGGACATTCAAAACAACATGTTAAAACAAATGGAGACTTCCATGGGCGCGTCGTGTTCTTTTTCCAAATGGACACTTCAAACAACAGGGCTCCTAGATTTCCCCCTTAAGCATCACCCCACCAAAGCAAAAGCAGCTACAATTGTTCCACGTGATGCCTAAACTGGACTGCCGTAAAGGCTTTGAGGGAAATACATCAGCTCCCCTCCAACTGTTTGTTTGGATTGGTTTGGATGTGTTGCCGGGTGGTTCCCATTTACCGTCTGCAAGAAACAGGGGTGCGCATCCAAATTCAAAGCAATCCAAACCACCAAGTAAGGGCCACTGGATGCTTGGATATGTGTCAGAAGAGGGAGATCCCAGTAGGGAGACCCCTGACCAAAATGCGTAGCCGATCGTAGCCGGGCTGCGCCCCTCCGCAGCAGCACGGGCGTCCAGAGGTTGTAGTGGAAGGCAGGCTCAGCGGAGTTGCGCTTGTCCTCCGTCAAGAAGTCTGCGGTCACCTTGAGTCAGGATAGATGCTTCTCCCAACCAACCGAGAAAAAACAAAAAAAAGAGGAACAATGTCTGACCGGTCTTTAAAATCAAACGCAAAGAGCCTGAAAACAGGTGTACCCGCAAATGCAAGTCCCCCACCATCGATTTGAGCGTCTCCCCCAGCTTGGTTCTTAAGCCTAAACCTCCATTGATGGGGAGAAAGGGCCAACTTCTTTGGTTGTTCAAGGGACAGACCTTTGCCATCAGTCAAAGGTTACACAGTTCTCCCCCAGTCTCGTACCTCTTTGGAAAAGGGGGTCTTTGCACGTCTTGCAGAAGCGCCACGCAAATGGGCGGTTGACACAAATTTGAGTGTTGAGGGGACGAATCTGGAACCATTGAATCTGGTTGCCTGGCTGGTGATTGAAAACCAACGAAATCGCTGAATCGCTCGCTGGTGGTTGATGTCCATCCGTACCAACTCCAATTCAACGGCACACATGGAAAAGTCTTATCCTACTGGTCTGCCTGGAAACTGATATTGCCAACGTTGAGGTGACCATGTAAAGTATGTTAGAACCCCATAGCGGTCCAAATTCCCCTTGCCTCGTCTTCAGGTATCTTCTGACTGTGTGCTTTCCAGACACGGCGCAAATATCTGTTCGCCACGGTCCAAATCTGCTATACCCTCCATGGGCATGGGTAAATTGGACAGTTGTTGTGGATTTCGTGGAACACTTAGACCATAAACTTCTGGAAAAAACAACATGGCTGTTCTTGTATCAGTATTAAGGGGTTGATGACAGCCCGTGTAAACCCCAAAGTAGCAGGGGCCGCAATTTCTTTCCAAAAGATTTTTGGGGCGATTCGGTCACACCAGAGACCAGCCATGAACAGGGGGTGTCCCAGTTAAGACAAGATTTAATTGGAGTTGGGCCCCCTTTTGGCTGGAATTTAAGGGGAACCGCCCTTAGCAAACGCAAAGACCCAGCGACTCATCTCCTTGCCTCCGGAAACCACAGCCGGAACCAGAAGTGGCTTGCGTTCTTCCGGAACCTACGGTGAGATGGGTGTCGGTCAAAAAAAGGTACCCAAAATGGATCCCTGGTAAATGGAAACATGGACTGAAGGTTCAGATGAGAATTACCCAAGACACGTTGACTTTTGGTTCTAACAGCATGGTTCCAAAGGTTGATTTCACTATAGCCCCAAGCAAACCAGGTAGCAGCACCACCTACTAAATTGGAATTGTGGTGACTTCCCCAGTCTGAATCCGCCCTTCTTTCACAACCGCCGAAAACCCAGCAAAAAGGACTGGTTGTTGAAAGTCGGTGTTCTGCGCAGCTAGTGTCTCCCAATGATGGCGAACATATTGGCTGGTAACCACGTGTTCCAGTGGTGACTTGGTAACTAGTTGTTGTTGGCGGGGCTGTCTTCCTCATCCACATCGCAGCACATGACGGTGACATACGATGACAAATATGGCGATGTGTCAAAACCAGAACCCTCTGGAACAAGACAACCTGATTGGTGTCCTTTTGGACTCTACGAGAAGCTTTCTACAGTGACCGTTGCTCATATCAATTAGGGCTTCTGATGTTCCCAACATGAAAACGTGATCCCACCAACAAGACACTCACCAAAGAAATGTTCATTTAAATCACCACAAGGGCAAATTGACATATTCTAGGGGTACAGTCCCCCATTTTTTCCAGGGATCCGTATTTCCAAGAAACCACCCCAAAACCCGGAGCACGGCAGGGATGTGAAATTGGGCATCAATCTTCTGAAACATCTCCCATTCGAGGCCTTGGGCTCAACGCTCCAGGGCCCAATGCAGTCCAGAATCTGGGTTGGCTGCAACAACTTGGTGATGGACCCCTTCCAAGTAACAGCTTGAGTGCCGTCACAATACACAAAAATGGACAAGTGCAGTTTGGTTGAGGACAGTCCCTTTGCCGTAAATAGGAGATCCGCCTGAATCATAGGTTTTGGGAGCAGACTCCTGATGTTTATTCTGGCTACCCCCCGTGCAAAGGGTCCATTTCGCATAAAATGCCAAACATGTAGTGCTTCTGGGTTCCACGTCAATTAACATGTTCCATGCACAAGGTTTGGGGCCAATAACCGCAAATGAACAGGTCCCAAATAGTTTCAGGGTGCCTTAAAGGAGACATTTGGGCCAGCTAAATAAACACCTTCACCGGCTGGCTGATGACTACACGATCCGAACCATCCCAGCCTGGACTCGAGACCTCCAAAGTGCAGATTCCGCGGGTATGTGCGCCAAAGCCCAAAGGAGAGTGCGTTTACACGCCGCAACGCGGAAGCGTTGATGGCAAACCGCAAATGCATCCTCAGCTACAGGGGGCGTGTTCTGAACCCCCGGCCGGTTTTTTAGGTCTAGAAACCAAACGACAGTCCGAGCAGAGTTCTGGTAGCTTTCCAACCTGGGCCAAGTCATGGTTCAGAAATAATTGAAGTCAATATTGTCAGATCCACTGTCCATTTGGGATTGGGGTTCAGGCCATTCAAAAGGATGGAGTTCCTTAATACCCATGGAATGGGAGAGACGCCTTGTTCAACCTTTCTCAAAATGGGTTCCTTCCTTTTGAACAATCCTCATGTGATGTGGGTGTGTGATTTTCGGCGAGGGCCAAGTGAAACCACTGGGTTGGGCAGATTCTGGAATTGGGGGACCCTTGGCAACCAAAAGACATTACACGCGCAAGCCAACATCATAGTATCAAAGGGCGTGCGCCTTGCCCAAACCTCTATTCGCTTCAGATGCCGCTCACAGTAGCAGTCATGAAATGCAAGCAATGATCCCACACGTGTTGCGACCGTGCTCAACCCGTGCAAAGGAGCGTACGGTTGGGCACCTCAAGCTTCGAAGCAAGTCGGCATGCAAACGGAGGTGAGTCTGTCTGCTGAAGCTGAGAATGTGCTGCATGTGTTTGCCCGGCCCAGGGCTCGCTTGTTACTAACTCTTGACATGTGCCATGCAATCCCTTAAACATGTTCAACATGGGAGCGCCTTACCCTCCCACACTCTCTAGCCTTCGATCCGGGAAAGCTTGGTTCGCTGGTCTTGCTGACTGTTCGGAGCTGAGTTCACAGGCCACACTAGCAACTCGTTTGGAGCCCTCTGGCCGATCATGGAAGCGAACAGGCGTTGCAAGAGGACCGTGCTCTTGACCAAGCTTCCCCCCCCGCTCCCTTCCATGATTGTCGCAAAAAAGCGGTAGGTGACCAGTCTCACAAGTGCAGATCTTCCCCCCAACCGGCATGTCAGCAACAAACGATGGAGATCTATGGAGTCGAGTTATGTCCCAGCGTGCCATGGTGAACACCACGCCATCCAAGTATCAGGTAGGCATTCACCGGCATGCAAAACCTGAGATGCGCCCACGGGCATCCAATTTTATTGAACCCACATGCAGGTTACCCTTGAATGGTAGTCAAACCGCCAAACCACCAACTCAAATCAAGATTACTTGGACACATGAGCCAGAGTCAAAATTACTTGTTTCCCAATGAAGACATGCAAAAGTAAGTCCGAAGGTGTTTGTGGGGAACAATTAAGTAAGTTCCCCATGTCCCTTCCAAAAGGACCAATTGTTCGAACCTCCCATGTGCACGACAAGAAACCTAGGGTAGCTGGCCTGCGCGATGGCACTATTGCCTCGTCCAAATCTTCCAAAGGCAGGTAAATACGTTGCCCTCATCAGGATGGAGGCCCAAACAAAGCGAAAACAGAGCAAATCATGATCGCCCGACTTGTCGTGTCCGTGAGACAAAAATTAGGCGACAACCTTAATCGTTGGCAAACCCCGAAAACTAAATGTGAGGCACAAACAAGGTGACTCCAAAACATGAGCCAGGTGCCTCTAAACAGAAAAACACATATCCACAAATGGAAGAGCTTGCGCTTGCGGAGAAGAAGCCTGATTTGCGGAATGATACATCTATGTTTGTCGATGTTTTGACCATAGCACATGTAAGGCTTCCCTGCCCACACCCGAGTTAAAGGGTTCCTCTGACCACCTCTCGCAACTCAACCCTCTGCAGCCTGAAGGCTGGCTGTCTGCCACAGTGGTACACCCCTCCTGCGGATCGAAATCTGCCGGTAGACCTCTGGTCCAGTTGGACCAGCCCAGTCGTGAGCGGCTGTCTTCCTTACGAAGCCGACAGAGTTGTGCTCAAAACTTGGCAGGGAGTCTAGCCAAAAACATGGAAGCCATCCACAGCGTATCTTCCCCAATTATGTTTGGGAGTTTACCCCGAGTAAGATTAGTCTAGCCAGGTTTTGACTGGCTCAGAAGGACATCAAGCCAAAGGCGCAACTAACGTCATCCTTGTCCTCTCGCTGACACGTGCTTTGAGGTCAGTCGGCCGCTCCCCAACACATTGGGTCTAAGCGAATACGGCTGTGTGTGAAGGTTTACAAGGTATGCACTTGTTTAATCTTTTTATACAGACATCCAGCACAAACTTCCAAGCGGGCTGAAAGGAAGGCAGGAAGGAAAGCAGGAAGAAAGGAAGAAAGGGAGGAACAAATACACAAGGACCTAGAGAAATACATAGCAAAGGAAATGACAAAACACATGAACAAACAAAGACACACATGTATGAAGTAACAACTAGTGAACGAAGGAGTGAACGAATGACTGAATTCATGAACAAACAATATAACATGTAACATGCATGAGCATGTGTTGCGGTGCCTCATGCAAAAAGGAGCTCATCAAGAACGTAACACACACACACACACACACCTTGTACGAGTAGAAGCAGCCACCAACCTGCCGGCCAAGCATCGTTGCCCAAGATATAAATAGAGTCTGGAAGCAGGTCCTGAGACTGCCGAAGCCGAAAGACGCAATCCGCGTTCTGTCTGGGTCTGCACATGAAAAGAAACATAATCAATGCCTATGAAAGAAAGCTTTATCATGAGGTCCCAAACCGTTCGAACACCAAAATCCTATGTAAGGCCGCTTGAACAATTTGCCCAGCAATTCTGTGCATGTCTGTTGACCTGTCGAGGCAATCGCAGCGCCATGTGAAGAACGGGCAGTGATCCGCAGCGCATTCCAAAATTGAGCCTGCATACTTGGCAGTGCTTCCAAAATTTAGGGAGATCCTTTTGATAATTATGTAAGGGACATGGAGGCAACGGCACCTATCAGAAGAGCTCCCTTCAGGAAGCTCTCGAGTTGCTTTAATAAACTCCGGCACTGAGTTGAAAGCAGGTCCCCCTGTTTCCGCCAAGTCAATTTGATCCTGACGTCGGGCGCGCATTTTTTGGCGCAACTGACCCGACATTTTCAGGGGGCCTGGAACAGGACAACCTCTGGGACATCAACCGTATGGACAATGGACACATGGGAAACACATGAGTTTAGCACAAAACCCGTTGAACAAGTGTTGGGTAAATCCAACGGAAAACAAAAAGCCTTGTCCAATGTCTTTGGGGCAATCTGTTTTCAATCGCCGGGCAACCGCAGACACCCTGTCCCGATGGCTTTGCGCTCATAGACCTGGGTTCCTTCACTGCCACGCGATTTGACTTGACGATCGTATGCTCCTAGCCGGGGGTTCATTTGGGTGTGTCATTTTTGGAGAGTAGCCTTTTAGGGGATAGTTCTAAAAGGAAACCAAAAGAACTCAACCACAACACTTTGGGGTTCCATTTGTTTTCCTCAAGATAGACTTAAACCCAGTTCGCCCTTTCACAAGAGGTCTGCCCTGGCACAACATGGAACCCAGTTTGCGGGGTCTCTTTTGCGGGATTGTTTGGGTCTCCGACATACTGGGGCAATGTAGGTTTCAAAGACACCCCCCCCCCCAGAAGTAATGTTGAGAAGCCGTCAAAATGCTCACTTTAAGGGACCCAAACAGAAAGCCACGTCCAAGAGTCTGTGGCAAAGCGAACGTGCTGATGCCACTGGTCATGGTAGTCATGGAATCCATCGTGAATGTTGGGCAAGCGCCGGATGATGGCCTTTCAAAAACGGCAAAGAAAGCACTTCGTGCTAGTCCGGGCCACTACGGAAACCCTTGGTGTGAGTTCTGTCAGTGGACAGGGCTTGCTGTTGAGGGCTCTTTGTTCAACGCGGAAACTGGCACCAGAATTCTACTGAACGACCAGGTTGCGGAACCCGTGGAATCAAAACAACCCTCTCGGTCATGGAGCCACTTAGTCCCAGTTTGAGGCGCCTTCAGGCTGCAAATCCTAAAATTCTTAGAGAGGAGACAAGGGCCCCCAACATAGTGGTTTTCCTTTTGGTTCCCCATTAAACTCACGCGAAAAAGCTACCGAGCCACGATTCCTCGAGAGCGCAAGCAATCCCAGCCATCTACACAGTGCGGTTCAGGTGAGCTCGCCATGTCCACCCCATTTTTTTGCTTGCCCCCAATTGAATGAACATGTGCGTTTCAAATGCTGGCCCATATTGAGTGAGCCTTGACATGTAAACTAATGTGAGCAGCGCTTCAAGATTTATTGATGGGTTTGGACATACCAAAACGGAAATCCGCCGACGCCAGTCGAGCGTGCAGATGGCAGTCCGCAACTTGGTTTTCCTTCGGATCTCTGATCAAAGCCGAATGCTTTTGGGGCTGCCATTTGTTGGGCATGGTGTGCTGGGTGTCCAAAACCCTGTAATTTCCCAGTGTTTTTGGGGCTTGCATGCAAAAAATATGCGTTTCGCCTAGGTCTCTAGGGGGCTGCATCCCCAGCATCATCAGGATTACCTTGCTGCCATGAATTTTGTCTCTTTTCTTTGCAGATGCTAATGGTGTTTTGCTGTTTCAAGCGATGTTGGAATCGGCCTGTTAGGGGTCTGGGTGTGGCCAAGTGCAGTGATACGTGAGGAACTGTTTGAATTTCCAAAAATGAGTGTTTTTTGCAATTCCCCAACTGCACGGAGCAGTTACTGCGAAACATCCCCTGCATCATCGTGCTTTTGGAAGTCTATTTAGGGCATTTGAGGGGGGTTGCTAGAATCTGCTTTGATGCTTGATTTTGGGAAATATCAACAAACATCCTGTTTTTGGACTTTTTTGTGGCCAGCCGGCTGCATTCCCAGCATTTCCGGCATCTCCGGTATTTTCAGTGTTTGGTCAATTTTGTGTCTGAAAGTCTTGGGTCTGTTCCTGTACGTTGTGGTTGCATCCCTTGCATTTCCAGCATCCTCAGCATCACTTCCATAACAATATATATGAAAAAAACTCTTAAAATCCCTTGCACCCCACTGGCGTCGGCGGTTTCAATAAAGGAATGTACAGGCCTTGCTGGGGGTTTTGCGAGCTCATATCATTTCACAGGTCCGGTACCCTTTTGCTGGTTTTAAAGCGGAAACCGCTATATAGTTGTATATATGAATATATTTGGAGGGGGTCCCCCTAAAACAACACACCCATATATGGGTTGTGACCCAACTTATCAAAAGACACCAAACTCCTCTGCAGGTTCTTTTTGAAGTGCCTTCTGCTTCTTTCCGGCAGCAAACAAATCCCATGCCCAACTGAGTCGGACCTGGGTGTCCAGGATCAAAGGATACTACCTGCATGATAAAGGGTCCTAAGAGGACCATGGACTTCCAACCTCCAATCGGGTGTAGCTTTCTTGAGGGTGCCCTGTTTGAACGAAAAGGACATCAAGCATGTTGTGGGTTCCCATCGCTATTTTGAGACAAACCCAATTGCCAGGCTCAAAAGAGGAGTTAAATATTTTCTGTCATTTTAGTCAACACGGCAAAGATGAACTTAGACCAGACCCAGTAGTTAGGCCTTCTGGACCACACGGATCCGACCCCCTGCAAAAAGTAAAAGCTTGTTGCCCTGCAGGACCCAAAGGTAGAGGGTTAAGATGGGTATCGTTCGAGACAACTCATGTTTTGTCCCCTCCACTTGGGTTCGCATTCCTATTTTGAGAACCCAATGAAGCCTTCAAGTCCAGCTCGAAGATGGGGATCCCGTGCGCAGCGCAGAAGCGCTCGATCCAAGCATCGCAGTTCCAGACTCTGCCGGCCATGTCCCGCCGCAGCAAACATCGGTCCTGAGATGCCAAGGACACGACCCCTTGGGGCTGGAGGGGGGGGGGGCTATCCCAGGATAAGCGCAGGATAAGCCAAGGAGTCCTTGCAATGGGCCTTGTTCAGGGTGAATACTGAATAGCCCATAGGACCAGGAACTTCGATTTGCTGTGTTTCCTGTAGCTTGTGTCTTAGAGTCGCCTTTGCTTGCCATGCAACCGATTTTGGCTGCAGCCAATAATCACTCCCCCCCCCTTTGGGGGACCCCAAACATACACCTTTCGGGAAAACTAAATAGAACCTGGAGGTGTGTTTTTGCAGCGGTGGTGTGTTGAGGAGTTGTTGGATGAAACAACTACCTGCACGGGTGCCTCTAACGTATGTTCCACTAAGCGGTGGTACCAAGCTATTAGAGGTATTTAAGGAGTATGAAGAAGATTGGAAGCCCAGACTCCAATGGCACGTATATCTTACCCTTGAGATTTGATGCAAATGGGTATTGCAACCGGAAGGTGTCGTGCTTCAAGCTCTATTCGCTTTCAGGTTTTGAGATACTTGTACCTGTTTTGAGGGTCCACCATTTTTTGCTTTCCCCACACCGCGGCACCTCATTGTCAGGACGAACCCACATTGGTCAGAGTCAATAGCGCTCTCTACGGGTCTCCCGGGTCTTCCTTAGTCCTCCCCAAAAAACAGGACACAAGAACACCACTGGGTGCCTGGGTTGATGATCTAAAGTTCAGATCCAGCCAAGTATCCAAGATGCTTTCGAACACAAGATCCGCGAAGTTCCGTGGCACCAGTTGCACTGGGTCTTTGCAAATGGAGTCCTGCCAGGCATGTGGTTCGTGGCATTCTTCATCTTTTGACTCTCTACGAAGCCTGATGGGCTTGTTTCAACCCAAATGGTTTACTCACACCGTTGTCCTTTGATACCAAATCAACCGTGGGCAGCCCCACCCGAAGAACACCCTGATCAATCAGTGCCTCCCAATCAGGCAACACAAGATGAGCTCCAGCCTTGCTTGTCATTTTGTTCACGGGAAATATCTTCAAACTTTCAGGTGCGTTGGTTCAACAGTTGCTCCGAAACCCTGTAAGGGTGAATATACGGACCCAAAACAAATCTTATGCCCTTGTAGATTGGTCATTGGAGGTTCCGAGCAACCTCGAACAACTGCGGTTTGATTGCAGCCCCAAAAGAAATGAACCAAACAAGATGCCCAGTCCAACTTTTAAAGGGCAACCACCAGACAACTTTGCAACGAAAAAGCAGCGACTGCGGTTTGCCCCGTGTTTTGGAACACCTCCACAAAAGAAGAATCTGGAAACCGTGCTGAAGGGGGCAACAACAAGACATGTTTTGCACGTGAAAGTCTTCAATGCTAGTCTTCCCCAATTGGACCTGGAGTGTTTGGGTGCTGTCGGGGTGCTACCCCTTTTGGAAACTCAAGGAATATGATGTTTGTTGATAGGCTGGAATGGGATTTGCCTCTACGGGCCATGATGACTGCTGGCGGATGGATGCTGTGTTACCTTACCATTGTTTTTGACAGGGCACAATTGGGTGTGTCCCAAAACGAGGGACTCTCCAGGTGATTTGGGGTTTCCCACTTTGACACCAAGGGGTGAAGAAAATGAGAGACTAAACCCACCTTATCCCTAATTGGTGGACATGAGGGGTTGCCTTGGCCATTTGGTTTCAAAAGAAGCTGGGGTTCAAGCCCCCGGTTCCCACCAAAGTACCAAGTCATGGCTACCTCATTTAAACGAATGATTTTTCCATGTCCTGCAAGCCATCCGCGAGGCGCGGCGTATAGATCCCCGTAGGCGCCAACTGATCCAAAGGCGGCAGCTTGGTCTCCGGGTCCCAAAGCAGGTCCGGGCGACTGCGCAGGATCCAACTGAAGCGCTCCCCGGTGTCCTCGGGCGAAATGGGTGTCTTGTTTAAGGTTGGAACCCCCAAAGTGGCGGTTTTCCTTTTGGTCTTCCTTTTCCTCAATCCCTCAAAAAACAGACCAAATGGGAGTGTCTCAGAATGATGGACTCCCTTTGGCATTTGAATCATGGAGAAAGCGACGGAATCCAATTCAGTCAGGGGCCAAATTGAGACCCTCCCAAATGGAGGGGCTGGAACCAAAAACAAAGCCTCCAATACCCTTCTGGTTTCCTTCTGGAGAGGACCGGCCTAGGGACTTGCAAACATGGCAAGTGAGTTCTAACCTTGGGGGACTTGGCAGACGTGGTAACAGTAGCGAGTTTTAAGTTTCGGCGTTACAAGCCACTCTTCCTAAGCACCTGCTTTCAGGTGAGGAGCAACTGGAGCGCTTCATGGGGCGCTCAAGGACAGCCGGGCTTGGCGACTCCCTGCTCCAAAGTGTTAACTTGTTGAGGGCAAACAACCATGATCGCTTTGCTTTTATATTTGGGGAATCCCTTTTTGTTTGGTTGGTTTAGCAGGAAGTCAAAAGGCAAAACCAACTTTGAGGGGTCCCAAAAAGATGACACACCCAGATGATCCCAAAAAAATCAGCCCAATAGCAACGAGGCGTGCTTGCTTTGGAGGTCTTACTCTCACACAGAACCCGACGAAGGGAGGCCCATGCCAACATGTGCCCACCAACCGAGCGACCGACCGACCGACCAGCCAGCCGCCAACCATTTCGGGAAGTCAAAGAGCAACTTTGAGTCACACCCCAAATGCCCATCCAACAACCCACCGCTTCCTGGTGTCCTGCTCGTGCTCTCGGACCAAATCCAAACACAGGCGAACCTTGTCGAACATGTGGATACCTGGGTGCTAAATCGGGGGGTCTGGACAACTTTAAATACAAAGCACACGCACAAACCCATCCTCTTTTGGTTTCCCTTTGGGAAAACTACAAAAGGGTGGTTGCTATTTGTGACCAAGATGCATTGGAAGAGGCAATCTGGCTGGTAGTAGGTCATCCGATTCTGTCCCTTCGGCGGAGGTGGGTCCAGTAGATATCTAGTTGGCGGCATCACCTTCCTCAGCTCGAGGTAAAGCAGACAAATTATTTGGGGAAGGGACTACAAGGAAACCGCCCCACTTAACTTTCAGGGCCCCTTTATCGAGAGTCCTTTTTCACGTCGGAGTTTTCTCGAACAAAAAGAGGAAACAACGATCAGTTGGTTTGGCTGTTTCACCGGTTGAGTGTTTCCAAAATCAGGATGTGGACCCCCCAAAATTGGATTGAGGTTTTCAATGAGTGGTTCCCTTGATTGCCTTGCAGGAAAACATGGGGTGCCTTTCCCCCGTGAACAACAGGTCGACTACCTTTTCCAGGTCGAATGGAAAAGCCATGTGTTTCCAAAAAGCTCAAAGGAGTTAAGGTCAAATGCCCGACATGAACCGGCTGGGCACCAAAACAGAAACATGCACCGAAAGTTCGTTTCAGGTCAAAGCCCAGCCAGGGGACGCGCGAAGAGGACATCGACGCTTGATGTCAGACTGAGACCCTTAAACAGTTTACGCTCTGCGTTGAAAAAGGAAACCAAGGTAAACAACAAGCCTGGCAACATCAAAGGGTTTCTAGGTTGACACTTAGCTAAGTCAAGTATCCCCCCACACAACTGGGTGCTAAATTGGTCTGGCCCCCCTCCACTTGCGCCATCTCCTTCTTGAATGGGTTCATCGGCACGAAAATGCACACAATGTCCATCCCTCCGGAAAATATAAAACGTAAACTGGGCCATTTCAGGGGATGGACCCATTGGACCCCATTTCTGATCAAGCTTCCAGGCCGACTCCCAAAGCACGGTCTCGTTGTACTTGTAGACTCCTCCTTTGGAGGTCTCACCTTCGGGCTGAAAGTCCTTCTTCCAACCAGTCATCCCCGAAGTGGAACAAAGCCATTTACTTTTGCCCGTGCTTGAAAAAACATTCTGTATAGGCCGTTACCATTTCATGGCCAGGTGGTACCCTGAAGAACCTCTTCAGGTCACCATTTTCGCCAAGGAACCCTTGCAGGATCCATGTTCGAGCCTCTTTCTAGATTCTACATTTGGTGCAGGTTCCCTTGAAAAATGTGCTCTTCCTCCCTTTCGCCAAGTCCCATGGAAAAAAATACCTGGAATCAGAGATTCCTTTCGAGCCAGCATGGGGGAAAAAACACTATAAATATTCTTAAGCAAATGGAAGTAAGTCTTGGACATGGTTTCCGTGCAGTATGTTTGCGAAATGAATTTGCCCAGAGACAAACTTCAAGAACTTCAAAAGGAAAGGGACACCACGACTTATACAATATGTCCAAGACCTGACATGGCGAGCTCGCACAAAACCCCGAAATCGGTGAGCTCACCATACAGACTGAAATGGAAACCGCCAGCTGCAATCGAGTCGCTTCTTTGGGAGGACATGCCCAGAACATAAAAGAACTTGCTGCACGGCAGCGGTGCTGCGCGCTGCACGAAGATCCGGAGGATGGACTCATAGACGGCCTCCTCGCGAAGAAAAACACACCAGATTCACATAGAACCCTAACCCATCCCAACGACAATTCCTCTTGGGGATAGTTCCCCCTTTTAGGGGTTCATTTGGGTGTGTTCATTTCTTGAGGGCACCTTATTCTGTGTTTGTAGGGGGAGCCAAAAGGAAAACCAAAACCACCATTCGGGGGTCCCCTAAAAGACAGCTCCATCTTTAGAGGAACCTTTGGACCCTTCCGGGGTTCTTTCCGTTGCCCGGGGTCCTCCGGGAAGCTCCGCACGTGTCCCACGATGCAGTGGGCCACCAGGCCGCCGTCGCACTCCGCGCCGTACGCGGAACCCAGGGCCAGCGCCCAAGGTGCGGCGCGTACGACGAGCCGCATGGCTGTGCCATGGCGTGTCCGCGCAAAATGCGGAGATTTGTGCGGTCTCCAAAGCCAAATTGTTCATTTGTTGACTCTTGAGTCAGTTCAGTCAAAGTGTCACTTACCCCAAGGTTTTCCATTGGTAGGTCATTTTGGCTCTTGGAAGTGAGAGGTTGCTGGGCTTGACATACGGGTTCTATAATATGGGAACACCAAAATGGGATGTTCCTTTCAGCGAGCCTTTTAAACGAACAACATGACTCTGCAACTGAAGTGAGTCTGATACTAAAGATATACCTCTGCAACGAAATGGGTGTGAAATTTCATTGGGGACTGTCTGGTGGGCTTTTAGGTGGGGATACAGCTCTACCAAGCAATCAAGAGGGTATTCCTCTCTGAGTCTGCAACTGAAAAAGACCCCTGCAACAAACAGTTCTACAGCATAAGAAGCCATACACTCCTGCGGATTGACACGGACCCTGAAAAACCAAGGGTTTATTTGAGAGGAATCTCATTTTCGGGGGAAAAACACCTGCACTGCGATCTGGACATGAATCAAAAGACACGTGCAGGCCCCGTACCCAGGGACAACAAGCAAAGGACGCATTTGACATGCACCAAAGGACCATGCAGAAGGAACCCATTTGTTGGAGCCCATTCAACGGCTCACCCAACACCCCCCTTGAATACACGTTGCACGGCCTGAATCACTGGATGCCCATCTGGACCTAACGTCTTGTCGCGTGACTTGTGTGACTCACAAATGGTTTCAAAAATGAGGGTCGGCACCCGTGATGGAACTTCAGGTTTCATCGCCCCATTCTCTACGTCCATCAAGCGGTAGGCTCAAGAACTTTGACAACCGTTGGAGGCAATCATAGCACTGGGCCCAGCATAGTTGCGTCTCAACTGTTCCGGACCCCCCTTTTGTGTGCATGTGTTTTTGTTGGTACCCCTTTTGGTTGGTTTGAAGGGAAACTAAGAGAAAAACCACCATTTTGGTGAGTCCCCTAAGAAAACACGGAGACACACACACACAGTTGGGATTGGCGGTTTATCAACCAGTAGTCAAAGCGGGATTTTATCCACAACTGGCGCGAAGTGTGTGTTGTCCGCAGTATTGCTCAGACAACCTTGCGCTTCCTTTTGAACGGACTCAGGAGCTTGTTCACACCACAATCGACCCTACGCTTGGAAGGTGGGCTCAACATGGCTCCCTGCCAACCCTCTCAGCTCCGGGCCAACTTCATTGTGCGCTTGCGCCGCGCTGGAGCCGAAACGCAAGCAAACGCCTCGTCAAATCAGTCAGCCGACCCTGCAGGGGCGGTTTCAAACAGCAAAAAGGAACTGTCCTGCAAAATGATGTGAAACCTCAACATCTTGTCCCTCACTGCAAGATTTCTCTGGGTGTTTTGTTAGGTTGCATCTCAATTTTCTGCAGAGTGCCTCACTTGGATTCAGGGAAACCAACCTGGCCGGGCAAAACACAGCCTGTTGCGGGAAAAAACGGATCCATACAGAAATGCTCCTGGAACTACAGGAGCTTGGGCCATCTGGCGGTTCTCTCGGCCTTCAGGTCACTGGTGCGAAATTGCGCTGGTACCAATCTAGGCAACGGTGTCACTCTCAATGAGGTTCCCTGGGTATCACAGAAAGTGGCCCTACAACGGAAAATCCCATGCTCCAACTTGACCTTGTTCCACTTCCTCATGTTTGGGCAAAGGACAGAAGCCCTCCTCCCCTCTCCGTTGACCCTTGCTGGTCTCGACATGTTCCGTTCGAATTATGCGTTGGCTGTTGCGGGCAAAAATGTCCAGAAACACTCAAGGAATCCCTTTGACTTCCGGGTCAAAACAGTACTCAATGTGAAAACCTAAGCAAGTCCGATTTCACCATTCAGGGCCACTACTTCTTTGTGTACCCACACAGTATGAATAACCTGACGCAAGTCGCCAACTGCTTGCCTGTCAGTAGCTACATACATTATTCGAAATCACTTGCTGAATGCACCTTTAGACAAGTTTATGCACAGCTACATGACTTGACATCGCTAGGCTTCCACATAAATGCCAGGGGTTCCCCTGGCTCCTTTGTAATTACCACCCAAAAAGTACATCCTTCGGCCTTGCCGACCGACTGACCCCTCAGACATGGCGCACTTTGTGCTGGCGTCTGCAGCAACCATAGAGCCTGCCTTGGCAGCCTTGGCAGTGCGGCTTAGTATCGATGGATTCTGGTGGCTGGTTGCCCACCCCAAAAGGATTCACTGGCCATCACAAGCGCCAAGAAGGATTGCCGCTTGCAACTCTAAGCTCATCATCATTCAAAAAACAAACAAAACATGCACGCCGGGAGGACCCTCTGCGCTTGTAGAAACAGCTGGTCTCTTCTTCGCTGTATTGCTTTTCAGCTGTTGACGCATCGACCATACTTCCCCAGTTGCCAGCCGGGCCGCGCCACCGAGACTTGACCCTGCAAGCATGGCTTTGGTGAGAAGCCTCCTGCCTACAATCGAGCGATTTGAGCTGTCTCCATGGCTGTCACCCACAGCCTACAAGACACCTATGCACGCATCCGGCCACGGCCAGTGAGCAAAGCTGTAGTAAGCGGCCAACATGTCACCTCGATCTGTGGTGCTCTGCAGGCAGTACGAACACACCTCACGTAGCACACAAGTTGTGGTTTCCCTCAAAAGGGCAAAGACTCATGTCCAGAAAGTGGTCGCCATGAATCAAGAACACGGCTGCCATCTTCTCAGCAATGTCACTGTCACCGTTCCAACATGGCAAATCGGCCTTATTTGGACGTGCTCAATTTGGAGGCCCGAAAGGCCCGGTGTCCCTTCAAGCCACACTCAAAACGGATACCAACTCTAAACAAAGGCAACATGTGTCAACTCTGCGGACCTTGCCAAATGGTCGGCTTCATACTGGTCTGCGTTTAGATCCTGCGGAAAACCTGCAAAAAATGATGGTGAATAAAAGCAAGCAATGTAAATGGAGTTGATCCCGCCCTTTGTCCGGCGCGTGGCGCGTGGCGCGTGGCAGACGTTAACACTGCCCGCAGCAGCCCGCGAGGAGCAAAAAAAGTTGCCCGCTAAGGCGGCACTGCTCACAAGGTGACCCCAAAAGATGAATTGCTCTTCAAACTGAAGGGGAAGTGGCAATCGAATGCATGCTTCATCATGTTCACCATTCAAAAGGTATGGAATGAATGGACACCCTCAGAATCTTTGCTTTGGAACGAATGGACCCAGGGCCCAGGGATGGGCTAGGCATGTCATGAAGTTGGAAGGGGGGGGTTAAGCGACAGCTTGCCAATCACTTTAAACTGGTTGCACATGGCACCCACTGTCTTTTAGCCACAACACGCAACTGAAAAGACAAATGCCTGAGTGCCTAAGTGTCTAAGTCCATAGCAACAACTCTAGTCTTTCTCTGGTCAATGGAAGCATGATGGATCTGGCAGGGAGAAAAGTGGCCTGTTCAGAATGGGTGGAATTCCAAACCGATTTTAAGCATAATCCCGACTCAACAACCATCCTAACCATCCAAAAGTTACCCTTGTGTTTCTGTTCTGATGGGTGGAATGTCGAGTTGGCCCAAAGGCTCTTGTGGATCTCCGAATGAAAGTTGGCTGTCACGCCATCTGTTTTAGGGTCTTCCTCTGACTAGGGTACTCCGGATTAATCCGAAGTTGTAACATACTGGATACTGTTAATCAGTTAGGCAAGGAGTTTGGCAACAGAAACGTGCTTCTGTCGGACTGGTTGGCCGAAAGCAGCTCCCCTTTTTTGCTCCCGCGGGGGCCATCGGGCAAGCAGCGGCTGTGGGGCCGGTGGCGGATGCTCAGCCCATGAAGCTGTGAGGCCTTGCAAGCGGTGCATGGGTAAAAAGTGTTGTGGAACTGGGTGGTTAGGTTAAGGTCTGGAAAAACTCCCTAAAAGGTGCCTGGGTAAGAAATGTCCTAGAAGGGACACTAAGACGGCCCTCGAGGCTCGTTGAAAGCGAAACAATCCGGGTTGTCTCTTAAATGGCTACCCCCTTAGGTTGGCATCTCAAGGAAACCACAAGGTAACGTTATGTTTCCGGCTTCCCCTGCTGGAAGCGATTTCCTGAAACTCTGGTTGCCCTGTATAGGGTTGAGGCTCGCTTTTTCTTGGACCCTTTTGCGACCCAATAGAGTCGAGAGCTGAAGAAATTCCAACCCGCCTGGGGGAACTCTGAAAATGGGATGCGGAATGATTTTTTCGTCAATGGGCGGAGGGCACGAGGAGGGATTCCCTCACAAAACGGGCACACCCATTGACCCCCCATGTGCTAAATGTTTGCTTAACCACCCCAAGCGGCAACAAAAATGGAGTTGGAATCTCGAAAAACAAATCAGTTGAAACCCTCGGAAACCGTCTGGGCTGTAGGTCTATTTTTTTGACAAGCTAGGACTTTGGAGAGTTGGAACCACCGAACTCAAGCGGTTGGTGGACAAACAAACACATGTTCTGGGCCCCTTATCAAAAATAACAGTACAATGCCAAGGGGAACGGCTGTTGATAGAAAGAATGATGAAAGAAGGTCGCCCCTCTTCACGTGCTTACCATATTGAGCTTAAAGCATTCGGGTTGAAGTAGATGGCACCATCCTCCATCATTCACCAACATAAGATCCTCGAAATCCAAATGGTGGGTGAATCCTCCTCAAAATCCTCGGAAATTGTGAATCTCAATTCCAGAACCATTGGAACGAGGATAGCTTGCCTGTCTGGTGTAAGTGGGCTCAATATCCAGTAGCATCGTTTAGCTTGGGATTTACGCCGTCCACCAGCCACTTTTTAGGGGCTCCACATAAAAGTTCATGGCGCGTGAACGCTTCCGTGCCCTCAACTCACTTGCTGAGTGCCTTGGCCAACAAGAGTCCGCATATTTGTTCGGTTTGTCGCTAAAGTCACGAAAATCATCGTCCAAAACGCGACCCTTAGCCCAGGAACTTTGGAAGTGAGTCGAAACGGTACACATTTTGTTCGAAACATCGGAAGCCGCCACGGGCCCCGGCGCGTCGGCTTCCAGCTCCGACAGCGCGGCGCCCAAAATGGCGCCACGGACCTGGCAGGTCCATGAAAACCTGGTGAATATCGGGGTGTCTTTGTTTAGGGGACCCTCCAAAATGGGTGCTGTCCATTTCGCGCCCCTTTAAATCAACCCTAGGGTACCGTCAAAAAGAGACACTCCCATATGGGGGTGTCTTTTCTTTTGGGATCCCCACTTTGTTTTTTTTGTAAAGGGAGCCCAAGCAAAACCCTTGCCATGGGGTTCCCCTATAAGATTTTAATCCATATCCAAGCAGGAGCTGTTTGCTGTGGATGCACGAAGTCTGCTTCGCACTAGTCTGTAGGTGGTTTATCCCAGGGCTTCATCCATCCCAACTGATGCAGGAAATTGTCCACAATATGGAGTCAACAAAAACACCTGGGTTCAGCTTGTTAAGCACCAACAATAGTCCAAGGGCGCTTTTGCTAATCAAATTCAAAGTAGAAGCCTTGCTGACCTAAGAAAAAACATAATCAAAAAAGTAGCTGGCGGGTTGACGGGGTCAAAAGAATGATGCTTCAAAAAGGAGGACGGCATTTCAATCCCTGTAAAAAAACTCTAAAAAGTAGCGGAGGGGTTGGGGGGGGGGGGCTGCCGCCCCCCCCCCCCATGATGTCGGAGGAAGTGATGACTCAAGAAGGGGTGCAATCATTCAAGAAAGGGTGCAGAGGGAGGGTTGGCAGGGGTGGCTTCCCCTATGATGTTCGAAGAAGTGCATACATACAGACATACATGGATTACGCAAATTACCCACAAATCGTAGTTGCAGCATTTTCTCGCGAATTTGGACGCTCGAAAAAGTGATGATTCAAATAGGGGTGCAATTCAATCTCTGCAAGAAATCTAAAAAGTAGCGGGGGGTTGGGGGGGGAAGCCGCATAAAACGCAAAAGCCAAAACGCCACCTGCCGAAGAGGAGCTGGGAATGCAAAGGATGCGAAAAGCCAAAGCCAAGAAGCCACCAAAGGCCGCATACACCAACAAAAACCCGAAAAGCCCAGAAGCCGAGAAGCCAAAAAGCCAAAAAGCCAAGAAGCCAAAAAGCCAAGAAGCCAAAAAGCCAAGAAGCCAAAAGCGAACCAAACAAAAAAAACAAAAAACTAAAATAAGCCCCTCCTCTCTGATTTGCCATTGACTTTCGATTCAAACTAGCACAGGCACTGTCCGCCCTCCCCTTAATAGATCCTGCGGGCTGTTTGGCAAATATCCCGCACCCCTTCCGGCTCCCCCAATGGAAATTAAGGTTAGCCTGCCTAAGCATCGCAAAGGAAGACTGTACCAAAGCCAGAGCCCGAAGGCTGTGGCAGGTACAGCCCGAAGGCTTTGGAAAGCACAATACGACACGGAGGGGATTCGAACCCCTGTGGGCAAAGCCCAATGGATTTCGAGTCCAGAACCACACGACTCTTGCCCGACCGCAGTCTTGCTTTCCTGCTCATACACAAGGGTCTCATAGCTCAGTTGCCCTCTTGGAAGCTTCATGGATTGCAAACCAAACCCCTCAGGTCTTCCTTCATCTTTGAAGAACGGGCGTCTTAACACCAAAAGAAGCCTCGTTCCCTTTTCAGACAATCAATCCCGAACTGGCTCCGATTCTGGATGGGCAACAAGCGACCGGAAATTGGAGGATTCTCCCAAACCAGTACTGGAATCCAAGGTTTCCTTAGGTTTTCCCTTTGAACCTCAAACAAGGTAGACTCGCTTTGCTTTCATTTAATGTGGCCCAAGAGGTGATGTTAAGACCACCCTGAAAAAGGGAAACTTGACTGGGCTCTCCGTTTTCTGATCCCGTGCTAAAAGTTTAAGTATTAGTGCGTTGGAGTGGAAACTACCACCAAACACTCAAAATCTGAACACCTAAGGAGATGGCTGGGAACCACCAAGTAACGGGAACCCCGGAATCGGTGGAGCTCTTTGAATCTCCGTACAGCATCTTTCAGCTCGCGGAGCTCGCCGAGCTCCCAGCATCCTCTCCGTTCTCCGCCTTCCGCACCTGGCGATCGAGAGAGTTGGCCTTGCGTTGTTGATGGCACTAAAAAGCAATTACTCAAAAACTTAATGTCGTAGGAGGGTATATTAAAGTACATTCCTTCAAACCAGCTGAAAAACAATGTGGCCGTAAGCAAATGAAAGAAGCTCTTGTGGTCGGCCAATTCCTCGCAACTCAATTTGCGCAGGCTTGGCGAGTGAAACTCGCTGCTGAGAAACGGAGTCTTCAAGAAACGAGTACCGAGTGCAACCTGGAGGTTGTTGTTGATCCTCTTTGGGGTGCTTGATTGGTTGGAATGTTCACCAAGTCAATTTTTCACATGGCTCCAAAGACCAGGGTAACCCACCTTGGAGGGAGGTCCATGACAGTACGACTTTCCAAATCTTTGGCCTGAGCAAAAAAAGTTGCTTTTTGCAGCCCATAATTTGAGACTTAAACCGATAACTACAACCGCCAAGAACGGTGAAAACGAGGCCGCGATTTCATATACCCTCCCAAGTTCGCCTCTGCGTCTGCTGCCGCCTGCCACGCCTGAAAGACGGGCCAACCAAACCACATCAAGGATTGCAAAGCACCACTACACCAAATGTCGCTTGCCCATGAACAAACGAGACGAGCCGCACTTCACTTTGGGGACTCTGAGGGCAAAGGCAAGCCGAACTGGAACAAAAACCAAACACACACACACACACACACACACACACAAAAAAAAAAGAAAGAAAGAAGAAGCTCATTTGCCAACCAAAAGCTGGGCATGTTTTTTTCGTGGTTGGGTATCCTCTCTCTTGGGTGGTTGGGAAGAGAAACAACCGCTCTTTTTTTTCCGCGGCAGGGGCTCCCCATGCCCAGACACTCGCACCTGTGGATCGCTTGCGAGCCCTACGAGCCACGGTTTGCTTTGGGCCACCGGCGGCTTCGTCGCAGATGAAGTGGTACCTGGAACCGGGAACCGCATTTCGCTTGCCGGTCCGCCGTTCGGTTCCAAATCTTGGCCCAGCTACGCAGAAAATCGGATTTGCAGATCCTGTTTCATGTCTAGTCAGCTCCCTTGTTCCAGGGAACGGACACCTTTGAAGGGGAAGCCAAGCAAAAGGAAAGAGGCGGCGGCTGAGTCCACTCAGGCATTTTGGCTCTATGAACAGTGGGTGCTTATTTCCGAAGTGGCTTAGCCCAAAGAAGCCCAAACTAATTGCTTGCCACTTAACTATCAATGGTGGAAGTTCTCCAAAAGTGATGACCTAAGGGGACACCCAAGCATAGAGCCCAAAATTAGGGGTAAATTGGCAAATCTGAATCTTCTCATTCAAATGCTAGCAACTGAGCCGACCTGCGGGTTGTGCGGATTCGGCCGCTGGAACTGGGCCCTCCGGCGCCAGGAACCGCCGCGCCGGCGCCCCGAGGCCCAAAGATCGGCCCTGCGAGGCGGCGATTCGCTGCCGACCGTCGCCAGAAAGGTCGGCTTCTCGTTGACGAAATGGGTCTGTTGAGGCTACCCCTGATTTTGTTGTTTCAAAGGAAAACAAGGAGGAAAACCACTTCTTCCTTCTTGTTTTTTTTTTTGGGGGGGGGGATCCCCCGAAAAAGACACACCCCAGGAACTCAGGGAGCAAGCCAAGCCAATCCACAGATACCAGTTCACCAGCCTTGGTTGGGTGATTCAACCCCATTTGAGCATGTTTAAAAACATGTTGGTTTAACAACTAGCATTGGGTTAACATGTTGGTTTTGTAGTCTCGGACAAGCTTGGATTGCCACCAGTGTTTGCCAAGGGGTTCCCCATAGTTCGCCTTCAGACAGCCGGAAAAAACCCTAAACAGCCAACCTTTCCAAAAGGTGACGCTCAAAACCTGGAAACATGGGCACCCCCCTTTCTAGGGTTGGGCCACTTTGTTTTAACATGCTACCATATGCTACCATTGGCTATTTGCACCCTTCCAGAACCCGAAACCGCTTAGAACCGCTCAGACCTCAGGAGCCTACAGTTGGGCGAAAGTAGATGGCACAAGACCAACCCATTTTGATTTAGTCATCCCAGGTCATCTTCGCCACATAAGTCACACAAGCCGTCTACTTTCACTCCGGTGTATCTGGGCTTATCGACCCCAATGCAAGCGACGCGCCTCCAAGAGCAGTGTGGGCACAAGGCCTCGTGGACATCGGTGGGTTCAAGTGCCTCTTTTCAGGGGGACCATAGGTGACCTTTTCGACATTTTTCGACAAATCGATGGGCTTCTCTGGCAAATGGGGCATGAAGCTAATGTAAACCAGTGGAACCCATCTATTTCTATCCAAACTTCCCTATCAAAAGGACACCTATTGACCCCGTGCTAAAGTCACAAACTTTGAGCGGCGGGTTTCGTGGCCACAGTATGCCAGAAGTACCTCACCCAAGGATAAACAGTATTCCTTTATTGCTGGGAACCGCCAAGTCTTGACCTGTTCGAGGCACTCCGTCGATCTCTTAGGCAAAAGGCAAGCACTGCAACAATATATTAGATGTCATGGACACATTACATGAGTCCATCCCTAATTGGGCAACTATGGAAACATGAATGTTGCCTTCTGTGTTTTGGTTAAAAATAGAGCTCGGCCCCCACGTCCCTCCCGTGGAACAATTCTAGAGGAAATGCTGAACGTGCCTCATATTGCGACATCTTCAACACCCTTGTCAATGGACCTAAATCCTTTCGACTAATGTCGTCCGTCGACGACTCCTGAATGCCCTAACACAACGAAAACTGGCAATCCTGTTGGTAGCGTTTGGCGCACAACCTCAAGTAAGCACTGCATGCCGTAGCATGTGGTTTGTCCGAACATGCCATCTGTCCCAACCGCAGAGCCCAACTTGTAGAATCGCCTTTTATTATCCTTGTTGACCAACATGGAGGCTTGGACGTTGGGGCTGTTTCCCATGTAACCCCCTACAAGAACTAACGAAACACAATCCAAGCCACCAACCGATGTCACGGACAACGATTCCACTCTCCCACACAGGATCGAGACTGGAAGCCACTATAGCAACAGCAAACTGCAAAGCACGCTCCTGGGTTAAACAAAGCAGCAGGATCGAGACCTTAAAAATGCAATCCTGTTTGTCCTTCCAACCAAACATGCGTCCGAAATGAGTCTCTCCCCTATAGATTCCACCCTTTTGAGACGTATCTAAAAAGAATCGCCTCAAAAGGGCTGTTTCCCAAAATAGGGGCCTAGAACGGACTTCTTTGCCTTGGCTATCCTTGTCAAACCACTCAAAAAATCCTCCACCATTTTGCGAAAGCCCGAAAACCACAAACCCCGGAAAAGTGAAAACCAACATTTACGGAGTCTCCTTTCGAGAGCCGTGCTCTTGTTCGTATCCTTTTGCGGGAACCGTTTGTTCCGTGGGTAGGTACCCACAAGTCCTGGCCAGGCTCCTGGCCTGGAGGCAGCTTCTGGATCAACTCATGGGCAGCCCAGGCCTCTGATTTCGCCAATAGCGGGAAAGTTGCATGGCGTACATTGGTTTGCCGCTGATTGTGTTTTGTTGGTTTCTTTCTTGTTTGCTTTGTTTCTTTGCTATGCCATATGTGTAGTCTTAGAAGGCTGTGGGAGAGATGTCCTTCAAATGAAAGCTGGCAGAAACGTACGGACAACAGTGCAATGATCAACAAATGGTCGAGTAAATGGTAAACAGCGGTTTGTGTGTGCTTGTTGTATAAATCTGGGTTCCACTGTTTGACAGCAACATTGTGCCAAGGGCTGGGGAAGTCTCCCGGGTTGCAGTCAAATGAAACCCTGGCACAAATTGATCACCTGATTGAGGTCTTGGGCTACGCTTGGAATGCATTGAGAGGGGTCCGATTGCCTTGTGGGGGTCGAAAGTGCTTGTGAGGGGTGACCGCTTCCATGTGCCATACAAGTTTTGCAAAGTGTCTAAGATGGTCACTACACCGCCCTTGCCGTTCAAGGCTTCCAGCTGTCGCTGCCACGCTGAGTGAACTGCTTCTGCGGGCTCGTTGCCGCTGCCGGTGGACACCGAAAGCGCCCACCCAGAAGGACATTGTGGCACGTGTAATGCTCACGCAGCCACTCTTCCACCACGGGCTCATCCTCCTCCAGCAGCCGGCGTAAGAAAGCTGCCCACAAATCAGCCGCTAGCTCACGCTAGCTCCAAGGTCGGCGCCAAGCGCAAGGCTTTGAGGCAAGCCATGACCCAGCCAGCGTTCGCTTTCTCAAACTTACCACTAGTGGCTGTGAGGTGTTTTCAACGCGCTTCAATTTCCTTGCGCTTGTGCTTCAAGTGAAACCAGTCGTTGCACGAACGGCTATTGGGAAAGGCTTTCTTCCGCGCTGCCTCTATGCTCGGGGCGAAGTCTTTGTGCAGCTGCCGGACGCACTGCTGCAAAGCCGGCTGGTCAGGAGCATTCCTGCCACAAGACTTCTGCAGCTTGGAAGATCGAGGCTCAGATAATTCTGCTTGGAAAAAAACATCTTCCTGCGCAATGAGCACAAGGTGTGCACGTTCGTGCGTTTTCCCGGTCTGGCCAGTTGCTCCAGGAGAACTTGCCCCCGCGGGCGGGTTTGAGGATCAACGGCAGGTCCACGTGCTTCGCAGCATTGGTGGCGCCGCCGGCTGCAAGGGAAGGTGACAGACACATGCCTCTCTCATCGCTAAACATGGTGCTTGCTTCCTCTTGTTGTCCGAGGCCACTGCGACAATTTTGTGCACAGAGCGCGCCTCAACAAAAACACGCCAGGGCGATGCAATGCTTGAAGCGGGAACAGTGGGCAAACGCACAAGCAAACACACCCTTTTCTCTGCCAAGGAGTCGCCAAACACGAGGCCGAAGCCGCTTTTTGCTATTGACGTGCTTGACGAGTGCCTGAATACAACTTAGTGCGGACGGGGCTTCGCGTAAAATGGTTTGTGGAGGGGGCCGGATTGGTTTGTGCGGGTCAAAATGGTTTGTGGGGCTCCGATTGGTTTGTGCGAGGGGTCGGATTGGTTTGTGGGCGTCGGATTGGTTTGTGTGGTGCTTTGGATTGGTTTGGTGGCCCGGGCGGGGGGGGCTGGTTCAGTTGTTTGTTGGTGTTTGTTGGCTCTCTGTCTCTCTCCGCGTCTCTCGCTGTGTCTCCCTTTCTGTCACTTTGTGTCTCCCTTTTGCGCGTCTCTCTGCTTGTCTGTTTGTTCTCTCTATGTACGTGTCTGTGCGCGTATCCGCGCGCATGTCTGTGTGGGCGCGTGTGGGTGTGGCGTGCCCGTGTGTGTGTGGGTTTTGGTGCGTGCGTGCGTGCGTGCGTGGGTGGGTGGGTCGGTGCGTGCGTGCGTGGGTGGGTGGGTGGGTGGCTGGGTGGGTGTGTGCGTGTGTGCCCCCTCCTGTTCCCGAGGATTTTGCACATGCCATTTTTGGTTGTTTGCTGCATGTTTCAAGAGTCGGCCCGCACCGTGAGACCTTTGGGCAAGGAGTCGGCAAGGAGGCGTTGCGGGTCCTGATGAGGATGCCCCCAAGCTGAAAGTTGACCCACATAGTTCATGCCATACTCCTAAACAAGCTTTGTGGAGCTTCTGGCCCACAGTTTTCCCAAGATTGGCCTCTTGATGACCCTTAAGAAAATCTCTGCAGAGCAGCTTTGCTGGGACACAAGTGTGTGTGTGTGTGTGCGCGTGTTTGTGTGTTTGTGCTGGCTTGGCGACTGGCCTGTTCAAAAACACCCCCCCCCCCCCGCACCAACTCGCGCAAGCTTAGAAAATGAAGTGGGAGCTCACAAGGGGGCCGCCTTGTAGTGCGATTCTGAGTTGCGCAGCACGTGTCACAGGGCGCCGATTTTTTGCACCATTGCAGTTGCAGGCTACTTCCTACGGCAGTAGCATGCTGCCTAGCACATGGGACCGCTGAGCATGGGTGGGTGTGTGCCCCCTCCTGTTTGCGAGGATTTTGCACATGCCATTTTTGGTTGTTTGCTGCATGTTTCAAGAGTCGGCCCGCACCGTGAGACCTTTGGGCAAGGAGTCGGCAAGGAGGCGTTGCGGGTCCTGATGAGGATGCCCCCAAGCTGAAAGTTGACCCACATAGCTCATGCCATACTCCTAAACAAGCTTTGTGGAGCTTCTGGCCCACAGTTTTCCCAAGATTGGCTTCTTGATGACCCTTAAGAAAATCTCTGCAGAGCAGCTTTGCTGGGACACAAGTGTGTGTGTGTGTGTGCGCGTGTTTGTGTGTTTGTGCTGGCTTGGCGACTGACATATTCAAAAACATCCCCCCCCCCACCTCGTGCAAGCTTAGAAAATGAAGTGGGAGCTCACTAAGGGGCCGCCTTGTAGTGCGATTCTGAGTTGCGCAGCACGTCTCACAGGGCGCCGATATTTCATTGCAGTTGCAGGCTACTTCCTTTGGCAGCGCTCGCTGCCTAGCAAAAATCCACATGCTTTACGCCGTGAGTAGAACCGCCAGCAGCCAGTGGCGGCGACAGACACAGACCGGGTCGACCGCTTTCATCGCTGAGCATGGTCAGGTACCCATTGCGTTGGCGCAGTTTGAGCACTGCTGAAGCAGTGATGCTGGCCTGCTGGTAATGAAAAGGTGTCGGACGCAACGCCAACTGCAAAAGATGGGTTCCGGCGCAAAACCTTGTGCATTGCTTCGAACAAAGGTTCCATAGCAGGAGGCGTGCCCTGGCCAGTCTTTGCTGGTGTTTCTAGCGAGCATTATGTTTCACATACAACTGCTTGTGGAGTATGCTGTAAGGCGTGCGCAATTTCCACATAGAACACAAGTGGCATGTCCGTGGCTAAGGAGCTTGCTTGCAACAGCACCAGGAGCGGGTGCACGCCTGTGTCGCCAACATACGGCTGCACCTGCACAGCAGTGGCGCCGTTGACTGTGTCTTCGCACAGATCGTCTAGCTCTGCGTGCAACAGATCTGCTGCTTCTGTCAGAGACTCGGCCGATGCTGAATGCGTGGGCAAGCGGCGCAGAAATGCACGACAGCACTGCTTGCGCTCAATCGCTTCCAAGACCCGGAGCGCATCTTGCTCCAGCATGTCTTGCTGCGCTCCGATAGCCATGATCATGTGCTCTCGCGGCTCTTCCTGTTCTTCTTCCTCTTCTTCTTCCCGCGCCTCGTGCTTTCCACCGCCCGGCCACATGAGAGGCGACTAGGTCGTCGCTTTGACAGCTGCTGGCCACAACTCGGGCAGCCCTTGTGGATCGCTCAAACTGTCCGTCGCAGCCTTGGGCGCCGCAGCTTTTGCCGGGTTCTGACTGCGTACCCCGCTGTCCTCTGCTGTCGGGCTCTTTGTGCGCTCAAACCCTGCTGAGCTAGTTGCAAGGGGGAAGGCTGCGCTCGCACTCTTGCATTCTTGCTTGACATCGCCCGCAGCGAGCACCGCCGGCGTGCTGTTTGACGGCTGCTTGTGGCGCTGTCTGCCGCTGTTGGCTCCACTTCGAGCTTTACTCTTGCTGGGCGACCTCTTGCTGTAATCGTGGCTCAATGTCTATGGGGCATGTGCGCTGCAACTTCTCGCACACTTCTTCGCCCAAAACGCACCTGGCGTTCTCTAGCCACCTTTTTCCCAGGCGCGGCCAGAGCGCCAGCGCAAGCTCTGCAGGGTCATGCTGCAACTTGAGACAAAATGTGCGTGCCTGTAGCGCTGCGCCCCACACTGCCCGCAAGTCCACTCGTTGCCACGAATCGGGAGTTGACTCTTCGGTGGCTTCGCACAAGCAGGCTGTGGTGTAGGGGCAATATACAAGCCTCCCACGCTTGTGCCCCGGGCTCAACTCGCGGCAGGTGCATTTGGTTGGGCCCATGTTGGCCCAGCCCCATTTTTATGATCTGGCAGCATTTCCCAACGGCAATTCAGTAACATGCAGATCCGAGCTACAGGTAGTGGCCACCAGTGACTGCCATTAGGGGCTATTGCCCACAGAATCGGGACATGTTTGGCTCAATTGACCCAGGGGCAAGAAAACCTTTTCTGGCTTACTCTTGATGGCGAGCAAATTTCAATATGCACGTTTGTCAACTGCCAAATGGAAGCACTTTGTTCCGGCTTCCTTGCAAATCGCCCCAAACCACCATCATCAACAAAAGCAAAAAAACACACCCAAACATAGGCATCATTGTAGGGGAAATATTTGTTAGGATTTACATGGTGACAAGAATCCCTTGATTTCCAAGTTCAGATGGTAGAGTGAAGGGAATTAGATAGAACGGAGTGGATGAATGCAACGCTTGGACTGGTCTCTAAGCCGGAAGGTAACTCAAGACATCTTAACTCAGCCCCAGATGCAACCACTATAGTGGTGAGGGCTGAGTCCTTCCGCTGCATCCAAGCATTCTATTTCCCACGACACAGGCTTGCCTCATCCCTTCGCCAATCCATAGAATCCTTGACAGATGAGACCTAAGGAATAATCCAGTAGACAAGCATTTTGCAGTTTAATATTTCTATCTCTTGTCCAGCATCTTTCCCTTCAATTACCTGTCTTTCTAGAAATCCATGCATTAGGGAAAGATGAAAACCGAGACACACCCAAACATAGGCATCATTTTAGGGGAGATAGATTGCCCTGGTAGATGAAACCATCAGATAAACCAGGGCCATCCATTTTTCGACCAAACCAACCACCCAAAAAGAGAAAACACGCGATTTCGCGTCAAACTCAAACTGGGCTTCCCCAACGCCCAAAGACGCCGGCAGCAGCTCGCGCCGGCAAAAGCGCAGCAGCTCCAGCAGCCTGCTGCGTGTGACGAGGGCAGACTCAAGCCACAGTGGCCCTGTCCAATTTCGCTGCCAAATGGGGCAAAGCAATCTAAGCCCGTGGAACCCATCTATGTATAAGCAAATTCATCGGAAGGAATCCTGTGCCACTTGCTGTTAAAATCACATAGTGCCGGGGCCGCAGGGTATAATGGTATAATTTCCAGTGGGAGTATTGAATCAGCTATGGGCACAGTACCTTGTCAAACCAAAGTCATCTGTACATGTTTTAAGTCGAGCAACTTCGTATTGAGGGCGGTGTGCTTTCCGAATTGTGCGTGAAGAGAATGCTGGGTCAATCAGTTGCTTTATTGAGACAACGCAAAACACGTCAAACCGGCACCTGCCTCCAAATGATCCTGCTCCAGAGTACCCCACCACAAGGCAACTCACTTTGACAAGGCCTAAATTGTGATGTTGAAAGCCAAATAGCAGGAACCCTGCATTACGTTCTCAGCAGTTTGGCCACCACTGACATGGTCCGATACAAAGTGACTCACGTCCAACTTTCTTGAGCGCAGTTCACTGAGATGGGAAAGCATTTCGGGAAATGTCCAAAGGGCTTGCAGTGTATCACATTTGATCAAAGGGAGCCCCGACTCCGCTAGCTTTTGGCTGGGCCCGTGAAATGAGTTTCTCCCAAGTGACAAAGAGAAGTGTAGAAGACTCGCTTCCGATCGAGTGGATTGGCCAAAACAGTCTAAACTTTTGTTAAGCGCGTCCAGAAACTCGGGAAGTGAGAGCTCACAGGACATCAACCCTCCCCTTGCTTCCCCATGAACCCTGACCAGGCCGAATATTGCGTGACATGAAAAGGAAGTCATGAACAAACCCTGTTCAAGGATTCACCCCTGCATCTACCATATGTCCAACCAGATTTGGATTTAGTTAGTAGGATCCATCTGAGCGTCACCCAACACGCATTGAGTTTCGGTGCTGCAGGGGTGCTGAATTGGGTCCAAGGTTTAGATTCAGAACTAGGCCCCTTCAATATTCACAGGATCCAGGGTCCCTCCCGTTGCCCCCTAACCCCCACCCCCCTTCTGCTCCCCAAAATCAAACAAAAATACGCCCTTAGTATGCCTGATCTAGGGGCAACCGGTGGGGATACAGGGGCTAGGGTAGATTCTCCCTCCCCATCAGCTGTCAACATGCCAGATCCACTTTGGAGCGTCCAGGGAGGTGCCTCAGCTATCTGGGGTCTCTCGGGATTTGTAGACACGTGTTTGGACGGGTTTAAAGTGAAACTACAAATAAGAAAACAGCCCATTGTTCGGGGTCCGCTATTTTGGGAAACACCCTGTGAATCCAGTTGGTTCCTTTTCAATTGGGTATGATTGTTATCTGGGCCCCCTTTTGTGGATATCATTGTGGGGGGTTCATGTCCACCAAGCACGTTTTTAGGTGCTCCATTCATATCATAGCCGCGTTTGGTGCCCTGAACATACCCAGCACCAGAGTTTGCCATTTGATGTTATGTTGTGGACGATCCACTAAACATAATATGAATGAACATCATGTTTCCAAGACAAAGACATATAAGCGCACATATATCATATAATGAACAAATAAATCCAGAGACTTTACCATGGTTCTTTCATTTGGAGACTAATTGATTGGAGGGTGTCTCAACTCTTCTCACGTCTGGATCTTTTCCTGTTTACAACTAATTTGCGGCATTCCTTTCTCTATAGTTTTTAATGAAGTTTAGAATGGACACGATATGAATGCAAAGAACTCGAGACGTGCCCCCCCCCCCCCCGACGATTTGTTGGGAAGCCCTTCACCTCCCCGAAAATTGATGCACCCCCTTATCAAAGTGGACGTTTTGGCGCTTCAAACGGATGGTAACTGCATTGGTTTGGCTTCATAGAACCCTTGCAGAACTGGAGTCTTCAGTTTGAAACGAAGTAACCGACCAAAATGATGGGCACACATTGGACGCCCCCAAAAAGGTTTCCTTGCTGGATAGATCCAAAAAGCACTTGCTTTACAAGGGATCCTCTGAATGAACTGGAAAAAGTGTTTTGGCCCGCCCAAATGCATTCTTTCCGGGTTGCTCCAAGCCCCCTGAGAAAGGTATGGAAAAACCATTTGGATATGTGCCAAAATGGGGGACCCAGAAAGCGATGGTTTTCCCTTGGCTTCCCTTCAAACAATCCCAAAAAGGGTCTCCTCCAAAACCAACGTTTGTTTCCAAAAGGTAAGAGGCGATCCGATCACACCAACCAGCCATGCTATAAGGCACCCTCCACACCTCGCTGATTCTCTAGTGCTCATCGGTTCCAACTTAAGCTGTGTATATACAAGGAGGCTGGGTGGCCAGCCACGTGGCTTGGCTGTGGCCGCCATACTGCGGGCCAGAGCTACAGCCAGCCAAGGGCAAGAGGCTGGGGCTAAGTGAAGCCCGGTAGGGTTGCATTCAAGGTGTTGCTGGAAAGCTACAGCCCTCTGAGCGACAAGAACGCTTCTGCATAAACCCACCAACGCATGGCCAGCACCGTGCTTGGAGCTGTTTTGAACAAGAAAAATAATAGACAGCCTTTTGGAACTCTTACAAGTTACACTGCTTACACAACCGGTGGTATTTTTACAACTTGTAAACTTGGATGCTACGCGTGCTAAGCGAAATCATCGACACTTAAGTTCTCTTGGACACCAACATCCACGTCGAACAGCGGCTTCTGCTTGCTCTATTTCAAGAGGAGCAACATTCGTACATGATCACTCCAGCGATCCCTGCAATGATGGCCATTCTACAGAACTGCCATGTTGAGCATTCTGTGCCGCGAAAATCTGCATCGGGCACAACCAGGCACCCATAAAACCAAATAACAATAAACAGCGACATAGATTATGTTTGTAGTGTGGGACAATCCAAGCAAAAAGGGAAGCATGGTGACATCCACTGAACAATTGGGACTCACCCCACCCAGTTGACATTGCGCTCTTTTGGCCGCACATCAGGACACCAAGCCAGCGTCCAAGCGACCACGAGACGCAACAACCCTCGACAGAGTCGCCACAGCGTTGACCAAGTCGTTCTCAGCAGCGACTTGCCCACATCCTTCTCACTGTCAACCAGCCTCGCAAGTGACTGTTTACTTGTTGAAAGGGAACATGACGGAACATGGAAACCAAAAGGCTGAAAGTAACAAGGTAAAGTATGTCTGCTATCAGATCTGACTGATCGCTTCCAAAATTAGCCCAGGTCAAAGTGCAAAGCGGCTACTGAAGTCTGGCGAGGCAGCATGCGTTCGATTTCACTCGTGTGCTTCAAAACGGCCAGCCACGCAGGAGTCGAACCCTGGTTGTCGATCAAGTTGCAGGCGCCCGCGTCAAGTAAGCACCGGACAATCCCCGGATGATTGTAGGCCTCAAAAGCTCAAAGGCCATGAAAAAAGGGCACCAGTTTGTTGGTTGACTTCAAAGGGAAACCCCATCTAGGAAAACAGAAAGAAATGTGCCAGCGGGCAGTGGCAACGTGCAACGGTGTCCAGCCGTCCTTGTCACTTCTGTCCTTCTCGCTGCCAGCTTCCAGCAAAAGCCTCACAACCTGGTCTTCGACCCCTTGCCAAAAAAAGTAGCTGGGGTGCTATTGTGCTTGTGCGGGTGGGGATGGAAGAACCGTCATACACAGCAAACAAAACACAACATGGTCTATGGGTGCAAAGTCAAAAAAACATAAGAGCCAAGGAACTTCCAAACTGCCATGGAGGGCGGCTGAATGCAAAGGAGTCCGGCCCGCATCGTCCGCTTTGTTCTTATCAGCTCCAGCTTCCAGTAAGCAGCGCCCAACTTCCACGTGACCTGCCTCAGCAGCGAGATGCAAAGGCGCAAGACCGTATTTGCTGCTCTGGTCTTTGTCCGCACCTGCGCCCAGCAAGCAGGAAACAACGTCCAAGTCGCCATTCAGAGCGGCGCAATGCAAAGGAGTCCACTCATAGCAACAATGGCTGCGCTGGTCCTTGTCAGCGCCAGCTTCAAGCATGCAGCGTACAATTTCCGACTTGCCCTTTGCAGCAGCCACGTGCAACGGCGTTTTACCGTCACAATCGCCCCTGTCCTTGTCAGCGTCTGCTTGAAGCAAGCAGAGTAAGATTTCCACCTGGCCCTGTGCTGCAGCAAAGTGTAAAGAAGTCCGACCCACTCCGTCAACCTTGTCTTGGTCAGCGCCAGCTTCCAGCAAGCAGCACACGATCTCCAAATGACCATAGTCAACAGCAATATGCAAAGCTGTTTCGCCAACATTGCTGTGCTTGTCCTTCTCAGCACCAGCGTCAAGCAGGCAGCGCACAACTTCTAATCTGCCATGTGCAGCTGCAACATGCAAAGGGGTTTCGCCCTGACTATCGTCCCTGTTCTTGTCGGCGCCTGCTTTCAGCAGGCATAGCGCAATTTCCTGATGGCCTTTGGAGGCAGCAACATGCAAAGGCGTTGCGCCGTAGTGATCCTCTCCATCTTTGTCAGCACACGCCTCCAGCAAGCAGCGTGTGAATTCCGCATTCACATTGCTTGCTGCGGCATGGAGCAATGACTCGCCTGCCCAAATGGAAAGAAAGGGAATCACATGTTGGGACTCTGACCGGAAACCCGGCAGATTCAAGAACATCAACAACAAATCCAAGAGGGGCAAAAGATGAAACCAGTCTGGACCCTTCAATCCACCTCTTCGATCCGAGGTGTTTGGATTGTGTGGCTCTTCCAGAAGGCTCACCAGGCTCGCCAAATCGCCCCGAACTGCCCGAAAGAGCTGGTCCTTCTGAGTGGCACTTGCCTTACCAGGCCGAGAGAAACATTTACCTGTCACAATCATGCCCTCAATAACACACCAACAAGGAACAATAAACAATAACAGAAACAAATCAAAGGGAACCAATGCAATCCATAATCAATATTGCCGCTGCGAGCTTACCTTTTGCGTTGGGCGTCTGCAAAGTCAATCTTTCCGAGCAGCGTGAAACCAAGTTATTAGTATTGAATGGGGTTGCAAGGCACTTTGAAGCTAAATCTTGTCATCGTCATATAAGTACGCTACTAGCAGTTTTCACGGAAGGAGCCCAAAAAATGGGGGGGGGGTCTCCCATTTTGCGGGATTCATCTATTCCGATGTTCAATGACGAAAACCACCAGCCACAAACCCTGACACTCAACAGATCGAAAAGGTGCATTCATCCCCAAGCTGAAGTCATGACGATTCGCCCGCTGCTCTAAATGATATTGCTGTTACCTACCAAGTAAAGTGATGGGAAGGTATATAAAACGGGGCCTCCGCAGTGGATGTGGACAGGGACCCCTCGCGAAACATTGATATATTGATGAGCAGGCTTGCCACGGGCAATCAAAAACCTTTCCCTGGCCATCCTATGAGTACTTTGTCATGAGGTTCTCCTGGTATCACAAAAAGGTGGCAACCCAAATCCGTATGTTCCCCCAACTGTGATGTGGGCCGGGACCTTGGTCCCAACTCTTGTCTCACATTTAGTCCACTGCAGTACTATGTTATGGTTCTCTTTGATTTTTAGTCTACCCTCAAAAATAGACTGGTTTTGGGAGTTGACGCCATGGCCTGGGGCACATGTCGAGTTCGCGAAGACAAGTTGCCGGCACGAAGGGCCGCAGCACCGCCACGAAGGCGTCGGTGTCAGTCCAGGGGCTGCTGGGCTCGAGCAGCTTGCCCTCGCAGACCTCACAGTGAGTCCCTCCTATGTCCTCAAGTCCAATCGAGTGGAACGACCTAAAAAGGTCTCAACATTTTATTTCCCAAAACGGTCTTTCCAAAATTACAAAAAGTATAAGGTCCAAGAACTCGGAGAGTGTCCCTCCCACAATGGAACTTTCTCAAAATGCTGGACACGCCCCCTTTTAGTTGGCATTCAGAGGGCAACCAAAAGAAAACCAACTAAAGGAACACCAACTAGTACATGTTCACCCTCTGTTTCTCAAAGCGGCGGGTCCGCTAAAAAGATTGGCTTCCTTTAGGTTCACTTCAAGCACCAATTCCCCCATGAGAACTTACTGGAAGGACCACAGAAGCTTCCAGAAAACCAACAGGTGATTCGGCGAGACAAAAGGTGGAACAACATGGGGAAACCCAACCTCAGGGAAAGCCAAAGGTTGAGAAAAGCTTGCAACTGAGAGGCCAACTGCAGCTGCCTAAAGCCAATGTTCATTCGGTGCGCCACAGCCTGGCGCAAGAGATCCTCAGACTGTCAGAGGCTCAAGAAAGGTGCTCGCTTTTCGAGGCAGACCCTCCTTCTCTATTCTCTTCAGGGATTCGTCTCTTCGGAAAGCAAGACTGGTTGGTTTTGAACAGAGCGATGGGGGAAGAGAATGAACCCGAAGAAATCTTGCAAACCCGACACTTGTCAATAATTGAAAACCCGAACGATCCAACAACGCGCTTCATATTTAACCCTACAACTGGATCACAGCTGGAAAACTAAGCTTCAGCAAACGACGACCTTTTCCGTAAGTTTGTAACCAAATTAGAAGACCATATTGAAAGTGATCGAATATTAAAGGTAAAAAGGAGCGGCGAAAGTTTGATAACGTTGTGTGAGAAGTATTAAAATGATCATCTTGTTCACAGTTGGACAAATCATACACAAATAAAACAACAAGCTGTTTCTAGCGCCTTCCAAAAGCTATCTAATGCTGCAGTAATGGGTGTCAGGGCTGTTCTTTAAGGGGTTGGGACAAACCTAAACTAGTGCTTGAAACAAAGAAACTTGGTTGCAAAAAGCAGCTTGCAGACATGTTTCTTGGCAAAGTTAGGGAAAAACCCGAAGCACCCTTTGGAGACATCGGAGAATTTGCGGGGAAACTCGAACAGCCCTTGAAGCTGCTTCGCGATTCATGGGTGCCAACAAATGGGTTCTAAAAATACTACATGTGTGAACGTCCTTCTGTGGCGATTGCAAGAACCCGCTAAAAAGTCTCCTGACTTTCAATCCATTGGCATATCAGCAAAACACACTTTATTTTTTGTAGCCACCCACCATAAATGAGCAGCACCAAACAAACAAAACTAAAACACATACCAAGAACAGCAAAGCTTTGCTCTTCGGCTGAACATCAAAGAAGTCCGCGCCGTGTTTTCGACGCTCGCAGCAAGCGTCCGAGTCCCACCACTCGGCGTACTGCTGATGCGTCAGCACCTCCCGGCCGCTCGTCAGGCGCACGCACGCCATGGCAGCCAGGAGGAACCTCTGGGTGGTCAACACTTGTCTAGGTCAGTTTAGCTTGTGAAACACTCGTCATAGGTGTTCTTTGATTTGTTGTTTGTTAGTTGGTTGGTTCAAACAAGATTGGGTTGCTTTGGGTCTTGTCATTGACCTGAGCCATATTATGTTTGAAAAGGACACGTGTGCAACAGCTCAGATGGGTTCATGTATAGGATTCACGCTGTCCAGGTGAACATTATGAGGGCTGCTCAAACTAAGTTTGGCGTGTGTGTGTGTGTGTGTCCTGTACAACCGCGATTTGAAGAGCAATTTTGGGGCTAAACACTTATGGGCCAGCCAACCCATTTGTTGTCGCCAATCAAGTGTTCCGAGCCTTTCCGATGCAAGGTGAAAAAGGTGGCGATCTAAGCTCGACGCGAGTAACGGTCGGCGTTGGTGTACCGAGCTGTACCAACAAGACTGGAGACCTTGAGGTCCACTTCCACATAGCCTAAAGGCCAATGAGTCTACAGTTTCATGGTGACCATCTCAGCCCACTCAGGCCGCGGGCAGGCCGTGTCCCCTGTGTAGAGGTACTGCACTGCAAAGGCCGCCACCTGCGAATGCTGAAAGCCGACATTTGGAAGAACTTGATGCAAGACAGACAATGTAGATGCAAGGCAAATCTAGATATGTTGAGATGTATGTATGTGTGTACATATACCATGTATATATATATATATATATACATGTATTTCATAGTTTAGAAAAATGCATTGCGCAATCCATGTGTATATACACTTGTGACTTGCTCCGTGAACGGACAAGAAGCGGCAGCCCCTTGAAGGCCTCAAAGGCCAAGCAATCTTCGATTTCCACGTCCGGCGCCACTACCCAACTCGCATATCCGGAGACTGCAAAAACTAACATGGGACCTGAAAAGCGGTAGGATCCCCAAAAATGTCTTCTCAAAAGTAGAGCCCCAGATCTATTTTAGAACTCTCTCTACTCTGGTAAAGAATCCCCGCCAAAAGGGGACAGCCCCCTATTAATCAACCAGGGGACAATTAATCCTGGGTTCCCGACACTTTCCCAACCCATGTTCTTTTGATTCTGCTGGTTCCATGATAAACTGCAGGGGAGCAATACATCTTTTTCGTTTCGCCGTCTGTCCATCAAATATCTGCTCTTTATCAAGCTCCCTCGTTCACTTTTGAAACAAAACTGCCTCGAGGCTGCACTCGGCGAGCTTCAACACCTGCGCGATCATTCGTTGGCTTGTTGTTTCAGTTGGCTTGATGGAGGGCGTCCAGTTACCAGGGAAACTGGGAAACTGGGAAACCATCGTGTGAACCACGGCCAAAATTACTTGTTTTGAGAAGACATGGGAAAATGTCCAGTCCGTCCCCTGTATCCTAAATGGATCACAGCCTATCAACATGTCGACGAATGTCACGTCAACCGGGCCAGTTACCCCTAGTAATCCCCCAGATCACGCACGGTAACCACGCAGCCTGGGATGAAAGCACAAAATGGCCCAAGGCGGGAAATCCTGAAGGACTGTCTCAATCGCCTCTCTCACGATTTGAACGTCAAGGCAAACGTGCCCACCCCCGGTCCTTCCGGCTACCGCTATACGGAACAAGCGGAAACCATCCATGGCAAAACCTGGAGGAACGAATACTGAAGGCAAACCATAGCCAAAGGGAAAGCACTGGATGGATTGAGGAGCGGAAGAAGCAAAAACCTCCGGAAGCATTCTTTGGGGTTGTCTTTTTGAGGGAACTCTTTTCGGGGCGGTTTACAAAGACCTAAAGGAGACCAACTATTTTGGGGTTCCTCCATTTGCGACAAACCCATATAACATTTTGGCCGGAACAGGGGAAAACACCAGTGTCCGCTTCATTCGACATGGTGGTGGTTTCCGACTTACCCTTTGCGGGAGCAAGGGGATCAAACCCAATCCAAACCGTGATCTGCCAAATCAAGTCAACCTGTGCGCATTGCCTTTCCGCAGGTTGGAAGTGTCCCATTGGGTTTCGCCATAGGGAACTCAATCTGAATGGTCCATGGAACCGCAAGAGGTTTGCGATCCGTTGGCAATCCGCGGCTTGTGGTAAAATAGAAAACTACACAATCCAGCCAGCAAAAACTGGTGGTTTTCCCTTTGGCTTCTCCTTAAACCAACCAAAAGGGGCTTCCCTAAACAAAGGCACACCCCTTCACTTAGAATCCAAGGGCAGCAGAGCCGCACTCCGTGATTTCTCCGGGTCCTAAAGCAAACGGGGTCAACAAATCAAAAGTGGGCAGGCCCCTTCCGTGGTGATTAAACCATCTAAAAAGGAGAAACCTCCTAGGGCCATAATGATTTCAACGGGGCTGAGGGGCTCTTGAAAGCCAAACTTGTCATCCTGAGCAGAGGAATGTAACGGTTCCGCCCCTTCTATTACCCTCCGGCAGACTAACGGAACAATATCTTTGATTGTGGTCCATGGACCAATGGTTGGTGAAGCACGTGGTAAAATGGCAGGATGGGTTGATCAAAATCGGGGGGCGAAAACCCGATGTGGCGGTCTTCCTCTTGCCCTAAGAAACCTGAGCTCCAGGCCTGAAGGTCGCCATTGCTGCCCGGAGGCCGCACCCTGCGCCACGGGGGCACTTACCATCCCTCGTCCATGCTGAAGACAACTTACGTGGGTTGTCAACCAGCATACCCCCTTATACCCCCTTATACCCCCTTTGACGCTCTTTAGCTTTCCAGTGGGGTCTCACAAGACTCGTCTTCGGTTTCTGTCGCCTTATGGTCTAACAGTTGTGTGTGTGGGTGTTTGTTCTTGAGACCACCCACCCCTCGACCGCTTTAAGATGCAGGTCCGCTCTATCGTCTATCCTGAAATGCAACGTGATGACAAAGGCCCCAGTCATGCAACGCCTTGCACTCCTGAGTCTTTTTGTCACTGGGCAGACCAATCACTCAGTACTTCTCGGCATTGCCCCTCTGCATTCTACTCCTTGAGAATTACATTCGACGTAAGGCTATGTTTTCTTGCCCAGCCAATGCACCATCAGATGCGCAGTGGTACTTCTCTTCATATTGATTTGGAGTTAAAGCATTCGTGGGGCCATCTGTAAAGTCGGCCCGAAAGACTGCACTTCTTCAAATACTGCCTTGCTGAGTTTATTGTCGGGATGGTCATTGCTAACATACCTGCGACCTCCGGAGGGTACATTTTTAGGCGTTTGGTGAAAAGGCATTTGTTTCTGCCGGTTCACGAAAAAAGCGCCGTTTGCCGGAAAACCTGCCGTTTCACAAAATGCTCGTCCAACGGTCGGGAAAAGTTGCCGTTTGGACGGGAAAAGTTGCCGGCTGGACGGGTAAAATTGCCGTTTCGATTCAGCAAGCAACCGCCTGTATTGCTCAACTTGCAAAAGTGTCGTTTCGCACAAAAAGTGCCGTCTCGATGGAAAACATTGTTTTTAACCAAACAGCAGAAAAATGTACCCGCCAGGAAGCCACAGGTATTCCCCAAAAGGACAGACACCAAACTCTCCCTAGGTCTCCTGTTTGGAACATAGATGTCAACTGATTCGAACCAAACGGCACCCAGTGGAACCCTTATTTTCCCAAGCATCTCTCTCATGGCAAAATCAAAACCGTAAATTGGAAATCCCAAAGGGACCTTCGTCAAGGGCTAGTTTTACCAAATCTATCAAGCTAGTTTAATTTGCCTGGGTCTAAGCATCCTCAAGAATCTGATGTTTCAGGTTGGAGGCATCCCGGCAAGAAATCCAGCTTTGAAGTGTCAGCCTTCATTTGGCCATGAGTTATCATGCGGCACACCCTGAAAAATGGTTGGTGGACATATAAATCCCAACCTGAATGATGTCCACCAAAGTGCCAAAGAAAATTCACACCCATTTCACTTTGGATGCACATGCCAAAGGCTGAGTCTCAACCAGGTATGAATTTATCATTGTGGTGGTTGTCCCTTTGGTTTCCCTTTGCAACCGCAAAAACCTCAAAGAAAGACGCAACCCTATGTTCAAGCCAGGTACCAGGTACCATCGGGGGGGGGGGGGGCCGGGAAAAAAAGAGAAAACACGATCGGATCGCCTCAACTGGTCGTGCCACTTGGAGGAGGCTGCGGCGAGAATCACTCGATGCCTCGCATCGGATGGAAGCCAAGCGGCAGTGTATGCTTTGAGGGCCCCTGAAAATGGTGGGTGTCCTTTCAGTTTTTCTTTTGCTACCACAAGAAAGGGGTACCCTCAAAAAAAACGCACCCGAGTTTCTGTTGGGAGGGAAAACGAGGAAACCCAAAAGCGATTTATGGTCAGTTCAGTTTGGTGATGAGAAAAGGGAACTTGTTGGATGGTTGCAGAGTCAAACCAGAATGATCTTAGGAAATTAGGAAATTGCTACAATTCACAATTGGAAACAAGGAGTCCAGTGCCTTCATGGGTGAGCTTGTTTGACCCTGAATCGACTCTCGTGACCTTGCCACAATTTGCCCAAACTTCAAAAGGATAAGGCTACCAACCACCTGAAAGGTCTGAACAACTGCCGTTGACACGAAAAAAACACTGTTTTTTTCTGGAACCCCCCCGAATGGGTGGGTTTTCCTTTTGATGTCCCTTTGCCAAAAGGGCAAACCCGAGCCTCCCACATAGCCGGGGCCGCGCAAAATTGTGACGAGCCGGGCCCCGCGCGCGTAGAGGTCGAGGGCGCCCTCCTGGCACCGCAGCGCGCAGTCCGCGAAGGGCGGCTTTGAGCCCACAGAAGGCGGCTGCAAGGCGCCTCCGACTGAATCGGACCGAGCCGAGCGGCTCGGCTAGGAATCTCTTCGGGATGTTTTTTCGGAGAATGCGGGTTGTGGGGTGCATTAAACATATTTTACAAGGGTAAACTGGCTGTCATGTGTTTTATTGTTCGGATTATCATGTTACCCCGGATTTGGTTTGGGATTCCCCGAAAATGGTTGGAAGGTACCCTCAGAAAAGGTGGTTTGGTTTGGTGGGTTGGACTTTAGGGGTTCCCCTTTGGCTTACAAGCAAGTGTTACACCAATAAGGGATAGCTGAGATCGGCATGGGGGTGGGTCCATCATGTTTGTCATTCTTCAGCCCCTCGTGGGTTTCCCTTGGTGTCCTAAGCCAACCCTTAAAGTCTCAAAAAACAGAACCCATTAGAAAAGCATGGGAAGGCGGGACCCCAGTTTTCGGACGCGGAATCTGATGAAACCCGCAAACATTGCGCATGTGTAGCTGTCTGTGACGCAGAGAGCACTCTTTGCAGAGAACAGTTTACCAACCAGTTTTGAGAGTCCAGGATTTTAGGGGTGGCTTCCCCATCCGAGCTCACCCTTCATGGGTAGAAATTAGGCGCTTGGTAAAGCGCGCGCGAAGAAAACAAAACAAACAATCACATGTGTCCTTTCGCAAAATAGATGGCGCTGGTAGACTATAAAACAACCAGGTCAACCAGTGAACCCTTGAGCTTTGATCATCTGTTGGAGGCTCCAGGCATAAACAGCAAACTCCTACTGTGTGACCTGACTGCGGAGTCCTGGCTTGATGGACCCTTTGAACTCCGTGCCAGTGAATGAGAGGCTCATTGAAGGTTGGGAGTGCTGGTTTGGAGGGAATTGTCTTGCCATGCGGTTTCAAATCCCCAAATCCCCCAATTCAAAGACCTGGACTCATCATCCAAACTGCCCGTCTTTGTACAATTCATCCTGTGTCAGCAAACAGAGCAGGGGGATTCCCCCAAAATTCCACAAACCGTCTCGAAGGAGTTGGAATCAGTTTGACCTTGTCGGAACTTGACCAACAAATAGGCCAAACATGGAAAACCAAGGGTTGCAAGGGTTGGCTTTTGACTGAGTATAGAATGCGAACCAAATCTATGCATGAAATGGCAAACTCTGGAGGCGAAAACAAATGCGGACAAAATTATTCAGCAAACCAAAAATAAGGGAGCCCTGAACCAAAACCTTCAAACCCTGGTGACGTCGCAACCTGAGGACCGCACTGAAGGAGCACCAGCTGGGCATGAGCGTGTCGCCTGCGGTTGGTGCGGCCGGGGGTCGCCAGCTGGAGCCCTCTTTTGCTGTCAAAGGGACCCAACATATGGGTCACGAAACAAAGCATGTTCAACAGCTGTGAATTTCAATCAAGGACATCGTGAAGGTGGACGTCATTTAGGTGGAGATCCATGTCGCGGCTTCACTGCCTAAGTGACGCCAGCCCCCTGAAACCTGAAAACGTTTGGATCAGGCTGTTCTTTTGCCTGATGCTCTTTTGACAGACCGTGCTAGCAAGTTTCAGTGTACGGTGCGCAAAAAGTAAGAAACCCTCTTCAACTGTTGGTAAACAGCGAAACAGGCCCACTGGTTGCCTCCAGCCGTGCCTGTGGCCAAGGTGGGCGGCTGTAGCTGCAGCAGCGCGAGATGCCTCGCAACCGGCGTTGGTCTTTTGGCTGCTTCTGATTTGCACGACCCCCATGTACAAAGGTAATTTGTTGAAGGTATCCCTTTTTTTCGGAACCCTGTTATCTTAACCTACTCTGTGACTCCAGCAGAGTTCCATTTGGGCTTTGCAAAACGAGGGCTTCAAATCATCAATTCTGTGCTACCCGACCAAACCTGCTTCTTGACCTCCAATTCACCTGGTGGTTTCCAAGAAGCAAATGCCCGAATGCGTGGGAGGGATGGGCAGTGAACAAAAATGCACTGTTGGCCCGATGGAAAAAGCAAGCAGTCAAAATTATTCTACCCGAGCGTGCCAAGCGAAGGAAAAACACCGTCCTTTTTGGGCCGTGGATTTTCAACGGGAGAAGCCTCCCCTGGGTTCGTCAAACTGACCCCTGCAGAATTGTTCAGCATTCGTTAGGTGGGGATCCCAGTGACTTTCCCGACAAGCGGTTTTGAGGTCACAACAAAGCCCAACCAAGATCAAGGGAAATCATGCTGTGCTTCCAAAGCATCCTTTTAAGCTGGACCTCTTGGTATGTTAGGAGTATGTGTCTGCATGTGGGGATGGGGAATACGGCTTAAATAAACCGAGCCCTTGGGTGAGACTCGACCGACCACAGATAACCATCAGTCGAGCCCACAAAAAGAGCCGAAGTTGCATGTGTCCAGGACCCTTTTCAATAGATAGCACTCGTAAAAGTGGACCAAACTGAGAACTGTGGATGTCGTCTACTTTCAAGCAATCTGAACTATAGGGGCACCTATGCCTCGTACATGGATGTGCCCTCTGGTATCCTTGGTGTTGAAGTTGGCTTTTCTGAGGAAGCCCACTTTGAGAACTGACCCCTGTGAAAACACACCTCCAAGGGGCCAAAGTTGGCACCCCTGTGGTTGTAGCCAGCTCCAGGAAATTCTATCAGCCCAAACTGGTTTTCGTGGTTTGGCTAACTTCCGGTTCCGCCCACAAATGCGCCGAAAGGTACCAGGACCCGTCAGTTGCCAATGTGGGAGGAAGGCTAGATATTCCTTCAGGTTTCTGCGAGTTTGAAAAAAGATCCCCACAAACATGAAGGCCCACCCAACTCCCTCGACCACACCAACTCCGGGGCTTTCCGCTGGCCCAGCAGCAGGCGTGGGGTCAGGCCGCCGCTGTCCGCTACCTCGGAGACTCAAAAAAAGGGCGCGAGGCTTCGGCCCCTTTTTTGGCGTCTTGAGAAACTCGAGGGACAACCCACCATTCTTGGGGCAGCCCTGGTTTGACACATCATTCATATAAAGGCCGATCAAGAAATGGAATGGGGTTGTGGGGTACTTTGAAACCATTTATACTCAGTAGTAACTATTTAGCCGCTTATATTAAGATGGTATCCAACAGATAAAAGTGTTTGGCACACCTCAAATGTTCTTTGCCAGGGTGGGTGACTGCTGCTATCTTATCTTCTGCCCCCCCCCCCCCAATATGGGTGCGTTGTTTCTAAAGGGTACCGGGTACCTTGAATGGCAGACAAAGAAAACCAAAAGGGAAACGACAACTTTTGGGGCTCCGAAAAACAAAATCGCGACACCCATATTTGGCAAACATGGTGCAACATCATTTCAAGAGAGAGCCGATGGGCGTTGCCCCCCCCCTCTGCAAAAACATATTCAAAGGTTTCGGGGTGACATACCGATCGTGGTGGTTTCCCTGCGGGTTTCCCCAAAAAAACACAAAATGGGGTACCCTCAAAAAGACAGACCGGCTTCCCATAGCCCCACCGAGTCCGCGGAATTGCAGGGTGTCTAGGCGACAGTCCTTTTGCGTTGGCTTTTGAAAGGGGAAATGGGGTCTCCCTATTTTGGGACACACCCGAATCCTCACGCGGCCACGAACAAATCCCTGCCCAAAAAGCAGGAAATACAAGGTTAAGCTGCTGGGACATTGACTAAACATTGCCAAAGAGGAAAGACCAAAAACCTAGGCTGGCGTTGGACAACTTAGAATGTCCCCCCACCTTACAAGGATATGTTACATGTTGGCCAAACCAAAGAAAAGCCAAGTAGAGGGCCTGAAAGAGGTCCCCAAGGTTTGCACCCACCCAGTTCTGCAACCATGAGACTGTGTTCTTGAGACGAGGGGTTCTTGATGAACAAATCCGTGGCCCCCGGCAGAGAATTGGAATGCCAATCCCCGCGCTGCGGCGTAGTTGAGGATCCAGAAGTTCCTCGCTCAAGCAATTCAGCTGATTTGGAACAAATATGTTCAAAAGACGAAGGAAAACCAAGTGAAACCAAGGTAACTTGTTCCTCAATTTTCTACTTGACGTGTGGTCGTCCTGAGGCCGAAGGTGTAACCCTGTTGCCGAGTGGGATGCCTACTCCGGCAACCGACCCTAAACGGGTTCCGATCGCTTGCAAAGAACAATGTGTGTGTAGCACCCGCGAACCCAGGTACTACCCACAAATCAAGGAGCCCTTTACGGGGACGCCGTAATGGGTTTGGATTTCAGGCAGAGTTTCAGGCAGAAACAAAACAGCCCAAAACGGCCTGATAAACCGGCTTTGCTGAGAGGTGTGCGCCAGCCAAAAAATCAAAACCGTCCGAACTTGCCCGCGAAACACCCTGTTTGTGTGATCCCCCGTTCAGGGCCAAGATAGAACTGGGCACCCAACCTGGCTCTTGGTCGATTACAGGTTTGCCCAGCCTGCGTTGATCGAACGCTGCTTGACTAGAGTTTAGTTGTGAGTACAGTGCTGAGAAGTCTCTCGCGCAATGGACCTGGAAAAAGGGTTAGCCTTCTGGCACCTTGACCAACCATGTAATAGCGGACCAACAACGGACAACCAAAGGTTTAAAAGTTAGATTTGGACATCTGAGAAAGCGGCCAGAGCTCAGCCCGCTTGAAACTTGTGTTGGTCGAGCCAAATGAAACAAAGTAGAGGGGCCTCAAAAGGGGGCCCTAGGTTTGACAACCCCCACGACATCCCCACTGACTGTGAAGCCGTACAGGGTGGTTCTTTGCAACACTTTTGTTGGAACAAGTTTGGCATATACCCTTTTCAATTAAAGCACTGTTGAACCCCCCGATCCAAAAAGTGAAAGAGGCCCTCTAAATGGGACACACCCACCCCTATTTGTTAACCAGTGACCTTGGTAGAAAATCATGGAACTCTTCTAGTGGGTCCCACACCCACGCCCACCCAAACGAACAAGGCTTTTAAGGATCCGGAATCCACTCAGCTGCGTTGAAGCCAGGCTTCCCCAACAGCACCCCTAGAACGAAGCCACTCCGAGAGCCTGTGGGCAAAGACCCCAAGGCTTCCAGCTGGCGAAATGATCCAAAGCAAACTGGCCCAACCGTGTCAAATTCATGCTGTGCCCTGATGAATAAACCCCTCAGCTATTCTTAACGGGGGTCGCTTTTCAGTGGGAACTCCTTTCTTCCAGGGGGACCCCCTGATGAATAACTCACATTAAGGGACCCTCATAAATTGATGGTTTACGTTTCTGTTTAATCCGCCAGGGAGATCTTGCCGTCCTTGCCTTCCCACGTCACGGCCAAATCCGAAATCCGCCTCCGCCCTGCGGCGATGTGCAGGAATGACTGGCCCCGCCTAAGCCGCGCAGATCTGAAGGGGCCAAAAAGGGGAGGCGGTTTGCACCGCGGGAAGCATGTATCCCGCGACCGGCATGTTGCTGCGCTTCATGTGTTCACCACTACAGCAATCTTGGAAGCGAAGATGGAAGATCTTTTTGCATGGAATTCTCAGAGTTGCCGTCATGTACTCAGATGATCTGGAGCCCGTCGTCGTCCGTTCGTTGACCAGTTTCTGGTGGAGAAAAAACAGAGAACCACCCATTTGGAATTCCAAGAGCAACCGGGAACATGCCTGCGTGTACACGTGTCAATGGAAATATGTCGTGTTCAAACGATGCAATTGTCTGGTAGTGTCGAAGATGCTGAGGGATGTTCACTGCAATCTCCACCTACCAGCGCGTATTAGGGAATGTAGGCTCCGTTAAACTGAGTTCCTGGGTGGTGATAAAAAGTCCATTTCGAGTAAATAATCACGTGCATCTTGCTCACTTACCCCAAGAAGTCGGACATGGGCAGCCAATGAAAAGTATGACCAAACATGTGGCACAACATTTCAGCGCTTTAAGCAAGAAAGTTGTGTCACTAACGCCGAGGAGATACATTCAAATGGGTGTCTCTTCAAATCGGGGACCCTGTGTTTCCCTTTAGTTTCCTTTCAAACCAACCCCCAAAAGGGTACCCTCAAAAAGAGATGGACCCAAATGTCTACAGCCGAAAACTGCCTTCCACACGAAACGTGCACATGAACCCGCATGATTGTTTTGTAAAGCCGTGACTTCTTGGGCAGCCGCAAGTTGCGATGGATCCGGAGGACCTGCACTCCAAAGCCAGCGCAAAGACCACCCCAGGGGTCAAACACCTTTTTGCAGGCAAAGCCCCTGATACTTTGGGTCGTGCGCCACACTTTCCACACATCTTTGTTCAACATAGAGCTGCCGAGTGCTAGGAACTTGCCTCGATGAAAACTAAAAAGACACACCCTGACTGGCTCTAAGATGTCAAGTTCACCAGGCTCACCAGCGCATCACTCAACCAATAAGAGAGTTATGTGAGCATCGTGTGAGCAAAGGACATCCTCAGCCAGCCCGTCGCAACTGTTCTCATCAGAGCAGTCAGTGGAAGGAGAAGTATTGCTTGTTTCATCCCTGGTATCCTCTTATTGCTGCCACATGCCGCGCACATTCACACAAACACACAACATGCGTCAACCAAATCACAAGCGGCTGCCCAACCCCTCAGCTGGCCAACTTTCAAGGCATAGCGTGGCAAACCTCAGGCAGCACAAAACACATACAGATGCATTGTCAGCATCATGTCTGCAAAGGACATCCTCAGCCAGCCCGTCGCAACTACTCTCATCAGGGCAGTCAGTGGAAGGAGAAGTATTGCTTGTTTCATCCCTGGTATCCTCTTGTTGCTGCAACATGCCGCACACATTGACACAAACACACAACGTGCGTCAACCAAATCACAAGCGGCTGCCCAACCCCTCAGCTGGCCAACTTTCAAGGCATAGCGTGGCAAACCTCAGGCAGCACAAAACAACATACAGCCGCATTGTCAGCATCATGTCTGCAAAGGACATCCTCAGCCAGCCCGTCGCAACTGTTCTCATCAGAGCAGTCAGTGGAAGGAGAAGTATTGCTTGTTTCGTCCCTGGTATCCTCTTATTGCTGCCACATGCCGCACACATTCACACAAACACACAACATGCGTCAACCAAATCACAAGCGGCTGCGCAACCCTTCAGCTGGCCAACTTTCAAGGCACAGCATGCCAAACCGCAAGCAGCAAAAAACAACATACAGCCGCATTGTCAGCATCATGTCTGCAAAGGACATCTTCAGCCAGCCCGTCGCAACTGCTCTCATCAGGGCAGTCAGTGGAAGGAGAAGTATTGCTTGTTTCATCCCTGGTATCCTCTTGTTGCTGCAACATGCCGCACACATTGACACAAACACACAACGTGCGTCAACCAAATCACAAGCGGCTGCTCAACCCCTCAGCTGGCCAACTTTCAAGGCATAGCGTGGCAAACCTCAGGCAGCACAAAACACATACAGCCGCATTGTCAGCATCATGTCTGCAAAGGACATCCTCAGCCAGCCCGTCGCAACTGTTCTCATCAGAGCAGTCAGTGGAAGGAGAAGTATTGATTGTTTCGTCCCTGGTATCCTCCTATTGCTGCCAAATGCCGCACACATTCACACAAACACACAACATGCGTCAACCAAATCACAAGCGGCTGCCCAACCCCTCAGCTGGCCAACTTTCAAGGCACAGCATGCCAAACCGCACGCAGCAAAAAACAACATACAGATGCATTGTCAGCATCATGTCTGCAAAGGACATCCTCAGCCAGCCCGTCGCAACTGCTCTCATCAGGGCAGTCAGTGGAAGGAGAAGTATTGCTTGTTTCATCCCTGGTATCCTCTTGTTGCTGCCACATGCCGCACACATTGACACAAACACACAATGCGTCAACCAAAATCACAAGCGGCTGCCCAACCCCTCAGCTGGCCAACTTTCAAGGCACAGCATGCCAAACCGCAAGCAGCAAAAAACAACATACAGCCGCATTGTCAGCATCATGTCTGCAAAGGACATCCTCAGCCAGCCCGTCGCAACTGCTCTCATCAGAGCAGTCAGTGGAAGGAGAAGTATTGCTTGTTTCATCCCTGGTATCCTCTTGTTGCTGCCACATGCCGCACACATTGACACAAACACACAACATGCGTCAACCAAAACAAGCGGCTGCCCAACCCCTCAGCTGGCCAACTTTCAAGGCACAGCATGCCAACCGCAAGCAGCAAAAAACAACATACAGCCGCATTGTCAGCATCATGTCTGCAAAGGACATCTTCAGCCAGCCCGTCGCAACTGCTCTCATCAGGGCAGTCAGTGGAAGGAGAAGTATTGCTTGTTTCATCCCTGGTATCCTCTTATTGCTGCCACATGCCGCACAAATTGACACAAACACACAACATGCGTCAACCAAATCACAAGCGGCTGCCCAACACCTCAGCTGGCCAACTTTCAAGGCACAGCATGCCAAACCGCAAGCAGCAAAAAACAACATACAGCCGCATTGTCAGCATCATGTCTGCAAAGGACATCCTCAGCCAGCCCGTCGCAACTGCTCTCATCAGGGCAGTCAGTGGAAGGAGAAGTATTGCTTGTTTCATCCCTGGTATCCTCTTGTTGCTGCCACATGCCGCACACATTCACACAAACACACAACATGCGTCAACCAAATCACAAGCGGCTGCCCAACCCCTCAGCTGGCCAACTTTCAAGGCACAGCATGCCAACCGCAAGCAGCAAAAAACAACATACAGCCGCATTGTCAGCATCATGTCTGCAAAGGACATCTTCAGCCAGCCCGTCGCAACTGCTCTCATCAGGGCAGTCAGTGGAAGGAGAAGTATTGCTTGTTTCATCCCTGGTATCCTCTTGTTGCTGCCACATGCCGCACACATTGACACATGCGTCAACCAAATCACAAGCGGCTGCCCAACCCCTCAGCTGGCCAACTTTCAAGGCACAGCATGCCGAACCGCAAGCAGCAAAAACAACATACAGCCGCATTGTCAGCATCATGTCTGCAAAGGACATCCTCAGCCAGCCCGTCGCAACTGCTCTCATCAGAGCAGTCAGTGGAAGGAGAAGTATTGCTTGTTTCGTCCCTGGTATCCTCTTGTTGCTGCCAACATGCCGCACACATTCACACAAACACACAACATGCGTCAACCAAATCACAAGCGGCTGCCCAACCCCTCAGCTGGCCAACTTTCAAGGCACAGCATGCCAAACCGCAAGCAGCCAAAAACAACATACAGCCGCATTGAGAGCGTCATGTCTGCAAAGGACATCCTCAGCCAGCCCGTCGCAACTGCTCTCATCAGAGCAGTCAGTGGAAGGAGAAGTATTGCTTGTTTCGTCCCTGGTATCCTCCTATTGCTGCCAAATGCCGCACACATTCACACAAACACACAACATGCGTCAGCCAAATCACAAGCGGCTGCCCAACCCCTCAGCTGGCCAACTTTCAAGGCACAGCATGCCACACCGCAAGCAGCAAAAAACAACATACAGCCGCATTGTCAGCATCATGTCTGCAAAGGACATCTTCAGCCAGCCCGTCGCAACTGCTCTCATCAGGGCAGTCAGTGGAAGGAGAAGTATTGCTTATCATCCCTGGTATCCTCTTATTGCTGCCACATGCCGCACAAATTGACACAAACACACAACATGCGTCAACCAAATCACAAGCGGCTGCCCAACACCTCAGCTGGCCAACTTTCAAGGCACAGCATGCCAAACCGCAAGCAGCAAAAAACAACATACAGCCGCATTGTCAGCATCATGTCTGCAAAGGACATCCTCAGCCAGCCCGTCGCAACTGCTCTCATCAGGGCAGTCAGTGGAAGGAGAAGTATTGCTTGTTTCATCCCTGGTATCCTCTTGTTGCTGCCACATGCCGCACACATTCACACAAACACACAACATGCGTCAACCAAATCACAAGCGGCTGCCCAACCCCTCAGCTGGCCAACTTTCAAGGCACAGCATGCCAAACCGCAAGCAGCAAAAAACAACATACAGCCGCAGTGAGAGCGTCATGTCTGCAAAGGACATCCTCAGCCAGCCCGTCGCAACTGCTCTCATCAGGGCAGTCAGTGGAAGGAGAAGTATTGCTTGTTTCTTCCCTGGTATCCTCTTGTTGCTGCCACATGCCGCACAAATTGACACAAACACACAACATGCGTCAACCAAATCACAAGCGGCTGCCCAACCCCTCAGCTGGCCAACTTTCAAGGCACAGCATGCCGAACCGCAAGCAGCACAAAACAACATACAGCCGCATTGTCAGCATCATGTCTGCAAAGGACATCCTCAGCCAGCCCGTCGCAACTGCTCTCATCAGGACAGTCAGTGGAAGGAGAAGTATTGCTTGCTTCGTCCCTGGTATCCTTTTGTTGCTGCCACATGCCGCACACATTCACACAAACACACAACATGCGTCAACCAAATCACAAGCGGCTGCCCAACCCCTCAGCTGGCCAACTTTCAAGGCAGAGCATGCCAAACCGCAAGCAGCAAAAAACAACATGCAGCCGCATTGTCAGCATCATGTCTGCAAAGGACATCCTCAGCCAGCCCGTCGCAACTGCTCTCATCAGGGCAGTCAGTGGAAGGACAAGTATTGCTTGTTTCGTCCCAGGTATCCTCTTGTTGCTGCCACATGCCGCACACATTGACACAAACACACAACATGCGTCAACCAAATCACAAGCGGCTGCCCAACCCCTCAGCTGGCCAACTTTCAAGGCACAGCATGCCAAACCGCAAGCAGCAAAAACAACATACAGCCGCATTGTCAGCATCATGTCTGCAAAGGGCCTCCTCAGCCAGCCCGTCGCAACTGCTCTCATCAGGGCAGTCAGTGGAAGGAGAAGTATTGCTTGTTTCGTCCCGGGTATCCTCTGATTGCTGCCACATGCCGCACACATTGACACAAACACACAACATGCGTCAACCAAATCACAAGCGGCTGCCCAACCCCTCAGCTGGCCAACTTTCAAGGCACAGCATGCCAAACCGCAAGCAGCAAAAACAACATACAGCCGCATTGTCAGCATCATGTCTGCAAAGGGCCTCCTCAGCCAGCCCGTCGCAACTGCTCTCATCAGGGCAGTCAGTGGAAGGAGAAGTATTGCTTGTTTCGTCCCGGGTATCCTCTGATTGCTGCCACATGCCGCACACATTGACACAAACACACAACATGCGTCAACCAAATCACAAGCGGCTGCCCAACCCCTCAGCTGGCCAACTTTCAAGGCACAGCATGCCAAGCCGCAAGCAGCCAAAGACAACATACAGCCGCATTGAGAGCGTCATGTCTGCAAAGGACATCCTCAGCCAGCCCGTCGCAACTGCTCTCATCAGAGCAGTCAGTGGAAGGAGAAGTATTGCTTGTTTCATCCCTGGTATCCTTTGTTGCTGCCACATGCCGCACACATTGACACAAACACACAACATGCGTCAACCAAATCACAAGCGGCTGCCCAACCCCTCAGCTGGCCAACTTTCAAGGCACAGCATGCCAAAACGCAAGCAGCAAAAAACAACATCCAACCGCATTGTCAGCATCATGTCTGCAAAGGACATCCTCAGCCAGCCCGTCGCAACTGCTCTCATCAGGGCAGTCAGTGGAAGGAGAAGTATTGCTTGTTTCATCCCTGGTATCCTCTTGTTGCTGTCACATGCCGCACACATTGACACAAACACACAACATGCGTCAACCAAATCACAAGCGGCTGCCCAACCCCTCAGCTGGCCAACTTTCAAGGCACAGCATGCCGAACTGCAAGCAGCCAAAAACAACATACAGCCGCATTGTCAGCATCATGTCTGCAAAGGACATCCTCAGCCAGCCCGTCGCAACTGCTCTCATCAGGGCAGTCAGTGGAAGGAGAAGTATTGCTTGTTTCATCCCTGGTATTCTCTTGTTGCTGCCACATGCCGCACACATTGACACAAACACACAACATGCGTCAACCAAATCACAAGCGGCTGCCCAACCCCTCAGCTGGCCAACTTTCAAGGCACAGCATGCCAATCCGCAAGCATCAAAAAACAACATACAGTCGCATTGAGAGCGTCATGTGTGCAAAGGACATCCTCAGCCAGCCCGTCGCAACTGCTCTCATCAGGGCAGTCAGTGGAAGGAGAAGTATTGCTTGTTTCATCCCTGGTATCCTCTGATTGCTGCCACGTGCCGCACACATTGACACAAACACACAACATGCGTCAACCAAATCACAAGCGGCTGCCCAACCCCTCAGCTGGCCAACTTTCAAGGCACGGCGTGTCAATCCGCAAGCAGCCAAAAACAACATACAGCCGCATTGTCAGCATCATGTCTGCAAAGGACATCCTCAGCCAGCCCGTCGCAACTGCTCTCATCAGGGCAGTCAGTGGAAGGAGAAGTATTGCTTGTTTCATCCCTGGTATCCTCTTGTTGCTGCCACATGCCGCACACATTGACACAAACACACAACATGCGTCAACCAAATCACAAGCGGCTGCCCAACCCCTCAGCTGGCCAACTTTCAAGGCACAGCATGCCGAACCGCAAGCATCAAAAAATAACATACAGCCGCATTGAGAGCGTCATGTGTGCAAAGGACATCCTCAGCCAGCCCGTCGCAACTGCTCTCATCAGGGCAGTCAGTGGAAGGAGAAGTATTGCTTGTTTCATCCCTGGTATCCTCTTGTTGCTGCCACATGCCGCACACATTGACACAAACACACAACGTCAACCAAATCACAAGCGGCTGCCCAACCCCTCAGCTGGCCAACTTTCAAGGCACAGCATGCCAAACCGCAAGCAGCAAAAAACAACATACAGCCGCATTGTCAGCATCATGTCTGCAAAGGACATCCTCAGCCAGCCCGTCGCAACTGCTCTCACCAGGGCATTCAGTGGAAGAAGAAGTATTGCTTGTTTCATCCCTGGTATCCTCTTGTTGCTGCCACATGCCGCACACATTCACACAAACACACAACATGCGTCAACCAAATCACAAGCGGCTGCCCAACCCCTCAGCTGGCCAACTTTCAAGGCACAGCATGCCAAACCGCAAGCAGCAAAAAACAACATACAGCCGCATTGTCAGCATCATGTCTGCAAAGGACATCCTCAGCCAGCCCGTCGCAACTGCTCTCATCAGGGCAGTCAGTGGAAGGAGAAGTATTGCTTGTTTCATCCCTGGTATCCTTTGTTGCTGCCACATGCCGCACACATTGACACAAACACACAACATGCGTCAAGCAAAATCACAAGCGGCTGCCCAACCCCTCAGCTGGCCAACTTTCAAGGCACAGCATGCCAAGCCGCAAGCAGCCAAAGACAACATACAGCCGCATTGAGAGCGTCATGTCTGCAAAGGACATCCTCAGCCAGCCCGTCGCAACTGCTCTCATCAGAGCAGTCAGTGGAAGGAGAAGTATTGCTTGTTTCATCCCTGGTATCCTTTGTTGCTGCCACATGCCGCACACATTGACACAAACACACAACATGCGTCAACCAAATCACAAGCGGCTGCCCAACCCCTCAGCTGGCCAACTTTCAAGGCACAGCATGCCAAAACGCAAGCAGCCAAAAACAACATACAGCCGCATTGAGAGCGTCATGTCTGCAAAGGACATCCTCAGCCAGCCCGTCGCAACTGCTCTCATCAGGGCAGTCAGTGGAAGGAGAAGTATTGCTTGTTTCATCCCTGGTATCCTCTTGTTGCTGCCACATGCCGCACACATTCACACAAACACACAACCTGCGTCAACCAAATCACAAGCGGCTGCCCAACCCCTCAGCTGGCCAACTTTCAAGGCACAGCATGCCGAACCGCAAGCAGCAAAAACAACATACAGCCGCATTGTCAGCATCATGTCTGCAAAGGACATCCTCAGCCAGCCCGTCGCAACTGCTCTCATCAGGGCAGTCAGTGGAAGGAGAAGTATTGCTTGTTTCATCCCTGGTATCCTCTTGTTGCTGCCACAGGCCGCACACATTGACACAAACACACAACATGCGTCAACCAAATCACAAGCGGCTGCCCAACCCCTCAGCTGGCCAACTTTCAAAGCCCAGCATGCCAAACCGCAAGCAGCCAAAAACAACATACAGCCGCATTGAGAGCGTCACGTCTGCAAAGGACATCCTCAGGCAGCCCGTCGCAACTGCTCTCATCAGGGCAGTCAGTGGACTGTTGCTTCGCACGACAGGAAACTCATTGAACATGAGAGGTAATGTGCACACCATTCGAAAAGGGTCATCATCGTCTCGGGCAAATGGCCCGAAAGGCTGGCTACCAGCGAACAACTCACTTGCCCAACGGACCTGTTGTCACCTGGCATCAAAAGGTCACATGGGTTTGTTCGAAAACAGGGAACCATACCATTGGGGATTCGCCTTTTGTTTTCTTTTTGAAGCATCCAAAAAAGGGTAGCCTCAAAAAAGACACATCTGCAAGGTCACATCGATTCGCTTTGGCACCACTCTTCGCCCGTGGCAGAAACCCCCCTTCGAAACCGGAGCTTCGCCTCCGGCATCCGCTCGAAGAGCATTGCGAAGAGACCCTCGCACTGGGAGTCGAAGCGCCTAAGCCGCATTTTCAGGCAGGGATCCGCAAAAACACCCGCCCAAAGCGTGACAGTGAACTTCAGCCTCCGGGAGCTAAGCACACAATCAATGTAGACAATGCAACACCAGCTTGGAATGGGGCACTTCTGTCTGGGATGGGTTTGGCTTTCGCGCGAAAACGTACTTCTTTTCTCTGAACATGTTTACGCCTGCACAAAAAATAAGACAACAGTTTGCTGTGCGGACAGCTTTGACCTCCGTGCACATGCGCCAGCGCTGCAATACAGCTCACAATCATCAGCATGGATGCTGTCCCGGACGCTTTTGCAGGCTGCGTGTCGGCTTTCGCGGAGAATCTATGACACCCCGCTTGACTACTTATCATCATCACCATCATCATGCTCATCATCATCATGATCATGATCATCATCATCACCATCACCATCACCATCACCATCACCATCACCATCATCATCATCATCATCATCATCATCATCATCATCATCATCATCATCGCCATCAACATCACCATCACCATCACCATCACCATCATCATCATCGTCATCATCATCATCATCAACGTCAATATCATCATAATCATCAGGGTTTATGACGCTGCTCACCTGTTTTCGACACCTTTAATTTACAGCATATCCAATATGTCATATCCTTTTGGTTTATTTTTCAAAATTTTGTATCGCCTCATGGCTCGAAAATCTCTGCTCAGTCTCTTTCTATTATATTCAACCCCTGTCAGGGACAACATTTAAGACGAAAAAAAGCGATCTGGGTATGTTGTAGAAGGTGTTCCTTTTCGTTTCTCTGAAATCCAACCTGAAAAGGGCACACGCACAAATGCAACGGAGAGAGCAGCGCAAAGAGTTTTGGCCCACAAGCTCGCGTGACGGTGCTTGCCAACATTCCGAGTGGGACTTCCCCCTGACCAAATCAAACCTTTCTATTTTATTAATCTTTGCGAATATTATAATTCTATTTATCTTTACAGGATTTCATATTTATTGTTGGACTGGAATTCACTTCTCATAGAATTATGCATGGAATTGTGCTCTTATATTATTTCATCTGAATTTATTATGTATTTATAGTTTTCATATTTGGTCTAGAGATTTATTAAGATAATTAACTAAACACATGAAGTATTATTAATATGGTGTTTTCTTCTTTTTGGAAGTTTTCTAGTTTCTGAAGCTCTATTATTTGTATCCTTCTTTTGGACATCTTTTCATTTTTTATCTTCTCCAACTTTAGGGATGTGGCCAGGAGAAGCTTTCTATCTTCCAGATCCTTGTGAATTAACTTTTGCTAATGCACTTCTTTTATCTAATGCTGCTAGATCTCTAGGAAATGATTTTATTAATAACAAAAATTCATCGGAATATATTGTTTTCTTCACTTTATGGTCATTCCTTTTGTCTTCTCTTTTATTAGTTTGCAGATTAAATGATTTTGCATTCTCGCATTATCAATTAATGATTCGCTTTATTCTTGTCTTTTCATTTTTATTAATTTCTTACATTTCTTTCATCTATCTATTGGTCTTCTTCTTCTAATTCTTCTCTTTTGGAGTTGTAATGACATGCCTTTTATCTTGTTTGTCTTTTTCATATGTCATCTCATACTATTTCCGGGAGATCCGGCGGGTTGACATTGATCAGGAGATAATATCCCTTTTCCCTTATTTTCAAGTTATTTTATTTGGTTTTATTATATTGGATCATTACGAGGCTTAGTGAAAAAAAACAAGAGCTTTGTAAAGATCTAAGGACCTATGGGAGCCACTGTCTCGGCGAACTAACTGCCTTGACACAGGTGTGAATTAGCTTGTCAACCGGCCGCATTATCTTACAATCATAAGTCACCAAGTGCCACATGTGAGGAACTCCACACTTTCTGGCTTGGATAGACTCCCTCCCGCTAACATGGCACCTGAGGGAGGGTCCCTTGACGAGGGAAATTCATCTTCCAGGTAGCCTCCCACAAATTGGCTATGAGCAAAAATGCAAGTCAGCCGCATGCGTTTTTCGCAGAGTCGATCGAGGCCAGAGCTGGAAGCCGCTGACCAGATGCAAGAGCGAGTTGCCTCGACTTGTCTCACCTTCCTCCTTGCCCCACCTTTCTAAGCGCATGGCCCCGAAAAAGTCCTCGAAACAAATACCAATGGTCTTCCCAAAAAGTGACTAAAGTCCGTCTCAGGAAGTGGAGCCTGGTTTGGAGGTGTTTTCCGGGCTGGCTTCCCATTTACCCTGTACAACAACCATGGGTTCAACTCCCCTCCCGTAATCCAAACCACCAATTGGAGAGTTAGATCGTTGCAACCCTTGGGATCCGAGCGGATCCGCCCACGAGCTGACCCAAGATCCCACAGGGTCAGAGGTTGCATGGAGGGCGCCTGAGAAACTGCGCGATTTCCTTTTGGCTCCCTTAAGCAACAACAACGAAGAAATGGGGCACCCTAAAAACAATGCTCGCCTTCCTCTGTTGCCGTGAAACTTAAAGGACCCCGTTAAGATGAGTTTGACACATGTGCCAAGTTCAGCTGCTCACATCAGACCTGCTCCCTGGTGCTTATGCAGCCGGGAGGAACGGAAACTCTGTGTCGCTTGCTCTCCTCTGGGGGCTTGGGGCTCTTGATTCCTCAGACGCAGCGCCGGATCGTTCGGGTCAAGCCTCTCTCGGCCTTGCTGATCACTCGCTTGGCGTGCTCGCCGCATCGTGATCTCCCGGTTGGCTCGCTGTTCGCCGCCAGTCACGAACAGCTCCAACTCAACAACACTCTGCTCATGTTCTTTCCTCTCGGAGTCGCAGGGTTGTCTCGGTGAGTTTGGTGAAGCTTCTTAGGAACTTTGTCCGTGTTCGCTTGGCCAAGTAGCAGCTCGCCACTTGTCGCGCTGCGCATCCTGGACAATCACATTTCTGTATGGAAGCAAAAAACAAAGCCAGCGCCTCTGCTGTCCCCTTCAAGTGCCAACCCATGCCGAGGATTCCCTACATATCGAGCGAACCAACACTTCCAACTACCAAGCCCTGCCGTGAAATACACAGAGCAGCTCTTCTACTTCTAACATTTTGGATATCCGTCGTATCGGAGGTCGGACCTGTGTCGCCCCCCTTGAAGTGGCATGCGCCACGAACAACATTCCTTGCTCCCCGCAAGACATGGGAATCACCGGTTGGGGCGAGCCTAAAGAATTCGCTCGCCCGATCAACTCCGCTTCTTTTCTGCTGGATCTGAGCCCTGTGCAAAAAGATCAACTTGTTGCGTCTTAAAGGAAAACATTTTCTTTTCCCAAAAAGTTAAAGTCCACAGGTGCCAACCAAATAGCAGCCGAGCTAGTGAAGGGTATCAGGTCTCATGCTCCCAAGATCGATGTGCGCAACTCAACTAACCCATAGTTTTGTCCCACGACGTGCCAACAAAATGGTCGCTCCTTTTCAAACCAACCAACAAGGGCACCTAATAAAAAGCGGCCTCACTCATGTATTTAGGCCGGACCCACTTATGACGGAAAATACACAAACAAAACAACATGCAAAAGTAGACCTCCTGCAGGGCCGCCAACATGTCACCTTTCAACATCTCCACACCAAATGAAATTGAAAACTGTTGTTGAACCCAAACAATAGAGGGACGTTTTGACAACCATGCAAATAAAGAACTGGATGATTAGAAGGGACTCCTCCGCCGTTGGGTGGAACACCTTTGAAATAAGCTGTCTGGTTGATCCATCCAGCTCCTCGCTACTTATTCGCCTCGGTTGTGCGAGGTCATCTTCTTCAACAAGAACCGCACATTTACTGCCAGTAATCCCAACATGTTGCCAGTAAATTGCGTTGAAATGACGGTTGAAAGTACACTCTTTAAACCAATCATTGAAATGGACAGAAGGGCGTTGGAAAACTACCATCTTCTTGAAACGTCCCCTTGTCCACTTCCACGATTTTTTGAAAAAGGCTAAATGGGGTGCACATACTCTCTTCTTGGGCCTGCCAAAAAATGGGGGCACACAGAAAATACCATGTCAGATAGTCAAATATTTACTGACACGTGGCTCCAACAAACTTATTGACAAAAGGTTACTGACTTGGGTATATGTCGGATTGAGAAACCATCCTACTAATGCATACCAATAGGAGGGTGTTAGCTGCAAAAGTCAGGGATTGCCAATTGAAGTGGACACCCCCTACTGCTCACTTCCTGAGTGGATTGGCCAAGACAAGTCCAAACTTGTTATTGTCACTAACATGGTCTTAGCGGGTCTTCCCCACAAGTTTAAAGATGCAGGAACTCAGAAAATGAGATTGATCAACCAGGGGCGTATTCGTTATCCTTGCCCTCGCAAATCAGTGGGCCAGTGGGCCGTTGCGAGCATGGAGTTCTCCGAGGGACACCCCGTGAAGCCTCGGAGGGCTTGCGTTGCTTCGAAGGTTTGAGACGCACCTAGGGTTCCATTTTTGACCCGAGATAGACTTGAACCCAGTGATGTCCCCAAAAGGACAACCCCGAGGTTTACTTCTACCTTAGGGAAATCAAGAAATGGAAGCTGTAGCAGAGGCAAATTGGCCAATGGGGTTTGGGCCAGTTCTTTTTGCAAATGATGAAATGGGGTTGTAGCTGCTCCCTTCGAAAAGATGAAATGGGGCTTTGGTGAGGACATTTATAGCTATAAGTTTTAATAGTTGACCCTCGGAAATGGTGGGCGGACATGTACATGATACTCAGCAAAAGGTCCCCCAACATGAGGATCACGCCCATATAGGGCTTGCTATAGTTCCCATTGCACGTACTACGTAGAACGCCCCGTTCTACATATTCAAGGAGAATCTTGGGCCTTGGGCACTGTTCACGTAAGCTTCCTAAATCCAAGTGAAGCTGCACATCTTTAACGCTCTCGTCGCTGGGTCATGACACGACCAGCGACAAGCAAGAGAGGATGGAATGCGCAAGGCCAACATCCAGGCTGAAAGGTGGCACAATGTTCGCGTGGTTCTAACATCATGTCTGGAACCTGGCGACTAAACTTGCCCTGCAGAGTGTGTCAGGGTATTTGTCAACAATAAGAACTCTTTTCAAACGGCTGGTTGGTTCTTATAACAAGAGTTCTAAAGAGGGTTCCTAATGTTGACAGCAGCCAAAAAAAAGCTCATCGTATAAGCCCCACCCAACCTTTGCAATATGGGACGACCATTTATGGCAATGAAACTGCAATGCTTCACCTTGTCAAAAGGGACACAAGCTATCAGGAGGAATTTCGAAGACTAGGTCCCATCGAGTCTGGCAGCTGTCCACTTCTATGATTACTGGAAAAAGGGTAGCCGCTATTGAGCTGAGTTGGATTGCAAAAACTCTTGTCTTTCTCAACCAATACTTCATTCACCAAGCGAAAATAATCCGATGGGATACCTATGAAGGAAGTCTTCATGGGTGATGTCGCAAACTGCCCGAAGCGTAGCGTCGCTTCAATTTGCCCACAAAGATCCAACATCTCCCATTTGCTTAAGCCTCCTGGCCAAAACAAAGCCAGTAGTGATAGTTTCCCTATACAACCAACAGGAACAATAATAAATATTTTTGAGCGGGTCGGTGTGTTTTGGTGGTTTTTAAAGGGAAACCGAAAGGAACACCGTTTTGCCACTTCGGGTGTCCAAATCCTGCAAAAAAAAACACCCAAATCAGTACAGTTGCATCTCCGAGGTCTCGGCATGTCGGGGGGAAAGTACCGCAAGAGGAGCAATGCCACCTGACCCGACCAAAGGCCCACAGGAGGTTTCAGCCTGACGTTTGCTTTGTGATGAACCACGGCTTTTAGCACATGCCTTACTGGTTTTTGCCACAGGTTTTCGCATACACCAATTACGTCCGTCCACTGGTCAAGAAGGAGTTCCCTTTTGACATGCTCCCAGCAAACTGGGCATGACCCCCGAGTTTGGTTGGGGTTGAAACTTCGGCGGGTGCCAATCCGTAGTCCAAACAAACTAGGAATGGGCTGGTTCTTCACATGAGCCACGGTCAAAATATGCCCAGTGTAGAGCATGGAACAATTGGTGAGTTTCCAGTTGGCTGTGGGAAATTTGGGAAGTCCCTGCTAGTTCCATCCCACATCGACAAACAACTGGGCAGTTTGACGGGGGGCAAAATGGCGGATTGACCAAACACAGCACCCATCCAGAGCAGCTCACTTTTTTGTCCCGCTGGCGACAGCTTGATCCCCGTGCCCCAAGCGCAAGTTGATGCGACTGCACCCAAAGGCTCTCGCGGTTGCCCTTTTGGTTCCCAACCGCGAGAGCATGCAGTCTCTTGCCTCAGATTCTGGCCGATCTTCCCCCCTAAACAACCTGCAATCACTCGAGGTCCGAGTCGGAGTCGGAGTCCCAGTTTCCCTGGAGCCTGTCAAACTCGATGCAGCGACCGCCGTGTTCTCGCAGTGCTCTTTTTGCAGCACGTCTGGTGGGAGGTCTCTTTGGCCCCATAGCATTTTTCCATGCCAAGCTTTGCCGAACAAAGGTGCTGTGATCAAACTCCTTTGAACTTCTTGCCTTTTGGTGGGTCTGCTGGAGAGACACTTCTTGGCTTTCAGCCAGAAAATGAAGTAGTCTTGTTTGAACTCTGAGAGGCAGAGCCGCCAATTCCAACGCTGGGTGTGGGTGACCTTGCTAGCAACGAGCGTCTCTTCCAATTGGCACTGATGTTTATGCGGCCATCATCCGCGAATGGAACGAGAGTACCTTCCAATATGCGCTTGGCATTGGTTTTGGAGACGCGGCCATCATGGAGACGCGCGTCATTGCAGCAACACTCCAGTATTTCGTGGTCGCACTGCATGCCATCCACGGTGTTGTAGAGCTTTCGGAGCATGGAAAGCTCCCAACATCTCCCCGTCCACTGAACAGATGCCACGGCAGAGCGGAAGACCTCAAGCATCTCAGTCCGCATACCACCCGAGGTCTCTTGAAGCTCTTCAAGGCAAACGCGATTGTCTCGCCCTTGCGGCAGCCAAAGAGAATCTTCAGTTCATCCCGTGTCTCGCTGGATCCACGAAGAGTGAGCTTTTGGAGCCGGTCGCCATGCACCGCTTCTGTGATCCAATCTGCCGCCTCTTCTGCGAAATTGAACTCCGTCAAGCAAAAACGCAGGGTCCAGAGCTCCGTCTCGGTGATTGCCTGATTCCCCTCAAGAACTTGAAGATGTATTGGTCATCGGCCTCAACCCTCTGGCAGGCCTCGATGGCCAAGTCCAGCTTCATGCCCTCGATCTCCGCGTGCGACATGGCGAGCTTGCGAAGGCTGCGGTTGAGCGCGGCGTTGCTTGAGCTTTGAATGAACACAGAAGAGAAATTCGGCCCCGGTTTTGGGGTGTCCTTTTGGTTTCCCTTCAAGCAGCCCAAAAAAGGGGGGAACAAGTTCGCCTGAACAAATACAAGAACCGCAACTCACACCATGGCCTCAGAGCGCTCAAAGGCGATGGCGTTCCATAGCACCGAATGACCGTGAGGGTCCTGCCGGTCCGCGAAACGCGCCACGCACTAATTCAGGGGGGGGCCGTGTGGATCCAGGATGAATCCCCTAGAGTTTGCCCCACAACAATGTCCAGATCACTTTGATGAATGTTAATCCCGAGGATCGAAATGGGTCGGCCAAACCAGTGTCGACCCCGCCAACCAAAGACAACTTGTGAAAAGCACACTGAGGCAACAACCCTCCAATGCAATTTGAAAGAAGGGTTGTCAGGCTCTTGGGAAATGTGTCAAAATTAGATTTGGAACCCAGTGGCTTGGGAATTCCTTTTGGCAGCCCTTTCAAACCCTACGTAGACATGGTACCGAGCCATCAGAAAAACAACAAAACAAAAAACACACTCTCAGCATCGAAATGTTCCAAACAAAAGACACGGTTTCTCGACACAGGCCTCGAGATTGCAAGGCCGCGCCGATTCGCCAATCCGAATCGCCGCGCATCGGAAGCTCTCCTGGGTGCGCCCAGACACCAGGCCGCCCTGGCGAATGATGGACTCCACCTTGGGAATGGGTCCGGGCACGAAATGCTCCTCCGCAGGTCTCTGTCCATCAACCAATCCAGTGGATGTTCATGGCACTGTATCTTGTACTTGATTTTGCAGGGAAGGAAACTCCTCCCAAAAACAGAGGACATGGGGCACCACCGATGGGAAAAGGAACCCACACAATGCTGCATCGCTGGGGCTTGGATCTGGACTTGACAAAGGAAATCCCTGTGGCCCAAGTACAGGAGCTGGGGGAAATCGCTGGACCCCAATGGAATCAGCGTAACTCAGTGGATTTCCATGTTGGTTTCCTTTGAGGAACCTGACAAGGGCACCGACTTCAAAAACCACAAACACCAAAGTAATTGGGTGTCCTAAAACCCGGGGGGCCAAAAATTGGTGCTTCTCCTTTGGTTTCCTTTTGAACCAAGCCCAAAAAGGGTACCACCAAAAACTGATCAGCCGTTGCAAAGGCAGACGGAGCCCTGATGAGTCCCGACGCGTTCCCGAGAGCCGGGCTGAGGCGACATCTCCATGCACGATGGCGCGCCAAAGCACCTGACGGATGCCAGTCGCAAGCCACGGGGTGCGTCACAGGGTCAGGATACATCTACAGGACGCGGTTCCTGGTGGTTTTTGGATGCAAGCACCCTTAAGTTCAAGGTTGTCATCAACTCAGTTGCCCAGTTTGGACCCAGAAACGAAAGGTGATCACTTTTGGGGGGCATGACTAAAAATAGATCAACAAGGGGAAACTGCAAGGTCAGATCCGGTCGGTTCGCTTCAGTGGGTCAATGGGTCTGTTTCCAAGAGCCAGTAAAAACCCAGTGACTTTGAGCCATAACACGTTTGGGTAGTCTTTTGCAGATTGAGCACGAAACGATTCTCAGTCCAAGGCGAACCTGTTTCCATTTGGAGTCTTCCATCGCCTGGTTCCCGGAGGGGGGAGGTCACTAGGCCACTTTGGATTCGGGAAAAAATCCTCGTGATTCCATGTTCCGCTCCATTTCCGTAGCTGCAGTGTTGATTCCGCATTCATAAACCTGCTAAGGGAATGTTCCCTCAAGTGATGAATCCCCGCTAAAAAGCGGTACCCACACTCAAAATCAACCGAGTTGCGCTTAGTCCGGGGTTGACATTTACGAGTACCAATCCCAGGAACAATGGCTGGCTACCGAGAAAAGACAACCTGATTTGAAGCCATGGAGCCATGGCAGAGTGACTAGGGCCATGGGTCAGAGAATTAGCCGTCAAAACTCCGTCACCAATAGAAAGGAGCTTCATCATCGAATTGCCTCGAAAAGGTTTTCTTACAAAGGCATATCCTACAAAAGGGAAAGCTTCATGGGGTTTCGGTCGTGACCCGGCCGTGAGCAAGGGTCTAGACAGTTTGGATGACTCGCAGGGTAAAATTCACATGGGCCAAACCAAGGGAACACCAAAAGCTTGGCTAAAAATATACCAAATGTGTTCTGAGACCCCATGTCCCAGGGAAGTCAAGAAACTCCCTGATCAACTTTCGACCGTTGGGACCAACCCTGCAAATCCTGTTCGGGCCAAAGTCTTTCCAACCCACCAAACAAGCGTGTCGGGTTCGTCTTTGGCGTTGGTTTCTCCTTTGTTTGGGGGGAAATTTGAGTGAGTCCCCCATGAAGCCCTCAATTGATCGCGGTTAGTCTCGAAATTGGGGGGGGGGGGGGCAAGTTCAATGATCGATTTGCCCGGACTTTTTATTGCATACCATCCAGAAGAACACACCCGATTTCTTGAGTCTCCGGCCTCCGCGACAGACAGGCCAATCGAACAAAACAAAAGCCCTGTTCGGAGAAAACGGTGCAATAAACATGACATAGGACGAGCAGGAACCGCATTCATGAACACCAAAACATAACCAACACAATGCAAACCAAAACAAACAAAACACGCAGTCAGACACGCTAACTCGGATCTGGCTGGTTGAAAGCCCCTCTCCAACCACTCGTGTCGAAGCTAACCGGTGCCAGCCTCGGGCGCTGAGAGCATGGAACCGCCTGGGCAGAAAGAACTCCAAAAGGCCAAAGGGCAACATGGCGTCTCAATTTCCTGTTGGGACCCCCAAGCCAAGGGGACTCCCGCAAAATGATCAAAGTAGCAAGCTGTTCTGAATGTGCGGTCGCCAATGGTCGCCACAATTTGCCGGGATCTGCACTGTCAGACAGTAACTGGAAAGCACAAATCCCACAACTGGTTGGTATTCTTTTGGCACACCTTGCGCAAACCTTCCAAACTGGTCTCCTGTTTGTACAGCATAGAACAATGGATAATGGAAATCTGGAATCCCCTAGGAAAGAATCTGTACCCCCAGGTGAGCTCGTGACTGTTTGTGCAGAAGCATCAGGTCACAGGACAGAATCCAAATCATGGAAGTGGACAGTGTTTCACATATGAGCCTTTCAAAACTCTTCCATGCACGTCCATGACTCTTAGACTCTTGGAAAGAGGGTAGCTGCCAAACACATAACGCTTCAATGGTTCTGAATTCATGAACAAAACTACCCGAGTACAGTACAGGAACTCCAACATGGAAGAGCTTGCTTTGCCCATAACTGAGCTCGCCATGTCAGCCACGGTGAAACAACAGTGTTTTCGCACGAGGGCATCAAACATTTGGCGAGTACCGCGGTTTTTGTGCGTGAAATATGGCTGTCCTTTTTAAGGAGCCCCCACGGGCCTGCCGATGCCGAAAGGCTCTTCTCGAGGCGCGCCGTGCCTGGATAGCAAACCGGGGCCCAAAGGGTCCATGGGCATTTGCTGTTTGCCGGGGGGCGGGGGGGGCGGGACACTTATTTCCAACCACCTTCTTTTGAGGTATTGTGGTTTTAGCCTTGTAAGTGTCGGACGGTTGTTGGAACATAGTATGCGTTGAGCTGTTTTGTTGATTGGGGTGTAACGTCAAACTTTGGTTGATTTGACCTGAATGCCAACACTCTCCATGCGTCATATTTAGAAACATGCCATTGTAGGCCTCTCAAGGCAACATTCGGCGCGATGTTTGTCGCACATTCATCTACGACCGTGATTCAGCCTGATTTGCTCCTCCCATGGACTTGTCACTTGTCTACTTTGGCAAGCATGCGCGAACCAAATCATTGTATAAACTAAGCTCAATGTTGCTTCTCAGGCCAACATTCGTGAATGGTCAAGCGGATGTTTCTTGGTTCTTGTTGGATTTTGGGTTGAGGGATTGGACACGGCTTATTGTCTAGGCTGGAATGGACTTATTACATTTGCGAATTGGACCCACTGACAGGAGCTCGCGGAATCAGGTTGGCGTCCCCAAAATCGCATCACATCAACAGAGGGTCTGCTTGTTTTGTCGATTGGACACATGCCATGTGCTTGGCCAGACTTGTTTGGCAGGCAATCGCATTGGCCCCAAGGACCGGAAAATACAGGATTGCCCGCAGCTGTTGCTTTCAGACGTGACTTTCCCAACTTGCACCGTGTTGGCCAAAGGGCCAATGCCACGGAATGATGTCCTTTGACGTTTTCTCCTATCAGCCCCAAAGGAAGCTCATTGAAAGCCGAATAGGCAACTGTCAAAGAGTGAAACATACAATTAATCACTGAATATAGCGCCCTGCTCATGGACCCTATTCCGGAATCAGAATACATGGCCAAGCCAGTCATGTGCTTTGTCTCACTCGCGGACCCACGCCTTGTAAGCACTCGGACAACCTGAGCCACGCGGGCAGGGTGTACTCTAGAAAGCACGCGGTGGCGGTGGGGGTGTCAGGGAGGGTCTCTCAATTCCATTTCTCTTCCCCATGGAACTATTTTCTTCCAGTTTCGAGGCCTGGTGGTATCCTCCCCATTCTCTTCAAAGGTTCAACCCGTCAAAGATTGCCAAAATCCGTGGGAGACTTGCTGATTCCTGAAGAGAAGGGTGGTTGAAGAGAATGGGGAAGGTACCACTGGAGCAATTGCAACCACGGGACCCATACACGAAAGTTCCCGCGTCCTTGTGGGGGAACAAGTAGTTCATAGACAGATTCTCAATTCGCTTTGCCGAAGGCTGAGGCCACATCGAACCATCATTCCTGTTTCCGCGTGCTTGTAGGTTTCGATCCGCCAGGCAAAGGCCAGCGTGACAATTGAGCCAGGGTCACATCAAATCATGATACTTGTAGTGTGGTTCGGAGAAGCTCCCTTGGACTTAAGTGACTGACACACACACACACAGAGACACACACACACACACCCGGAAAAGGCTCGACCATGAGACTCTCATGGGAGGGGCACGTCCTTTTGAGGGGGCCTTATGGCCCTCACACCCTGCGGCTCAGTGTGTCGACCGGACTTGGCTCAAGTGTACCAAGAAATCCAGAGTGTTGGTCTGTATGGTGGTGGAAAATCACGCCCGTTTTTTTCTTGATCACGCTTTCGGGGAAGTGTTCAAGGTTGTCACGAACGGTGGCCTGAAAACGGAAGTTCCCAAGAACCGGGCCAGTCTTACCCTCCTGATATCATTTGGGAGACTGTATGCAACAATGTGTTGTGGCCCTTAATTAAGATGCGCCCACCCCTATAACAACCTCAATCAAAATTGCCCCAGGTGATCCTTCCTGCCAAAAGGGCTGTGGATTGATCTACAAGACTGAAACCGCAAAGCTGTTTAACATGTGCCAGTGATCAGGAACTAACACCTTTCAGTTGGTGTGCTCAGACTGCTAAGATACGGATGCCGATGTGATGTGACTTGATGGAGTGCTTGTTTTTTCCAGGTTACGAGCCATCTAAATGTCACCCAACTGTCACATGTCTTCCCCATCTCATTCTAAGCTATTTTAAGAGTCATAACCAAAGGCAGTGACCAGGACCTTTTGCAGGGGTCACTGGAGTTGCCTTTGAAAGGTGGCAATTTGCTGACCGTACAACATATCCTGACGAAATCCTCGAGCGTGCGGAGTGCGGAAGGACGGCTCACTTGCTCAGTGGTATCCATGACAAACGGGACCTCATTTTGAGTTGATTGATTCAAATGGAAACCCAGTAAACACAAACGAGGTAATTTATGTACTACCACACATATACTTCATGTTTCATCTACGGCTTTGCTTCCAAGTGCTAAGACAATGGGTGGGAGCCACTGGTCAGAGGTCATCATATTCCCCACCCAAAGCTTGCACTTGCGGGAAAGCCCTCGAAGGGTCACACATCTGCAATGTTTGATGCTTCAAACACATGGAAGATCACCCTCAAACGTGATTGGCAGAACTAAACTCATGCCATTCAGTTCTGATATTGCCTCTAGTTGGTGCTTTGGATTGGTGGTTTGGTCGCTAAGGGTGGTTTCCCATTTACCCTCTACAAGAACCACCAGCCCAAACCACCTATTAAGGAATACCTAACATGTTGTACAGGATATGATTTGGAGCCCCCTTTTTAGAGAGTCCTCCAAAGTGCCTCCCAAATCAAATATGCTGGATACCTCGACGAAACCTCGTAGAATCGTCGCAACAAGAACAACATAACAAAACACACGCTCACAAACAACAAACACTAACCCCACAAAACACAAACACCAGAAACAACGCACAAGAACCACACCAACAACAACAGCCCGAAAACACGCAGACAAAGTCAAAAAGAGACGGCTCGCTCTCTCCGTCTTTTTCCAGTTCCAAGCAGGGGGCTCTTTCAGCATCTGCTCCAGGAAGGGCAGCACCCCCAGCTCAAAGGCCGCGGAGCGGTGCTGGAGCTCCACCTTACCGTTGCATTCGGGGCGCCGAAATGGCAAGTGGCAAGCCTGGCACAAACCAGGAAATAACACCCAGAGATCTCTCCCCACTGGCCCTTTTGCTCACCTAGTTTTGTTTGAAACGAGAAAGGTTTGGATATAAACTGGCCCCTGCCAACAGTTAAGTTTTGGCGGGCTGAATGGAAACCCAACCACGAGCCCCGAGTGTGTGGCTCATCAAAATGGAACCTGGTCAACGGAAAAGTAGACCAAAACCTGCGGTCCCTGGCTCTTAACTTTTTGATGGTACCCCTTTCAGGGTGGTTTTGAAGGAGAACAGAAGGACAACGCCCAGAATTGAGGGTCCCCTATTTTGAGACACACCTGTTTGGGGGGTTTCTGAAAATTGCGGACCCCATCCGATATCCAGGTTGGTTCCCTCTCGGTTTCCAAAAGATAACGATGCCAACAAGGGAAATCCCTTAAATGGGTCCGCTTTCTTGAGAAGGGAAATGACATCCCTGTCACCTAGCAGGATATTCACATTTCAATGGGGGCACAAACCAAAATGGCAACGGTTTCAAAAAGGCAACTATGTTGGTCCTCTAGACCAACCCAAGAGTACCCAAGACGACATCCTTCAGTTGAGTTCTTGGCGGTCTGGATTGGCTTGGATTAGTTTGCATTGGTTTGCATTGGTGTGGATCGGCTTGGATAGAAAGATTCCCAAAAAACACTCTACAAGGATCGTGGCTTCACCCACGAGATCACAGCCTAGTAAATCAAAACAAGGTTAAGACATTGGCTAAGACATCCAGGGCCCCCTGGCTCCACAAAGTAAACACCAGCCCGTCTAAATATAAAATGGACCCGGGGCCTCGACGAACCGATTTCTTTTGCAGCGCTCGCACTGTGACTGTGGGTCAAACATCTAATGTCGAACCCAAATGAATCAACTGGCGAAAGACCATGGGAGCCCCCCCCCCCGCCGATTCCCTTTGCAGTGTCAAAGTAGCGGGGATAGCCCCATGTCGCAGCGGGCGGTTGGCCCAACGCCCGGCAAGCGACTCGCGGTTCGAAGGACGCGCCTGCCAGCTGAGCAACGCCTCGAGGCGCCTCACCGCCACCAGGTCTGGCTCTACCCGAGCCCGGTTCAGCGCCTGAAAAAGCCGAAGAGTTGGTTCGTGGCACAGAACCAAGAAACAACAAACTCGGAAGGATGTGTCTTAAAGTAGGGGACCCCGCACAATGGGTGGTTTTCTTTCAAATTTCTAAGACCACCTCAAAAAGAGCACGAGTCCCTCGCAAAAAGCCTAAGAACAACATTACAGTGAACTCAGTGGCTCGTTGATCCCCTTGCCAGTCAAACTTTGGGGGCATGTGATAAATCCGGCACGCTGCAAAGCATGTTTCTGGGCAATTCTGGCAGAGCTGGTATCCCCAACAGCAACCCGGGAACCCTCTGGAACCCTCCGGAACCCTCCGGAACCCTCCGGAACCCTCCGGAACCCTCCCTGAAGCTGCTCCGAACCACCGGAGCGTATCTGAGCAAAGTTGTTTTGGGTGTATCAGCCCTATACACAGGCACGCAAGCCTACGCCGCAAGCCTACGCCGCAAGCCTACGCCGCAACAAGCGCCTGCGCGGAGTGCCTGCCTTCCTCTGGCGCTACTCTCATGCTGTGTACGGCAAACATACCCAACGGAAACCTGCCTACGCAGGATTCTCTTGAACAGCCCACGCGGACTGCCTACGCGATCGTTTCCCCCTTTTGCCTACGCTGGGCCTCCGCAGCATAAGAGGAGTTCCCCCCGAAAATACGAAGCGGATTCATGGCAACAACTCTTGTTGGAATTATTCCTGCTTTTGGAAGATAGACGCTTAACTGGGAAGGTTGAACAATGGCATCAATGATGATGTCTGCAAAACGGAAGTCGATGTTCAAGCCTACAAACTAGGATTAACATATGTTGTGTAATCTTCATTCTAGCCAAGGGCGAAGATGCAACATGATGCCGTTGAATGTTAAACCAGTTGCAAGGGTTCTAATTGTTTACCCACCCCCTCCCTCCTCAAAAAAACAGGCAACCTTTGCGTTCCCTAGGTTCCACCTGGTTGAAACAGGGTACCCGTTGACTGTGTCCAGTTCTGCAATTGTTCCAAGCGCTGAAACAAGATATGGATCCCATATAAGGGATCTTTACGATAGTAAGCTGTTCTTCTAAGCATTCCGGTGAGGGAAACGGGCCGGCAACTTTCACGTCATTCAGAGCCGCCACAGGAATGTGAACCCAAAACCCTCCCATCCACTATCATGGAACCCACCAGAAGGCTCCTTTTAGGGACAAATACCTTAGGACAAACGCTTTAAGAGCCCCAGAAAGGCTCCCTTGTAGTGGCCTTTCTATAATACCAAAGTCGGAGTCCAATCCGTATGACTACTTTGGTTTACTCACAAGAAACGAGGCAAAACCGGGTCCATCAAAGCGACATCCTCAAATTTACCGGCTTAAAGGGAAATCACCGCCAGTCGCAATTTGGACAACCCTTCAAAATGCACCTACCGTACCCAGCAAATCCACAGTTTTCCATGCCGTCCCACCAGTTAACATGGAACACACCAAAAGCGGTGCCTTCGAAAGAAACATCTTCTTCCTACCTCCAGGCAGGTTCTGCGTCAGTGGGAGGATAAACATCCGATGCGCTCCTATTTGTTGAACACACCCAAAAAGGCGGATCCCAAACTACCACTTGGGCAAAAAACTGAACCCAAACAACACACAGTCGGTATCAACCTTTGGACATTGGCTCTCCCGGTAATCTGAGTGACTGGCATCCATGTCTATGACATCATTCACAAACCTGAATTTGCATTTGCTGCCTGACCAAAGGGGAAAGCGAATCGTGTTTGAAGTAGTTTGAGCCACTGAGCTGAAGATGTGTTGCATGACCCTTTGAGGGACGCTTGGATATGCGAAACCCGATGGACTCATAAGGGAAAGGAACCCGATTTTGGCTCAACCCCTTAAAAACACTCCGCCAAAAAAATGTTTCCGCTCAGTTCCCTTTTTGGCGCAGCCGTTATTCCTTTCAGTATCACCCCGCTTATATAGAGGGACCAAACAGGTGATGTTCAAGCCACCCAAAAGGAACCATGCAAAAAACGAATCGCGCCTTGTCCAAAAGCGCCGACACCAAGGGCGTCCCGGTGCTGGCCCTTGAACGCATGCCTTAAAGAACAGCGATTCAAGCGAGAACCGAAGGCCTAGGCCAAGCCTTCTCGTTTTCCTGTTGTTGATCGTCAAGTGTGTTGATCCGCTCTTAGTATTTTGCTTACATGTTGGATCACGCTAGTCGAAGTTGTTTGTCTGTTGACCGGTTGATCAAGCTTGTCAATCTTTGTTGACTCCCGAAAAGCAATGGACCAGGCAAACCAGTACAACTTCAGGGTTGCAATTTCAAGACAAGCCCTCAAAATAGCCCACTCACCAGAAGCCACTTCCGTTTGCTTGTCGCCTGGAAACAATAAACTTCCAGTTGTGCTAGATTCCGGTTAAAACCAACATGGGAACATGAACACAACAAATCTTAAGCAATTTGAAGGCCAGTGAACATACACGCCAAACGGATGATATCTCAACGCCAGCCTTTCCGCTTCTTCTGCTTGGGTTGGGACGAGTCAACCAAACCGTTCCCATTGTGTGTTGGACGCCCAAAATGGGGGTGTCTTTTCTTGAGGACCCCCCAACAATAGAGTTTGCAACGCCACCAAGAAGGGTCATTGCCAATCTGAAAACACACCCTTTAAAACAAACAATGGTATTGGGAACTTCCAGTTACCACCATAGGTAATCAGGGCAAACCATTCATGGTAAAACCTAGAGGTAACAAACCCTGGTTAGCTGCTTGAGCGGTAAGTGGAAGAACAGGGGTAGAATAAGCCTTTGGTCCAGACCAATGAAAGTCCACCCCTTGGCTTCGCGCCCAAATCTGCGCACACCCGGAGCTCCTCTCTTGGACCTGCAAAAAATGAGTCACACCCATTTTGTCATTAAACTGTTCCCCATACTCCATAACTACAATTGGCCGGGAGTAGATTCCTAAGACGGCAATCGGCCACAAAAACTCCCGATGGGGGAGACACCGGGTTTTGTAGCGGATGGAGGCGATGAAATGTGTCTTGGAAATCTCCAAACGGGATGCGGAACGCCCAGAATGGGGCCGTTCAACCACCTCAACCCAGGACGATGAATATCCAAAGGAAAGGGATGAACACATGACTGAATCAGGTTGCCTGAGCCAAAGGTCCCTGAAAAGATACGTGCAAGCCCAAAAAGTTGCAATGTTGTCTTTCGGCTCGAAAGGGGAGTCGCGTTAAGGGGATTTTTTCATGGGACAGGAGTAACAAGCCCCGGGTTGATTCATTGGGTTAGGCCCCTGGTGAAATCCTTCACTTTGGGAAAGACCCCCGGGCCCCGGCGTCTTCCACAAATTTGATGCATCCAGGGTCGACTTTGAATCATTTACCCCGTGGTACGCACTGGCGGCCTGGGATTTGAACCGGTTCTTGAAGGTAAATATCACCCCAGTACCCTCCAAACTACCAAGGGGTGAGCCGATTGAAAGCGCTGAGGGGTGACAGCGAAAAGATGACAGATTTAGCTGACTATGACTATGTGCAGCGTGGCTTGTTTTTCTGATTGGCCAGGATTCGGCGACTCAACCCGAAGCTGCTTAACTTGCTGAAACAACCTCCGTCTGGTTCCCTGTACAACAAAACCTGGCCTGGCTGTAGTTCAGTCTATTCTTTACAATTGTCAGGAGGTTCGGAGTCTAAATCAAGGCTCAAAAGTCAGTTGCGCCAGCAGGGCTGGAGAATGGCATGTAGAGCATGATTTCCCGTCGCCTCTGCTTTTCGGATCAAACATCCTGGGGCCTCACTTCGCGCTTTAAAACGCGCGTGCGCCAGAGCCTGAGGAGCTCAGGGAGCCCCCGGTGGTCTTCTGCGCCATGTCCGACAGAGTGCGCCAGGCGGTGAAGGTCTGCTCCAAGACCGTGACCACCTCGCTTTGCTAAAGGCGTCCAACATGAGTGTGTCTCTTGGCGAGGGCAGTGCTGGGGACACTGCTTTCGGGTCTTCTTTTGAGGGGACCCCCCCCCCCCACCCTTTGCGTAACCCCAGGATGGATTGCCGTTGAGCAGCCCCTGCTGGTCTCCACTAGCAAACCGCCCCTTGAAATGGGGTATGCAGCCTTGGCGATATGCCCGGGGATAGTGACCTCAGAGAGGCTCCCGCTTTCTATGGGGACAATGTCGGCCGGTTTGGACACCTATCATACCCATGCAACAAAAAGCAAGTGGAGCTATATGCAGACATGTGACTATAGAAAAAAACCAAAAAAGTCCGGTAGGTACCACAATGTATACGCACCAAATCGCTCTTCTCCCCTTCCCATGGAGAATTTGGAGCTCGTTGCCCCATGTCCCCCCAAATTGACCATGGACTATTGAATAGCAACGCCAACCAATCGTTTCCCTACAGTTGGCTGACTTTAAAGGGACAGTAAACTTCTCTCTGGGGTTGCGGTTTAGGGAGGAAAACTTTTAGAAACAGAAAGAGGCAACGAGCGATTAGGGCCAGCCAGGGACTGTTTTTGTTTCACTGTGGGCAGTTCGACCCATAACCAGTGCCAAAGGGGCTAGCGGGAAAACACTCCATTCAACCGAAACGTTGCCCTCATCAATGGCGGTTCGCGCGTCACCGTTGGACAGACTTTCCTTGTGCAAGAGCGGCCTGCGCACCGGCGCATGCCCGTTTGGGCACGACCTTCCTGCCTTTAACGGTCGAAGGGGCTTCGAACTGCTCTCTGGCTGTGGGGCCTGCTGCTCAGCACTTCGAACCGTAGTATGTTTTCCACGTGCCTCACAGCGTAGCTGTGGCAGTGGCCTCGCCGTCTGGTGGTGAAGCATGAACAGCTCATCTTCGGCTTCAGCTTCCCCAGGCTGAGAATAAGCATGCCATCTGCCAGTCTGCCGGCGCCGCAAAGAAGCCCCCGTTGCGGGCAAGGTTGTTTGGGGTTGCTTTGGGGGGCGATGCCTCTGCAAAATTGCAAACATTTGGTGTTGGCGGTTCCATGTTGCCCTCCCACCCACTAACATGGAAGCTTTGGAAGACAATGCCCGTAAACAAGACTCGCGCACGACTGTATGTCGTGCATAGAGGGCACTAATCACAAACAACATTGCAACCTCTGCGCCAAGGATCAAAACACGTTCGCTCATCGTGGGAACAATTCTGCGACCCTTCACCACTACAACCTTGGTGACAAGCGCAACCGGAAGATGTATGCTGCGATCCCGTACAGAGGAGGATTTGCTTTCGTGGAACCAGGCTGTCGCAGCCTAAAGTTTAAGATCCTGGGCCCAGTGGAAACCCCAGCGAATCCGCCCAGGAGCCCGGGCGTCCGTCAGCAAGGGCTCTCGCCTGAAGTGTGAACTCCTCAAAAAGAAAGGCATCGGCCGAGATAGGAACAGCCGCTTTCGGAGACAAACAAACAAACAAACAAACGAACAACCAACTAACCAACCAACCTACCTACCTACCAAGCAAACAAGAAAAACAAACAAACACACAAACAAGGAAAAACAGTTGCAACAGTGTGGCCCAACAACACGCACGCGAACACACAAACACACAGACACAAACACGCACATACATAAACATACGGACACACAACCACACAGAGAGCGAGAGAGAGAGAGAGAGAGAGTGAGAGAGAGAGAGAGAGTGAGAGAGAGAGAGAGAGTGAGAGAGAGAGAGAGAGACAAATGATACAAAGGCCACCAACTGTTGCAATTGAAATGGTTGGCAGCTGACCCAGCACTGCACTTGCTGCCTTGCCCGTGCCCTCGCACTGCTCAATTGACTGGGCCACAGCAAGCAACGCAACTTGAAGGCACAAGCGCAACATGCAGCTCAATGCATTCATGGCGACGGGTAAAATGAGACGAGTACCGGAGTAAGATGGGCGAAAGCTTCGCGCCTAAGGAGCCTTCATCGTGGAGCTCGTGTTAGCCCAATCGGTGAGCTCAATGCAACTTGCGCAGATCGGGCAGGGCACGAACCGGGTTTCTTGAGGGATGCACCCAAACACTATGATACCTCGACGGTGTTAATTTGTTGCTTGCTTCTTTTGCCTCAACTGACTGGCCAGAAACAGTGATTTCGGCTTCGTGCCATAAGCGGTCTTGACTTGTTCAGCCTAGGCTGATGTATCAACAAACAAGTTTGTCTTTGCCAACTGACACGGTGAAGCTCTAGTTGCACCCTTTTCAAGGGCTGTCTCCTCAGCCACCATCCGATTTGTCGTTTGTAAGAAGTCGTTTCTTGGACTCAACTTCTTGCCCTGCGGATTGAGATGACTTTTTCTCAATATAAGGAACCCCACCAATTCAACACACAATGTCAAGGTTTCCGTAGGCCTCACCCCCTGGAGAACAGGGTTTTGGGCGCAGCTCATTTGCTCTGGGCGAGGTTGCGTAAACTGTCCATTCTTCTTTCTCCTGGCCTTCGAAAAGGAACCATAGCTGAATCGGGCCTGAATTTCCCCTAATTCTATGAGATCCCATGGCACCTGTTCCATAGGTCCGAATCATTGGCTGAGCGCTGGGCGATGACCCCAAAGCCTGGCCAAGCTGTGAGGAGACTGCTTCCCGTGACTGTAACACGTCAGGGATTCCTCCTGGTATTTCAGTGGAGGGATGATGTGACAAAAACGGTGTCACAGAAACTGACCATGAACCCTTTCCCGAAATCGGGGTCATTGATCAGGGGTCCACATGCTATAAACCCAAGGGACGCTCGCTTACGGGTTGGTCGTCAGAGCCCTGAGCCAAAATTGTCCACAACACGATAATTACTCATTCGGCCCTTCGAACTGCAACAGGTCAAATGTCAAATAAAGATTTCGAGCACGCTGCGGGTTGAGTGACGGCAACCTCGATGATTGAACCCCACAGTAAGGAAACCTAAAACATGTCCCGGAACGATGAGTATACTGCCCTCCCGCTGGGCCCTGCCCCCGCAATAACGAAGATAAAACTCCATTATAGAACCGAACAGCACACCCCTAAAATAAATCACAAGGGCCAATGAGGGAGAGTCAAGGCGAGGGAAACTAGTCCTTCCATCTCTGTGCTTCTGGCAAGGACTGTGCAGTGTATTCTACCCTAGATTTAACATGGTTCCGCCTGGTTGCCTCTTACTGGTAACTGGGAAGAACGTATGAGCACCCAACAGCCCCAACAACCTTTCCGCTGCCTGCTTCGCGGCTGCCTCGCAACTCTGCCACTTCTGCAGTCTGTTGACCAGATCCTCAGGAAACAAGAGCGCGCAAAGCATTCCCTGGCTTTTGCTTGGCCATTTTCTGAAGGCTTCATCTCAACTCTGGCTTTTGTGTGGTGCACCCCCTCATGGCTTTCTGAGCAAACCCATCATAAAGCCAAAGCATACAACTCTGTTATTTTGGCAAGCCCATCATGTCAAGTAACCCTTTGGCTGTTTAGGGATTTGAAGCCCTAAAGGGCTCGGGAAACCTCCCCCGAAACCAATCCAAACCAATCCAAACGAGGGAAGCTGCGAGCACGTTGCGACCCGGGGCCGCCGGCGCGGATCAGCTTCAGCTCGCGGCTGGGCCACCCCAGACCTCGAAGTCGGAAGTCGGAAGTCGGAAGTCGACTCGGCTCCGAATCCCCGGGTGCGCCCCGTAAGGGCGGCGCCGAAAAGGGCCCCTCATTTTGACACTCCCCCCCAAACCACGCCAAAGGGATTGGCGGATTGACCCCAGCTGTCTCTGTTGGGGAATTGACGATCCAAATTGCTTTCCTGAGGAAAGAAAGTATATGGGTCATTCTCAGAATGGGGGTCCCCTAAACTGGCAGCTGTTTCCTTCTGGTTTCCATTAACACCAAAGCAGGTCCACCTTGCCAAAGGCTTTAAAAGGGAAACTGGGTATCATACTTCGGGCTGTAACATTTCTGTGGGCATCCTTTTTGTTATTGGGGCGACACCTCTTTGGAGTGATTTCATGGCAAACTACAGAGAATCACCTATATATTATGTGCTTCCTGGACGAACTCCGCTTTCCAATGTGGGTTCGCAAAATAGGGGGACCCCATTCCTTTAGGTGGTCTTAAGGGAAACGGCCCCGCTTTGGTCCCTCAGGTCCGGGCTTTCCAGGTCCGACTCTGTGAGCCTATCCGCCGATTCCAAATCCCCAGCGGTTCTTGGCTGCACGACCCTGAAAACAAAGGCAACTCCAAAAGGCAGCGACAGGTGGATAAAACAGAACCACAAGACCGGTGGGGTCCCTGTGTGTTCCCTTTGAATGGGTACTCCCCCAAACAAACACACATATATATATATATATGTATATTATATACAAAGCCAAAATATATGCAGTTCACAATAAGTCTATCTCATTCCAGGACCGCATCATAATGAGCTCGTTCCACTCCCAGGTGTGCCCGCCATAAAATAGGCATACATTTCCAAAATGGACCCCAAGGGTATCCCTGATTGCCAGAGCACCGTCACGCAATGGAACCCAAAGAGCTCATGATGTTTGACTCAAACCCAGTGTTGCCTTCCATTTAGCGGTAGTAGAGGGGGCATCTGGCAGAAGCAAACAAAGACATCCAAAGCCAAGCTCATTTGCAGCTCTTACCAAGACACTGTTGTTTGGCCTACCATCCCAGGAGCTTGTGGAATCAACAGTTGCATGTAAACATGGCGGGCGGGGGGGGTCTGGACAAAGGTCTCGTGGAGAGCGGGGGATCGGAGGCCTGTTCAAATATTTTGACATCATCCGACACATTTGACCTGCGATATACATGGGATAATTAGCATCACCGCAAGTCAATAGTCATACCGGAGTTGGCGCACTTTTTTTGTTTTTGAGCTGGTTTCGGTTTTCCTTCATGTTGCTTTTCAATGATCAACATGTTGACTCTCTGCAGGGGTCTAAGCCTGCCCCGTAAGCGATGGAAGAGACATATTGGCGGAAAACTTGCGTCTAGCCTAGTGTGGCTTGCTGAGTATAGCAAATCCGGCTGAGGTTATTGATGCTGAACTCAGCTGCACCCCCATGCAAGACACCATTTGGCAGATGTGGTTTGCTGTTTGACATTCTCAACATGAACCATAATTGACTTTCATTTCGCAAAAAAAATGTTGCTTAAACAATTCCATTTCAAAGAGGAGCTTCCTCTACAAACGGTGAGACCTGTTGTTGGTTCTAAATGTTTGACGTCGGGTATCCCCCCCGACCGATTGCCCGCGCCTGGATCTGTGCAGAATGTCTTGGGCCTTCTCCAGCACGCCTTCCAGCTCTTTGGGGTGAGCGGTCGCTTCGGCCGCGACGGTCTCCTCACGTTTCGAAGGACAAGGACAGCCAAGTGCAACTCCCATAAAGAATGCTCCTACAGCACCTTGTTCCTTTGTTGGTTGGTAGATATCATTTTGAAAACCTCTTTTAAAAGGTAGAATATTTCATTTGCACGCCCCTTGGCCGAAGTGGCATGAATAAGAGATACCGACCCCTGGAACTTGTCTCGTACGGGTTGTCGTGCCCAAGTAGGGACCTGTCCCGTGGTAGGTGACCTTTGCTTTTTGGAAAAAGAGATGGCCCTGGTGAATGAAATGAAACCAATGTACGCCAGTGCCGTGATTTCTTACCAAAATAACCAAAAAAGGGCACCTACGGTGCCGTCCCCCGTCCTTGCTCACTACTGCAAGGACCTGTGGTGTGAGCCCGGCCACCTGGCGAATGGAGCGAAGCCATGAACAAATTCCAGGGAAGGCACCGGGCCAGAAAATGGGCTTCCTTACTGGCTTTTGGGGATGTTGCCATGAAACAATCGCAAACGAGCCAACGGGAGGTTTCCATGGGTGGGGCTCAGACGGCTCTACTTCTGCTGCCCTTAGTTGTTCCTTGCGGTGTCTCTTCGGTGCTTGTGGCTTTTGGACTATGTGATGATTGGTGGGGCCGTTGCTTCGCCAGGATAATCCTGTTAGTTGCTCGAGCTCGTCGTCAATTTCCGGTCTGCTACGCTGCACAAACTCGATCTGCAACCAATATGCTCTCAGCGGCTGTCTGTTTACAGCTTGTCTGGATTTGGACGAGTCAGCCGGCTATTGCCTGACTTTGCGCTCGTCCAGTGCCACTCAGGGGGCTTGCCGCTACAAATACTGTCTTCCCCAAGACTGTCATGGAGCAAATGGAAGGTCTCCCTTCCTTAGGACATTACAATCGTGGAGGGCATCTGGCTCGGGAACTTCATATCCTTCCATGCTGCAAGTGTCTTGCTATCTGGTTGGTTTGAGCCCCAGCAGCCTGAGCTATACTCCACTGAGCATTCTGTGGTGGCCACCAGGTTTCTTGATTGAGTTGCTGTTAATCCTCCCGTTTGGCGCTTCTCGGGATCCCCGGCTGCCCTCGCCGTGTCTTCCGTGAAAGGCTTCTGGAAAGACACATGCCAAGACGCCATGGAATGTTCTTGCTAACCTGTCTCGCATTCTTGTTGGCTCTCGGCCTTCCGGACACTAATTATCGTCCAGAGTGACTTGGCAGAATCGTGACCATGCGAAGGAGCAAATCTTTGGAGGTTTCCGTAGAGCCAGAATTTCGGATTGGCGTTTCTCAACAGAGTGCCTAAAATTGTCGGTCTCTTCATTTCCCTCATACCAATAGGGGGCCCACCATTTGGAGTTCCATTTAACACCAACCAAAAGGGGCCAATCATGAGAAAAGCCCAGGCTTGTTGACGGATTAAAGGACGATCCACTCTTGAATTGGATCGAAAACCCCTCAATGGAAATCGAGAGCATATGGCTAGGGAACCTCCCAATTAGACCAAAGGGAGCCCTACCCTTCCCGCTAACAGAAGGTACCTAGGGTAAGTACCATGGCAACGAGGAAGGGAGGCTAAAACTCATTCACATCCATATTAGCTGTTTCTCACCTGTTTGGTATCCAAAAGCAAACCGAAAGAAACTATAACAGTTTAGGGAACCCCTGTCACAACTCCCGTAGAAATCTCAAGGGGAGCTATGATAGCTATGGAATCGTGGTCCTGGCTGGTGGACGCCCCCCCCCCCTCCCGAAATTGGAGCGGCTTCCTATTCCTGTCAGAACTTTAAGGGTTTTTTTCACTGGTGAGCTCCCTGGTTCTGCACCGAGCCAAAGCTGTTGCAAGGCTTCAACTTGCTGTTCTGCCAGCTTCAGTATTCCTAAGCGCCTTGCCTTTAAAGCCATCCAACACAGGGTACCCCGCCCCCCCCAACAAAAAGGAAGAAAAAACAACGCACAATCAATCAAACAGAAAGACACACACACACACACACACACACACACACACACACACACACACACACACACACACACACACACACACACACACACACACACACACACACACACACACACACACACACACACACACACACACACACACACACACACACACACACACACACACACACACACACACACACACACACACACACACACACACACACACACACACACACACACACACACACACACACACACACACACACACACACACACACACACACACACACACACACACACACACACACACACACACACACACACACACACACACACACACACACACACACACACAAAAACACACACACACACACACACACACAAAAACACACACAAAACACACACACACACACACACACACACACAACACACACACACACACACACACACACACACACACACACACACACACACACACACACACACACACACACACACACACACACACACACACACACACACACACACACACACACACACACACACACACACACACACACACACACACACACACACACACACACACACACACACACACACACACACACACACACACACACACACACACACACACACACACACACACACACACACACACACACACACACACACACACACACACACACACACACACACACACACACACACACACACACACACACACACACACACACACACACACACACACACACACACACACACACACACACACACACACACACACACACACACACACACACACACACACACACATTTTTGGACCCCCGAAGAAAGGCCGCCCGCCCCATCGCCGCGCCTCCGCGGCAACCTCCTCGAGCCTGCTCTGCCTACGCGTGTGTGTTGAGTGCACCGCACTCGGCGCTGGGAGAGACAGGCGACTGTCCAAATGGGTTCGGTGCTTTTTTGGACGTAGTACACTGTTGAAGGTTGGCTCAAAGCAAAAAGGGAAACACAATTTGGGCAGGACCCCAATTTTGGCACAGACCCACTTTAAAGGAACCCTGTTGCTTCTGAAGTAATCTCATGCAACCGAGGGGTCTCTATGAAAGAGACCTTGAGCCCAAGCACAACCCCAAATCCGAGCATTCTCCCAGCAAGCTGAGTAAGCGTCGATAAACCCATGCCCATGTTGTGCTGAGGCGGGCTTCCCATCAAGGGATACTTCAGGGTTGAACCAATAAATGAGGGCTTCATTCCAGGGCTTCATGTGTGTGTGTGGGCTTGTTCCTGAGGGTACCCTTCTTGGGGTTGGTTTAAAGGGGAACCCGAAGGAACACCACCATTTGGAGGTTCCCTTTGACACATATGTTGGGATTCATGCATCTGGCAACTACCCCGCCCGGGCCCCGCCCGAGGGACGCCGACGCCAGGCCTCACAGCGCCTTTCGCTTTGGGAAAGGGCCTTGGTCACCGTGACTCAGATGTTTGGACCAAACTGAGTCACAATCAGAACCTGGTATTGAAGGAGTATGATATACCCACGACCTTGCAAAGAATCAAACTGGCAATTCTGGCTGGGACTGTCCTTTACTACCCTTCATCTACCGGGGTTTTAATTCTGGCTCTGACCAAACAAACCCTCCCAAAACTGATCACATCGACTGCAGAATGGCTCAATGCCAGTGCGCGAAAAGCTCATGTCCCAAAAGCTGAAGCCTAAAGATCAAGCCAAACAGCAGCCAAATTGGTTCTACCGGCATGGGTGCTCAAATGAAAACACGTGCACTTCTGAACTGGAATGTCTTTCCAGCCAGGAATAAAGAGGCTCCAAAAGGAGCTTTACCTACAAGCCACAAGCCACAAGTCACACCCCGAAGCCCGAAACCCAAGCGCGAACTCGAGAATTCACAGCTCGCTGAAGAAATCGGCCCCTGGAAAGGGATCTTAAGGCCCCAAAGAGCGAGCCTCCCGCACGAGTGGCCTTGGGTGGGTTTGGTGCACTTCCAGCTTGGTGGAAGGTCACCCACCTAGGGCGTATATTTGTAATTAATTCCCCGCTTCACTGGTTGCGGCTGTGAAGTTTCATGGGAACCCATTGGTGGAAATCACTTGCGGATTTGTGACAGGGTGCCCTCTGAAAATTCATAGCCGCCCACAAGCTGCTTCCTCCCCAAAACCTTCTCCCGGCTTCCTCGGCACCGGGCTGTTGCTGCTGCATGTGATCGGAGTACTGCTGCTGCTGCACCTTCAAACTGGATTCTTCCCCCCTTGGTAAAAGTTGCTCCACAAGAAGAAGTAGTTACACAGAAAACAATATGGTTGTGGCGTCTTTGTTGGGCGGGGCTGAACTGGGAATGGACCTGGATTGGTCACTCCACAACTTGATGGATGGAACCGGTTCCCCGAACGAAGATCACAGCCCACCTTCCAGCTCATGTCCGTCCCGAAGATGACAACGGACTTCTTTCGGAAGGCTTCACAAAAGAGAAAGGCGGCTGTGCACTTCCAGGTCAACGGTCAAACATTCTATGTAAACACAAAATTGGCATACAATCACCTTGCCTGCCACCAACCTGGCTGCGCCTGAGGTGTCTGTTCAAGAAGACATGTTTCTTGCGGTCGATACAGGTGCCATGTTAGTAGGAGGGAGTGGAAAGGGCGACTCTCATTGTTGCACACATATGCTTGAGTGCCGATGTCCCGAACCCCAAAGTGACGATTGACTGCTAGCCCATCTTTGTTGGTGGAAGGATAACACGGCTCCAAGGTCGCATGCATGTTCAGCATGTCCTCGTTCTCTCAAGGAGTACTTGACAAAGTTCGAGATGTTCCGTTAGTATCAAAGGTGCGAATACCATTTGTCCCTCAATCATGCTTGCAACCAAAGGACAAAATGGTCCACCCGGGCTCCCCCTCTTTAACACACTCTTGCAAGTGTCCACTTCCATTCCAAAGAGGCTAACTTGCTTGCAGCCTGATTTCTGGCGGTCTCCACCAAGATTGACTTAAACACCTACATTTCTAAAACAACCAGTGTTGGTTCTGCACCAAGGTCTCTCTGGTAAAACCAACTTCGCCCAGCCAAAATCTAAGAGAAGCCTCTTTCCAAGTCCAGTGTCTCGGAGATTCCCCCTTCTCGCTTCCTGAGAAAAGATTGACCAGAAAAAGAACAACTGTTTGTTCATGGTCTACCTCTCAAGTGGTCCCAAAAAGTAACTCAACTGGCGCCCCTGTTTACCGCTATCAAAGTCACGCCCTTGATATGATAAGGAGAAACACCCCCAGCTCCTGACTTTGATAACCCCCCAAAACCGTCAACATTCTCTGGGCTTTCCCCAGATCCCCTGCTAAAAGTAGGGTAAATGGAAAACCCCATAAAACCTAAAAGCCTAGGAACTGCCAACACAGCTCAAGTCCAACTCAGGAAGTAAGTTGCTGGCCCAGCGGGTCGCTCTCTCGCGCTCGAGCCGCGCGCCTTCTGCAGGGAAAGCTCCAGCTCCTGCCTCAAGCGCCGAAGACTTCGAGCGACACATCGAATTGGGAAACCGAAGGGAAACCGAAACCCATTCGAAGGGGGAACCCCATATTTCGACATGTCATATAACCAATGTTCAGTTCAACGCTTCTGGTAACGAAACATGGTTTGAGGCAACCATGTTTAGTGCGGCAGCTGGCAACAAACAAAAGAAAAGAACGGTACGGATCAACTGGGACTTGAAGGGACTTGAGACATTCCTCAAAACTTGGCCAGATGGATCGATCCGACCCTGCAAGAAGCGCATATTTTACCGATTGAAAGGGGACATGAAGCAAGCCCACAAGGGCAACGGGGAAAGTTTAGTTGCGTCTGGCAATGACAAAGGGCCATTGTCTAATTACAACTTGAGCAGCCAACAACCATGTGCTTTCCGTTACTCCCAAAACGGGCACCCTCAAGAAAGGACAAACTGTTGTGAGATGAAGCTACACATATGACTTCGGGGCGTCGGCGGGTGATTTGCGGTGCTTCCCGAGTTGGCCGCTTCTGCCAGATATTGCCTATTCTTCCCGAAGGGAGAGGACAAATGAAACGAATCACAACATGTCGGGCGTGTGCCGAAATGAGCGGTCAACATCTATACCTAGTAGGCCCACCGCCCCAAACCGTTCGTGGCCCACACACACTTGCCAAAACGTTGCAAGGGTAAAGGTCCACCCCGATTGCCAAGTTCCTGTTAACTTCCTGGAAACGGGACAAGAGAGGCCCCTTGAAAAAAATAGACAGTTGTCTGTGTCCCTCGCAACTGGACCATAGACCAGACATGTTGACCCAACCTCAAATGGGAAACGTACAAGGAATTGGTTTCGGGCGAACGCGTATCGGTGTATGGCAGTAATATTGTCGGGTGATCAAATGTGTAGCGCCCGGTTTCCCGTTGACTTTGGGTTCTACAAGTCGGCTACAAAGTTTTATGCAGCCCTAATGACCACCCAATTAAAAAACCCAGGTACTGCGTACAAGCGCTAAAATCACCAATGAGAGTGTGAGCTCTTCTGCAATGGAGCTTTCAATGGCATTTTCAGGTATGCCGGTTGGAGGCCTGGGGTGTCTTTTTGCGAGGGCCAGTTCTGAATGGAAGCCAAAGGAACATACACAAGGTGCACATGTCTGCGTGTCTCCCAAGTGGTCAGACACACCCATATTGGTGGTATACCTGGGCATGCCCCTGACCCAGTTGATCCTGCCTCATCGCCATCTGGGAGGCATGCTCTGGCCCCTGGAAAAGGCATTTCCGCCGCAGGGCAGAGTAGTGGTATATGTAGGTGTGTCTTGTTTGGGGAAGCTCTTTTGGGTTGGTCTTAAGGGGAAGCAAAAGGAAAGAAGCCATTTTGGGTCCCGCCTATTTTGACACATACCCAGGTGACAAGCAGGTAGGCGATTGCATTTGTCCAGCTTCTGTTGAAAGGCTGAGTAGAAGAAGCACTGTGAAACATATGAACCCGAGGTTTATAGGTGAAGTAGCCATCAATTCTGGCATAATGATGGGACACAATCTCCATTTGTGTACCCACGGCCATATTGGGGTTCATGCTAGCCTTCGGTCCCTAAGGGCTGGGAATGGGAAACCCGAGATGTGGAATTCCCTGACCAGCCATAGGGGACAAACATTTGGGCGCCGGTGCCCCTTTTCTGGATAAGCTCAAAGGGACACCCCTCAAAAAAAAGAGACACAGGTGCGAATTCCACGGCTGTTTGCCACAGGACGCATCTGTCGACAATACGCAGGTCGTACCACATGCCACCAAATGGAACCCGTGACAATAAATTTGTCCAACTGTTGAACTGTTGACCCATCTTCAACCACTAGGCAAAAGGAAGTGTCCTCAAATTCTCCTGATACAGATGGCTTTACACATCAACAAGACAAGCAACAACAATAAGTTCAGTCCAAATATCCTGAACGAAAATCATCTCGATGGAGGCTATCAAAAAAAGGGGCCCCAAAACAAATAAGCTCATGGAGCTCGACCTCATTTTACCCCCCTGGCTCACGAATCGGCGAGTTCCGTAAGTAAGGGCTGTTCATCACTCGCATGTGTGCTCACCATAAAATAGCTATATTAGGGTGTCTCTATATTAGTCAAGCGTCGACAAACTAGGGCGTTTGCTTTGCCCCAGCCCTCAAAATGACATCCCCACCCTGCGGCAAGCAACAACTTGTTAAAACAGGCTCGTTTGCTTCCATTCGGAGGAACAAACACAAGTGTTCATACTCCCAAGCTCTCATTGTTTTTTCTAGCGGATCTTCCCTTTGTGACCTGTGCATCCCATTGATTCCCAACAGTTCTCCTTCGCACACCAAAATACCCAAACTACTGTTTATGTTTGTACCATTTTGTCCAATGTTTGTGTTGTTGCTTGTTCAGCACTCGCTGTTTGCCTAACCCTTGGCGTACTGCGCTCGGCGATTCTGTGACTCGGGCCTGTCTGGCTGGCGCGGGCCGCGGCTGGGGCCTAGGTCTGTCTGTCTGTCTTTCGGTCTGTACGTATGGCTGTATGTTTAGCTATCTTTCTATCTATCTCTTTTCAGGTCTCGCGAAGGGTGAGGATAGACAGGGGATCCGGCCTCAAGCAAAGGGAAAATAAGAAACTTGCCTCCCATGGCCGAACGAACACACAAAAAAACCAACAAACACACAAACCAACCAAACAACCGACCAAGCAACCAACCAACCAACCAACCAACCAACCAACCAACCAACAAACAAACCAACAAAGCAGCCAGCCAACCAACCACAAACAATAAAACACAAACAACCAAAAAAACAACAACCCAACATAAAACCAAAAACACACCAAACCACAACAATTTAAAACAAAAATAACACACACACACACAAAAACAACAACAAAATACAACAAACACCCAAAACAACGTACGACAAAACAAACAAACCAGGCAAAACACACAAACGAGCAAGGAAGCAAGCAAGCAAGCAAGCAAGCAAGCAAGCAAACAAGCAAGCAAGCAAGCAAACGAGCAAGCAAGCAAGCAAGCAAGCAAGCAAGCAAGCAAGCAAGCAAGAAAGCAAGCAATCAATCAATCAAGCAAAGCAACCAACAAACAACCCAAGCAATCAATCAAGCAAGCAAGCAAACAAACCACACGAAAAACAAATAACCAAGTAACAAACCCAACAACACAAAACCACACACACACACACGCGTACGCACGCACGCACGCACGCACGCACGCACGCACGCACGCGCACACGCGCGCACATGCACGCACGCACGCACAGGGGGGCACGCAGACACGCACACACGTACACACGCACACGCGCACACACGCCCACACGCCCACGCACACGCACACGCACGCTTGCACGCACGCACGCACGCACCCACCCACCCACAACACAACACAACACAACAAAACACAACACAACACAACACAACACACACCCACACACAACAGAAAAAAAAGACAACATACGCACGCACATACACTCGCGCACACACACACACACAGAGTCTTCCAAACGAATGGTGGCTTAAAGGAAACCTTCAAGGGAAACCTCCGGAAGCCACACGTTCCTTGGATTTCTCTACATGTTGAACCCAGTCGGACCAAAGCCTCTCCCTCCCGGTTTCCGGGCCGGCCATAGGTGCGGCTGCTAGTGTTCAGCGGATCCTCAAGCGCCGAAGGCTCTCCGAAGGATCAGCTGAGCCATGGGCAAATTGTGGCTCCCGGTGGCACCAACTCTGCAATTGGAAGAGGAACGGCCATCTTGAGCATGGCTCGTTTGGGCGCCCCTATAGTATAGAGTTTTTGCAAATTGTTGGGTTCTGTGTGAATCTGCAGGGGTGCTCTTCCCCCCGAAGACGTGGTTTTGGTGAGCGCTTCTCGTTTTCCCCAGTCGGAATGGGCGAGATTTGGGGGAGCCTTTGGTGGAAATGTAATCGACTCAGTTGCCCACCATGTCCCGAACCCCCAAAAAAAAATTACCATCGACTACTGGCTGTCCTGACCTCACGTTGGTTCCAAGGGACAACTCTTGAATAGAGGAGACCTTTTGTTCACCCATATCCTCTCAAGAGTGGCGCTTGTGCTTCCCTCCAAGCATATTGTCCTACCCTTCCAAAACGACCTCGGAGTAGCACGTGGCGAAAAGTCGCATGTGGAAGCTTCATCATAATGCTTGCCAGCTATGTTTCCCAACATCTAAGACTACTATATCCACACCAAAAACTTATCTATCAAACACCATACATGGGAAGTGCAGAGTGCAAAGGCTCCCTTTCCCAAACACTTCCAAGTTTGGTGGAAGGGTAAAAGGTGTAGGGTCGAACGAACAAAGAAACAAAATGAAGCACGCATGTCATCCCGCCTCCTGGCCGGCTGGCAAGATGCCTAACAGCAGACTGTATTCACCCTCAAGGATCCACGTATTTGCGACGAAAACCTCATGGTTCATCTGCAGTTTAAGGAATCAATGTACCGCTTGGCTTCTAAAGACGCCTGACACGGGTCTTTAGGCATGCAGAAAGCTGGTTCCCGGCCTTTTTGGGTTCACACACATGGGCAAATCGGTATTCGAACGGTGGAGACTGGCAACGCTCATACTTCGACATGTTCCAAAGGTTGCGCCGAACAATCACCTCTTGGAGGTTTAATTGGCAGGCGTCCTCCAAGGATACAAAGCACCACCTGCTGTACAAGGATTCGGATCCTCCAAAACCTCTGGTATTTGGGCGGGTTTGTAGCTGGCCCAACGAGTGTTTCAAGATGGGATCCGAGTCCCTTTTGGTTGATACGAAGGCAAGCCCAAAAGAGAAACCCTTGTTATTTCAGGAAATGGGACAAGTATTTGGAGAAACCTCCATCTGGTATCTGGGCCAATCACGAGGTGTGAAAAAGACCTAAGGAGCATGCAACGTGAGCCAGGAGCCAGAAGCCCGCTATTAGTTCAGAGAACAAATCAGCCGATTATTTTAAACAGGGTAGTTCAAGACACCCTCTTTGAATGCCAGGGCTGCAACCAATCCAGCTGCCAACAACTTCTTTGGTTGGACCTGCGGACTTGTTGGGACAAAAGTCCGCAAATCAACGGCTGTCACAGCCCAGGAAATGGTTTGTGGGTCGTAAACATTTGGGAGGGGTTGAGATGGTAAGGCTCAGCTCAACATCTTCAACCAAACACCTGCATGGGATCTAACGTCTGATGGGAACCCCGAATCTTTTGCAGAACCCCTGGTTGATTTTGATTCGGGGGAGTCCAATTCCTTTTCGTGGTTTGTATATTTGTTTATTCTTGGAGGAAACACCACATCATTAATAGAACTGGTTGATTAATCCAGGGTCAACATGACTTGACGTTTAGAAAAGAACAAACACATGCTCCACGTTACAATATGTTGACCCAGTTGACATGATCCACAGAAGGAACAGCATCAGGGTTTTCACCATTTGAGCAGGTCTGAACCCAGGGAACCTCAAAAAAGGTTGGTGTCTGTTGGTTTACCTTTACAGCCATCAAACAAAGGAGTACCCTCAAAAAAAACATACCCAGTTGATTCTTACAAAATGAAAAACCCAACGCACGGATTTTGACAGGGTTGGTTGCCACCCCCATTCCAGGGCTTCCTTTTACAAAAACCCAACATCTAATTCGGACTTGAATTTTCTTGACAGTACCATTTTTGTTTTTTTTCAAAGGGACACACTTTCCCGAAGCCAATTCAGAAATCCGGAGGACCCCAGTCAGAGAAACATATATAGATAACTTCCCTCCAAGAACGGAGTCCTAAGCCCATTGAACCAATCCCAAAGCCGACTTCATCAACGCCTGCGCCTAGATTGGGTGCGTTGGCCGGCGCCCAGGAGAACCTAAGCGCCGGAGACGTCTCTCGCAGTTGATATGCATTTCCAGTCACCCCGGAGTGAGGAAAGGTCCAGTTTCAACAAGGGTCACGTACACAGACCCTGGCATATTGCATGTGCTGCGAAACACATGGCGGTGCGTCTTTTTCATTCGGTTAAGCCGTGATCCTTCACAAACACTCCGCACAATATATAGGTTTGTGTTCCAAAAGGGACACGTCCCGGTTGTTCTTCTGGGAAAGGGCTTGTCTTTCCCAAATAAGCCCCGAAGTCAAGGTGTTGTAGAGTAAACCAAAGGAGATGCTGATGAGGGTCGGGAAGGGTGTCAATGACTCACATGAGCAGCTCCCCAAACTCATTGCCACCAAGATGGTTATACAGAGGTAGCAGAGCCACCCACTAAAATCACCAACAGGGGGTTTGGGTGGTGCTCACATGACGTCAAGCCGCATCCCATTCGACCCGAGGGGAGCAAACTGGACGGGAAGCTAAGCTACCCTTTTAAACAACAGATCGAGGGTCGTTGAAGGAAGAGCATGGAAAAGGGCCTTAGAGGTTTTCCACTGCCAGGAATCCAGGCCTTTACGGGCGCGTGACTGAAACTCTGGCAATTGGGGTTCTCTGAAAATAGGGAAAATACCACGGTGGCCATGTGGTTTCCCTTGAAACCAACGCAAAAAGGGTCCCCTCAACAACGCCGCACCCCAAGGGCCATTCCCCATGAGACGCGCCCCTGAGATCGAGCTGCTCAATGGCCGGATAGGCAGTGCCGGCTCCTCAGGCTCGGCTAAGTTGGTTCTCGGGCCAACATCCGTCGGGGCAAGACAAACGAGACAAACGGACCAATCGATATCCATAGCCTACTCAGAAGCCCGGCTCGTAAAGGGGATGCCCACCTACGGACCAACCAAGGGTTTGCTCATCTTGGGTTCCCGTTACCAAGAATTGTGTCAGTTGCTCAAGGTTAGGCCAGTTTTTTCGTCCAGGTTGGAACCTTGCGCAAATGAGCAGGGTCGAGAAGGAGCCCCACGCAAATTCGGGTCAAGGGGCTAACCAAAATTGGAATGGGTGGTTTCGGTGCCATATGGAGTCTGCCGTTTTCTGTGGGTTCCCTTTTTGGGGTTGGGTTAAGGGTTGTTCAGTGCACTGTGAGCCCCGCGAAGCCCACCTTTTCCAACAAATCGAGGCGTCAATGCCTGAGATGGCAACACACATTTTGCTTCGTGGCAGTCCCTCAATCTGAAATGCCAAGAGCAGAACTCGGTGGTTGGCTGATCCCTTGCAACATATTGACGCTTTAGTGGGATATGTCAATGCCTCCTCTTCTAAGCATTCTTTCATTTTACTCAAGGTTCTAACCACCAAAGCCCACCTGCTTGAGACTACTTCATGCTGCTTGCTCCTCCAGATGGGCTCGCTGGTTCCGTCGGAGCCTCCTCGGACTCCTCGCGCGGTTTACTTGGGAGGGTTCTGGCGGACAAAAACGCGATGCATGCCCTTGTGGTTTCCTTTAAAGGCGATATTCAGTTTTTGTTCTTCCTTTTTTTTTCTCGGTATCTCTCAAAACCAACCACTGCACATCTCACAGTTCCACTCCCTGAAATAAGAATTGGAGCCCCAAGGAAAGGACCTCGACGCTTCTTGTGATCCGCCCCCTGGCAGCTGTGGGCCGCAGGGCTCACTGAAAACCCAGAAATGGGGTGCCTGTAGAACAGGAACCCCATTTCTGGGTTGCTCATTGAATTAGTTGCTTGCTGGTAAGTGGGTAAATGATCATCTCCATTTCTCGTCTGTTCGGCTCTTGCCTGCACACCAGACAAGGCTGGCACCGGAAAGATCTCGTTCGGCGCTCGCAGTGGGGCCTGCGCTCGTTCGCTTGTGCACCGCTCGGACGTGATGTGATCGGGCTTTGAGATGTGCCCAATGGCGGGAGAAAGGACAACAAAAACAGAAAGTAGGGGCAACCATCTGTTGCAAACCAACTTGGGTGTTCGTTGCGAACAGAGCAAGTGGAGAAAGAGAAAGGGAAAGGGAAAGAGAGACAGAGGGAAAGAAAGAAAGAAAGAAAAGAAAAGAACAGAAAAGAAATATAAACAAGAAAGAAAGAAAGAAAGAAAGAAAGAAAGAAAGAAACAAAGAAAGAAAGCAAGAAAGAATGAAAGAAAGAAAGAAAGAAAGAAAGAAAGGAGAGAAAGGAGAGAAAGAGAGAGAGAGAGAGATAGAGAAAGAACAAGAGAGAGAAAGAGAGAGAGAGAGAGGGAGACAGAGAATGGCTGAATTGCCAGAGTTCCTTAATTAGATGTTCTCTTCCAATATCACTCCACCACTAGTTTAAACATGAACATGTTTGAACACCGATCCTTTTGGCTGCCGGTAAGAGGTAGCCAGAACATGGTTGCTTAAACAACATGGTTGCTTAAACAGGGTTTGCCCAGTTCTTGGAAGTAAACAGTTTGCCTTCTCATGTTGTTCAGCCCCTGCGCTCTTCAATGTGCTAGGCTGGCCTTTCAGAATAAGGCAAACGCGTGGAGGTTGCTCCCTGTGGGAAACCAATTGGAAGACAACAGGAAACAGCTGCAACAAGACCCATTTTGAGTAACGCCCATATGTCAAAGTGGCTTTGTGTGTGCAATTGCAAGGCGTCAGGTTGCCCTTTCCGACCCCTAGCTTTGGTTGGTTCAAACTTCATGGAGGATACTCCCAAGCGAACCATTCGGGGGGTCTGACACACCTTTTGTTCTACAGGAGTCATTCTATTTCCCCTGAAGCACACATCAGTCTGCAAACAGAAACTGATTGAATCGCTCGAAAAATAGTCGAGCAGAAGCAGCCCAGCCACACCAACAGAGCAACAGAGTCCAGAAAGGTTGCCCAAGAGGGTGGTGGAGCCCCAAAATGGTGTTCCTCTTGTTAAACTGCCCCCAAACAACATTCAAAAAAAGTACCTTCCAGAAAACACACACACACCATATTGAAGTGACCGACGTTTCCAGATCACTTTCTGATGCAGCTCTCGCCGTTCAGGCCGAGTCTGGCCAATGTCGCTACCATAATGCTGGCCACCCATGTCAGCGTACAACACTCAAGAGCAATTGTCATGTGTAAAATATTGCTGGCAAGACGGCAATCTGTCAGTAAAGTAAAACTCACAAAGGACAAAACTCGCCCTCCTGCTGCACACGCGGCAGAATTTGCTGCATGTGTAGACGCATCCGCATGCTGGGATCTCCCGGCATCCGTGGGAAAATGCAGCATGGATGGGCAATCTGATGAGCAATTCGGCCAGTCTGATTAACGCCAAACGCCTATGGCGAGTAGCACTACACCGGTGGAGCCATGGTCAAAATATGCTATAGCTTCTAACATCTACGAACCGCTTATGAGGCTGATTGCAAGGCTGTGGTTGATGGTGATGGTGATGGTGATGGTGATGGTGATGGTGATATGATGATGATGATGATGATGATGATGATGATGATGATGATGATGATGATGATGATGATGATGATGATGATGAAGGACTGACTGACCATACTGACCATTGCTCGGTCGGTTCTAGGTATGGCAAAATGCTGCCCGTGCTGATTTCTCAGGCGAACACGGAAGCAGCTCGACTCAATGCTAGGCCGCGTGCAACTGGCGGATGATCAAGCAGACCTGAAATAGCTAAATTATCTTCTTCAATGTGCTCATTGCCTTTCACATTCAGCGGCCTGTCCAAGCTTCCCAAAGCCATTCAATGACGGTTCTCCAAATGACCTTGCCACAATATGAGCAAGTGCCTGGTGAAAAATCTATCCGGAGTTAAGTTCTGTGCTTTGGTCTACAGGGGCTTGAAGCAGCAATGTTCGGTTGGGCACCAACAGCCACGGAAATGCGAAAAAATGGGACCCTTGTTGAACTACACTCACTCACTGAGTGTATTGGCCATATTTGGTCAAACCGATAATCTAAATGTTCTGAGACAGTGATCTTCCCTGGAAAAAACTTCCAAAAGTGTGGGGCTTCTAACCAAACCTTTAATTTGTTCGGGTTTCCCCTTCACTACACAAAAATATGGCCCCCGAGATCAAGACGACTGACATGGGCCCCAGCCACCTGCTACCAGCAGTGACTTTGGATTGACCATTGGGCGATCGCTGCTCACCCAGCGTGTCTGTTTGTCAGGTTGGACCCAACAAATGGCGTCGGTTTTCCGTTTGGTTTCCCGTTCAAAGCCCAAAGATGGGGTACCCTCAAATGAAGACGAACCCATATACACTATATTGTTGGGTCTGCAAAAATCCCTTTTGATTTGAATGCCTGACACAACTGCACCCGAGGGTTCTAGCAAGATGATACCGACCCACGTTTGGACCGAGCCAGGTTTTGCTTTCATTCGACACATTCCCAGACATGGACCAAAATCCAAGAACATTCAGGCGGAATCTGGGAATCCATGTACAGTTGCGAGGGCGATCACTCCCATATTCCCTAACAACAAGCAAGACAAAGGAGAATTGCAACTAGCAACGATTCACCGACGTGAAATAAGAAATGGACACCCCAAGAATGCAACCTTCGTGAAGCCCGACGTGTTGCTAAGTCTCGGCCACACGGAGCCGACCCACTGAAACAAGTTAACTTATTATTGCTTACAACAATGATGGAAACCAAAGAGGGAATAGGGCAAAAGGGCGAGTTGAGTCTCGCTTTTTAGGTCGCTTGCGCGTCTCTGCCAGACTCGCCTAGCCCATCTCTGGGCGAATTCTAATCGATTTCTGCGCTTGTCCATCTCAGGGTCCGCAAGCTGCAACTCGTGCAAACTGAATGCCGGCGATCGACTCTCAGAGAACACGGGCAACTCTTTGCGACGTTGCAACCTACCCAGCAAGGGGGAGAGTAAATGGGTTCTATGCTGGTTCTATGTGCCCTGGCACGAGACTAACCGTGGCGTGCACGAAAGGGCGTATCTAGCTCTACAAAAAAGCACATTTAGGGTTGGTTGAGGGTAGGTTTCGGGTAGGCCTAGGGTAGGTTCAGGGTCGGTTCTGTTTAGGGTACGTTGGGGCCGGTATCGGGTTAGGGTTAGGGTAGGTTTGGGGTAGGCTTGGGGTAGGTTTACTGTGGGTTTAGGGTAGGCTTTGGGTAAGATCCATCACTCGTCCATTTGGAGCTTAGCCGCGGGCAATGACATGGTAGTTTGGTGTGTGTGTGTGTGCCCAAAGGCATCTCCTACTGCAAGTGATGGGAACTGTTGACCAGGGCTGCAGGATTTAGAGTTGTTGTTTTTCTTCTGCGATATTGGGGAACCTTCTCTTGAATAGCAATTTGTCGGAAAGGTGTTCAAGTAGTGGCAGCGATTCTCAATTCAGTGTGCCGCCCTATGACATGCGAATTTAGCGAGTAACCTCCATTTCCCAATAGTATTGGTGAGAGTGCCTTACTCCCCTGTACTGCCGCATCTAGCAGTCAATTTGGATATGTCTTATTTTAATGGTACCCCTTTTCTGTAGCGTTTAAAGGGAACACAACAGTAAAACCAGGGAAAAGGGGGAAAAAACAGAAAACCACACATGGCTGTGGTTCAAAACACCGGTACCAAAATGGAACCCCGGTAAGTGGAAAAATGGACTAAAACCTGCTTAACCCCTGCTGTTTAATTTTGAGCCACACCCACATACTTATATTGATGGTTGCTCAGATCAATCCGGCTGGGGAACCTCGTTAAGTTTCGGAAGCCGACGTTGTGTACTTGAGACAGACGCACATGCGCCCACATGATCCCATAGCCCCATCATGCCCCATCCTGCAGGGGTCATTCGATGTTTCCCATCCAAGAAGTACACTTGTACACTTGCGCAGGGGTTGATCAATATTCCTGGCCCCAAAATGACCTCCCATTTAGTGGTGGATGACATTTTTGGTTTCCACGTCAACCTGCCATGTGTTGCAAAACTGGATGGCAATAAAATCTGAGACCTTCAACAGCGTAAGCAAAAAGGGCCGCAAAAGAGGCCGTTCTTTGTTCACTCGTACTGGAGCAAGAACGAAAAGCAAACCCCCCCGCGAAGGACCTGGAAATTGGAACCTTGACAAAATATAGACCAAAGATGAAAGGTCAGCTGGCAAGTGAGTTCTTGTGGAACCGAGCACAGACTCCTTTCTTGCCTTGGTTTCCCTACAACCCGAAAGCCAGCCGCAAGCCGCCGAAAGTGTTCGATTTGGGTTGGATTGATCATTCGCTCCGCGGATAAGGCTCGAAGCCACGGAAGGTCATTTGAGGTCTGAAAAAAAAAATCGACGATATGGAAAATACCCGAAAGCTCCAAGCAAGTAAAGGCGACCGGCAGGTTTGGGCTGCTGACCATCTCCCCAACAAACCGGAAGACTTCCGGATCTTGGCAGTTCTAGAGGCGATCACTTCTCCCCTGTCACGACCCTATTTCTACAGCATGCAAGCCTGCGAGAGTGTCCTTGGGCTAAGATTGCTGTGGAATCAAAGAGTATTTATCGAACGTATTCACCTTGTTGTTGTCTTGGTGTTCCCTGGAAAATATGCACTTGTTGTGGTTCTCAACATTTACAAAATGACCCATACTTTTCCTATCATCGCCCATTCGGGATTTTAGTCAAACCCGGGCCGGGTGACGTTCTACATCTCTGGCAGCCAAAGTTGACTTTTGCTCACCCACAACTTGGCCCACAGTTGAGATGGGGTGGGGGGAGCCTCCGTTCTGGATTGCATTTCAAGGAAATTCAAAAGGGAATCCCGCCTTTCTAATCCCCAATTTTTAGGACCAACCGAAGGCTGATCTAACTTCGCAACGCACGCAGTCAACATGAGACATGCTCTCCGGAAAGCTTTGCATGCTGAGAAAGC